GAGGCAATATACAATTAATTATGTATATGAAAATATCATAGATTATAGATGAACTTACTATGCAGAAAAAATTAAAATAAATGTAAGTAAAAATGCCAAAATTAGTCCAATCTGATTTTTGCATCTGACAGTAATATAATTTTTAGGAAAATCAGTGAAATGAAAAATTCGGTGACTATTTGTGACTTTGAATATGAGAGCACTTTTTGTGTAAGAACCTGCAATGAAATTTTTAACAAAGGTGATTATGAGCTTGCTGCAGCAATTGCATTTGTGTATTGGTAAATAAATATGTTGGTCTATTTTTTTGTGTATTCAGTATAATATATTAAACAAAATGGTCATGTGGCATGCACTTGTCATTCTCTCAGTTATCTGACCCACTGTGAAAAAAGTTTGGTGACCTCTGGTCTAGTACTATCTCACACAATGCTGATGCAGACTGGATCGAGTTAGAACAAAAACTTGCATAACATACCAACTATGTCCTGTGCTGAAACCAGGTATCTTCCAATTTTGTGTTCTGTTAACAGAACACATAACTGGAAGACACCTGGTGTATACAACATTCACAATTTCTGGTATGAAAAGTCTACATCACTGCACCAAGAACTAGCTAAACACCTAACACATTGTCATCAATTCACAAGATATGCCAAAATTTCTTACTCAGGGCATCTCTTACATGAAACCTAAAAACAACAATTTCACAGACACCACACAATACAAAGCAATTACATGTCTTTCAACACTGTACAAATTATTGACATCCTATATTTCAAACAAAATATACAAACATGTTGATGAACACGACATTCTTACAGAACAACAAAAAGGTTGCCGTAGAAATCACAGGGGATGCAAATAACAATTACTCATAGATTCAGTCATTCTACGGCAAGCACACAAACAACACAGAAACGTACACATGGCATATATAGATTACAGAAAAGCATTTGACAGTGTTCCACACAGTTGGCTGCTACATATTCTACGCATGTACAAAATACATCCATCACTCATAGCATTCTTCGAAAACACTATGCAGGACTGGAGAACAACACTACATCTCTGGATTCAAAGTCTGATGATGATGTCTGTTTAAAATGGAAGAAAATGTTTGTTTTCTTTAGAATATATTTGTTTTTTGCTGGTTATAAATGCCTAGTTGTGTTTATTATTTTTAAATTATTATTAATAATATTTAATCAGAGTGATTAAATAAATTTGGTAAATAGATTAGAATTAATAATAATTTAATTAACATTAAACTTTTTCTCTTAAAGATTAGAACAAATTGTTGGATCTCTGACTACATTATATCTTGACAATCAAAAAACTATAAGCAGAAGATTAAAATGTCAACTCTTAATAACCATAGTGACTATTATTCTAAATCATGAAATGCTGGTAAGTTCTTTAATTGTAAAAGTGGAAAGATAATTTTATGTAGATAGGAAAAAAATTGTATATTTCAGGAAGAAAACTCATCTTTGTTTGGATTACTGTTACAAATAAAAGATTTTTTAATTCAAATAGTTATTAATAAAACCAAAAGAAATCCTGTTCTTTGTGCAATTGCATGTAAATGTCTTGAAGAAATAGAGCAGTTTTTCCCAGTAAGTTTTTTAATGTTAAATTATATAATGTTTTTTTATGTTAGTTATGTATTTAAATGATCATAATTACAGTATAGATAAAATATTTTATTGTTTAAGATCATAAAAGTCTATCATTTTGACAACTCTATCTCTTTCTTTATTATTCCATCTACATCATTACTAACACTATCACTGGCGCTTTTGAAAAATAAAGTAACACAGAGAACATTTGAATTTAACTTAAATCTTTCAAAAATTTAGAGGAATATAAAGGCTATAACTTTAGCTAAATGTAATTTAGCTAAAGTTAAAGCTTGAAATAATTTGACATTTATGATTAGATTAATATAGAAGTTTAGGTTTGGTTGTTCATAAAAAATTTAAACCACAATATAAATTGTTAAATATAAAATTTAAAGTGAAAAGAAAATTATTACTGTTTTATTAAAATTATTATTGCTTTATTTATTTATTTGCAAAAATACAGTAGCTATTAGCACTAGTTCCTGAATTTTTGCAAATAAATAAATAAAGTAAAATATCCTAAATACGCTATATTGATGTTAATAGTATATCAGTGTATATTTTACTAAAAAGTGCTTTTTCAATAAGATCATATTGAGAAAGATAAGACTTTAATAAAAACTAGCAGACCCCGCCACACGTTGTTGTTGCTTAAAATGTATCTGTTATAAATGTATAACACTTCCCCCGTGGGGGGAATTTTTCAAAAAATCTCTTCTTAGTGTACATTCTGTTGATGTACCCTATTAAAACGCAAAAAAACCGCATGTAAAATAGTATAAATAGAAGCAGAGTTCTTTACCATAAGCCTTAATCCTAACCATCTCCCCCAGGTGGGGGGAATTTCGACACGTATATTATATAAAAACACGTGCATATTCGAATGCAGCGTTGTGTCAAAATTTCAAAGGAATTGGTAGGAACAAATGAACATTTTTATTTATATAGATAGATAGAAGATGATCTGCTTTAGTTCATCCTCACAGAAAAGCAAACTTAGGTCGTCATACTCGTAGCGCCATCTATTGGACATAAAAGCCTTAACCCTAGATGATATCTTTTAATTTATATGAATGTTTAATGGAATAATATACAGCCTATGTCCCCCCTGAAGTTCCATTCTAAATATTGGTGAAAGAATTTTTGAAATCGGATGAGTAGTTTAGAGATTACCCCCTACATGCAAACTTACAAACATTACTTTTTATAATATTAGTATAGATTATGTATTTTTGTTCTATTTTATTACCAGTACTAACTTGATTAAAATAATTTTTTATTGCTATTCAGTTCAATATCCTTTACATTATCATTATGGCACAAACAATACTTCAAACTCCTAAGTATATGTATTTCTTTATGGGTATTAAAACTAATAATTGTATTTCAGGGAATATTATTTGCTGATGTAGAAAAAATTTTTATTTGCTGTCAGTGTGAAACTTCACCAATATTTCAATCTTACTCATCCCTTTTGATTCTTATCATTAGCCATATTACCCAAGCAAAATTTTCCATTACAGATAATAGGTAATAAATTTAATATGTTTATAATTCAAATAATATATTTATTTTTATATTGTATTTATACATTTTTTTTCATTAAATTATTATTATTTATTACTTAGTAATTATTAATAATTGATTGTAAATACAAAATTATCAAATATAATAATCATTATTGAAATCTAATTAACTCTTACATTTAGAAATTTATAATTTGTGTAGAAAAGCTAACAGCAATAGTGTGTGTTTGATGATTTATCTAAGAACTTTCTATTTGTAGTATACAAGAAAATTCCAATAATACTGAAAAACAGAAGGTAATATATATTTATTTAATTATTCTAAAATAATAAGAACTTACCATGTTTCCCCGAAAATAAAACCTAGCAGAGGTTTTGCTGAATTGCAAAATATAAGACCGCCCCCCAAAAGTAAGACCTAGCAAAGTTTTGTTTTTAATCGTAACAGTCATCGATAGATGGTTGAAAGTGGCTGTTGGCTTTTTGAAAGTACAGCCACTGATTGATCAGCAGACAATCACGCCACACGGCATGATTTGCATAAGACTATGGCTTGGGAATCATAGATTTGCATAATGTTATGGCTGGTGATCACTAATTGGTTGGCCGGAATCACACCACATCACATTTGTATAGTGCTACGGTTCAGTAAGCACTAATTGGTCATCGAGCCCAATGTCGATGCTATGAAAAGGTTAAGTTGAAGTGAGAGTGAGAAGTCCACTCCAGCACGGGAACTTCGTAAGTTCAGTTCAACATGACCGGATTTATGTCACTCTCATTTGAGTTAGACTTGGGAATTTTTTTGTTCAACAATAAATGTGAATTCTTCTTCATGGCTAAATAAGACATCCCCTGAAATTAAGACCTAGCGCATCTTTGAGAGCAAAAATTAATATAAGACACTGTCTTATTTTTGGGGAAACAGGGTATAAAGTTTTTAAATAACTAATTACAAATATAATATCTTGCCATGAGATAATTATGATTGGCTGAAATAGAAGTAAGTTATTTATTACAAATTGAAATTGACCTGAATTGCTCTTAATGTAACTCAATGTTTCATTTCACACAGAAATTATCAGTAATGCATAATTTTATTTCATTATATAATAAACAGTGACTCTAGTTTACCAAGTTTTTAAAAAATTTTATATTATAAGCATTGGGTTGTGGAACCATTACTAACAAATATATTGAGTCACATCAGCAAAAAGTAAGTTGAGAAATTCTGGTCTATACTACTACTACTACTACTAGTATATGTAGTATAAAATTGTATAAAAATATAGACATTAAATAAATAAAATTTTCACAAATTTGATCCTTGCATATTTTTAAATGCATTATTTTTATTAACCTCTTTACTGCTTAGTAACAGGTGTTTCAAACACAGGTTTCTTTACCTAACACAGTTTTATAATGTCAAGTTTAGTTTCCATGGTAATAGAGCAATATTTTTTGCATTTATTTCTGCTGTTAGATATACTGCTATGTTTTGGATTTAGTTTTTGAAATACTTATTTAAAAGTTTATACAAATTGCAAACAACAGCGAAAAAATACCATTACTCCAACATTACTGACTTTGATGCCACCTCACAAGCAGCAATGGAATGTCAGAATTCATGCAAAAGTGAAATATGACGATATCTACTTATATAAGCCATTGATGCCACTGTTTGTATATCTATAATCTGTCATGGAATTCCTAGAATGCACACTAGGGGGTGTCCGTAGCAATGATTTTCAGCTATTATTTAAATTAATAGTATAATTCATTTATAAGAGTATATTGTATATTATTGTTTTTATTTATAATAGGAATTTATTATTTATATAAATTTTCTTATTTAAACCACGGAATGACACCGCTGCTGCTAGAATGCCCACCAGGAGGCATCTCGGGCTACTAGTTCAATAGAAATAAATCCACATGAATTATCTATTAAACATTTGTTATTTATTAGTGGATAAAGACTGATTTTGACACCCTCAGAATCCATGAAAATTTTAAATTTTAGTCACACAGTCAATTGTTTGTAAGTAAGGAAGTTCCTATATGTGTTTACAATATACTAAATATGTGGTTTCTAAGTATGATCAAATAAATAAAAAGTTTAATTTCAAAAACTTCCTCAGATATTTTTTAATTCTTTAAGTAAAAAAAAAAACAGAAGTTAATTAATCTTAAATAAATATTAACTGAAAAGCAATGCACATTACAAAACAGAATTTTATAATGAATAATTTTAATAAAATTAATTTTTAATTATAAAGTAGTAATAAAACATGAGTATGTGATAAATATATAAATTACAAAAAAAATTCAAATACAAAATCTGTATGATGACTTAAAAAAAAAGTAAAATTGATCATTTTAAATATTTCTGTTTTGAGGAAAATATTTGAGAGAAAAGAAATAAATTAAGGTATATTCTCTTCCTTTATTTTATTATTATTAAATAGTTTCTATATTATGTACATTTTTCCCTCTTCCAATTATTTTCTGTATAAAAAAATATATTTTATATTTTTAATATAATAAATGTTTATTATCAGTTATGCAGAAAGTCATCTGGTAATGAATTAGAAGTCTTATCAGCAGTAGTCTTCATCATGGATTTAATACCTTTAATGACTACAATGACAAGTTATCATATTATGAAGCATTTAGTACAAATTGTGAAAGATACTCCCGATTTATTACCTATTGTAAGACTAAATTTATGTTTATTATTTTATAAAAGATGTATTTTGTATGGCTGCAGCATTTTTGCTACCTGAAACATATTTATCTGTAATAGATTTTCAAAGACTAAGATGTCAAATGAAAAACTTTTTGAATAGCTTCATTAAGATAATATAATGGTAGTAATTAAAAACAATGTAACTAAAAATTAAAATATGGTCTTTGAAAACATTTTAAATGATAAAGATGCTGCAAATTTTATAAAATAAGCTAGTAAATCTTTTATAATTATACAATAACATAACAAATATTTACTGTTATTATCTATTATTTTCAAATTATCTATAATTAATTATTGATTGAAATATAATAAACAGTGAAATACTTCAATAAAATTTCAATTTTAACACGAATCATAGATTTGCATAATGTTATGGCTGGTGATCACTAATTGGTCGGCCGGGAATCACGCCACATCATATTTGCATAGTGTTATGGTTCAGTACGCAGTAATTGGTCATCGAGCCCGATGTAGACACTATAAAAAGGTTAAGTTGAAGCAAGAGTGGGAAGTCCACTCCAACGGAACTTTGTAAGTTCACTTCGGTTTTATTTAAGTTCAGTTCAACATGACCGGATATATGTCACTCTCGTCTAAGTTCAACTTGGGAATTTTTTTGTTCAATAATAAATGTGAATTCTTCATGGAAAAATAAGACATCCCCTGAAAATAAGACCTAGTGCATCTTTCAGAGCAAAAATTAATATAAGANGTATTTCAGGGAATATTATTTGCTGATGTAGAAAAAATTTTTATTTGCTGTCAGTGTGAAACTTCACCAATATTTCAATCTTACTCATCCCTTTTGATTCTTATCATTAGCCATATTACCCAAGCAAAATTTTCCATTACAGATAATAGGTAATAAATTTAATATGTTTATAATTCAAATAATATATTTATTTTTATATTGTATTTATACATTTTTTTTCATTAAATTATTATTATTTATTACTTAGTAATTATTAATAATTGATTGTAAATACAAAATTATCAAATATAATAATCATTATTGAAATCTAATTAACTCTTACATTTAGAAATTTATAATTTGTGTAGAAAAGCTAACAGCAATAGTGTGTGTTTGATGATTTATCTAAGAACTTTCTATTTGTAGTATACAAGAAAATTCCAATAATACTGAAAAACAGAAGGTAATATATATTTATTTAATTATTCTAAAATAATAAGAACTTACCATGTTTCCCCGAAAATAAAACCTAGCAGAGGTTTTGCTGAATTGCAAAATATAAGACCGCCCCCCAAAAGTAAGACCTAGCAAAGTTTTGTTTTTAATCGTAACAGTCATCGATAGATGGTTGAAAGTGGCTGTTGGCTTTTTGAAAGTACAGCCACTGATTGATCAGCAGACAATCACGCCACACGGCATGATTTGCATAAGACTATGGCTTGGGAATCATAGATTTGCATAATGTTATGGCTGGTGATCACTAATTGGTTGGCCGGAATCACACCACATCACATTTGTATAGTGCTACGGTTCAGTAAGCACTAATTGGTCATCGAGCCCAATGTCGATGCTATGAAAAGGTTAAGTTGAAGTGAGAGTGAGAAGTCCACTCCAGCACGGGAACTTCGTAAGTTCAGTTCAACATGACCGGATTTATGTCACTCTCATTTGAGTTAGACTTGGGAATTTTTTTGTTCAACAATAAATGTGAATTCTTCTTCATGGCTAAATAAGACATCCCCTGAAATTAAGACCTAGCGCATCTTTGAGAGCAAAAATTAATATAAGACACTGTCTTATTTTTGGGGAAACAGGGTATAAAGTTTTTAAATAACTAATTACAAATATAATATCTTGCCATGAGATAATTATGATTGGCTGAAATAGAAGTAAGTTATTTATTACAAATTGAAATTGACCTGAATTGCTCTTAATGTAACTCAATGTTTCATTTCACACAGAAATTATCAGTAATGCATAATTTTATTTCATTATATAATAAACAGTGACTCTAGTTTACCAAGTTTTTAAAAAATTTTATATTATAAGCATTGGGTTGTGGAACCATTACTAACAAATATATTGAGTCACATCAGCAAAAAGTAAGTTGAGAAATTCTGGTCTATACTACTACTACTACTACTAGTATATGTAGTATAAAATTGTATAAAAATATAGACATTAAATAAATAAAATTTTCACAAATTTGATCCTTGCATATTTTTAAATGCATTATTTTTATTAACCTCTTTACTGCTTAGTAACAGGTGTTTCAAACACAGGTTTCTTTACCTAACACAGTTTTATAATGTCAAGTTTAGTTTCCATGGTAATAGAGCAATATTTTTTGCATTTATTTCTGCTGTTAGATATACTGCTATGTTTTGGATTTAGTTTTTGAAATACTTATTTAAAAGTTTATACAAATTGCAAACAACAGCGAAAAAATACCATTACTCCAACATTACTGACTTTGATGCCACCTCACAAGCAGCAATGGAATGTCAGAATTCATGCAAAAGTGAAATATGACGATATCTACTTATATAAGCCATTGATGCCACTGTTTGTATATCTATAATCTGTCATGGAATTCCTAGAATGCACACTAGGGGTGTCCGTAGCAATGATTTTCAGCTATTATTTAAATTAATAGTATAATTCATTTATAAGAGTATATTGTATATTATTGTTTTTATTTATAATAGGAATTTATTATTTATATAAATTTTCTTATTTAAACCACGGAATGACACCGCTGCTGCTAGAATGCCCACCAGGAGGCATCTCGGGCTACTAGTTCAATAGAAATAAATCCACATGAATTATCTATTAAACATTTGTTATTTATTAGTGGATAAAGACTGATTTTGACACCCTCAGAATCCATGAAAATTTTAAATTTTAGTCACACAGTCAATTGTTTGTAAGTAAGGAAGTTCCTATATGTGTTTACAATATACTAAATATGTGGTTTCTAAGTATGATCAAATAAATAAAAAGTTTAATTTCAAAAACTTCCTCAGATATTTTTTAATTCTTTAAGTAAAAAAAAAAACAGAAGTTAATTAATCTTAAATAAATATTAACTGAAAAGCAATGCACATTACAAAACAGAATTTTATAATGAATAATTTTAATAAAATTAATTTTTAATTATAAAGTAGTAATAAAACATGAGTATGTGATAAATATATAAATTACAAAAAAAATTCAAATACAAAATCTGTATGATGACTTAAAAAAAAAGTAAAATTGATCATTTTAAATATTTCTGTTTTGAGGAAAATATTTGAGAGAAAAGAAATAAATTAAGGTATATTCTCTTCCTTTATTTTATTATTATTAAATAGTTTCTATATTATGTACATTTTTCCCTCTTCCAATTATTTTCTGTATAAAAAAATATATTTTATATTTTTAATATAATAAATGTTTATTATCAGTTATGCAGAAAGTCATCTGGTAATGAATTAGAAGTCTTATCAGCAGTAGTCTTCATCATGGATTTAATACCTTTAATGACTACAATGACAAGTTATCATATTATGAAGCATTTAGTACAAATTGTGAAAGATACTCCCGATTTATTACCTATTGTAAGACTAAATTTATGTTTATTATTTTATAAAAGATGTATTTTGTATGGCTGCAGCATTTTTGCTACCTGAAACATATTTATCTGTAATAGATTTTCAAAGACTAAGATGTCAAATGAAAAACTTTTTGAATAGCTTCATTAAGATAATATAATGGTAGTAATTAAAAACAATGTAACTAAAAATTAAAATATGGTCTTTGAAAACATTTTAAATGATAAAGATGCTGCAAATTTTATAAAATAAGCTAGTAAATCTTTTATAATTATACAATAACATAACAAATATTTACTGTTATTATCTATTATTTTCAAATTATCTATAATTAATTATTGATTGAAATATAATAAACAGTGAAATACTTCAATAAAATTTCAATTTTAACACTTAATGATGAAATTCAATAATAAAGAATCTCTCTTTGGTAATTTTGTTACTAAAATAAGTCGTAGATTTTTTTATCTTTTAATCTTTAACATTAGTTTATTGTATATATAAATGTTATACAACTCTAATTATATATTTGATATATATTTATAAATATATAACTTTATTTAAAATTTTTAGACATTTAAAACCTGGGTACCACGATTAATGTATGTCAGTCACCCTGCACTTTTTCATTTGTGTTTTTATATGAATGTAAGTTTTATTATTCCTAGATTAGTTTTTATATTATGTAAATATATAATAATAATATTAATTAATTAATTCTAGAAAGAATTTGGAACTGATCTATTCACTTGTCAAGAAGAACAAAATTTATTAAATCAATTAATATTATGTAGTCATCATCCAGCATTAACTACAACACACAGACTTTTGTACATGGATTGGATTGAAGCATGTCTTGATAAAAAAGTAAAATGATTAAACTTTTAATATTAAAAATCATATGAGACAAAATGTTTAAAAAATTAATTTAGAATTTAATTCAAATCATATTTTTATTCTTCAGGTACATAAGTCTCGATGGAATATGCCGTCTGATCAGCTATTGTTATTTATACCAAATTCGTTTGATGGACCGGATACTCAAGAGAAAAAACTAAAATTATTAGCAACATTTACACCAAATAGTAAGTATTGTTTAAAATCTTTTGTTTTGTTTTATCATTGAAAACTATTGTAAAATATATTTCAGATCAAAATTATGATCTATTAATGAAGGCTCTTCAGAACTTGAAAAAATACATCATTGTTAATCAAAGTATTCGTGGATCAAGTTCATTATTTAGGACCTTGTTTTGTTACTTTATTTTGCATAATAATAAAATGATGAAAGACGAAATTCAAAGGTAAATTATTATCTTAGAAATAATTAGAAAATACTAATATTTTTTAATGTTTTTTCTCATAGAAAATGTGAATTAAAATTTCAGATTTATATTGGATTTAGTACAAGATTATCCTCATTTTTGTAATTGTGTTTTGGACTATTTTCAATGCATAAGACATTATTACCCAGATAGGTAATCTTATTTTCTGAAATATCCTAAAGAAGAACTTTTAGTGTAAAGAAAAATTTTATTTATTAGAGAATGCATATATGTGTTGGTTTTAATTGATTTTTTAAAATCTTTTTAGCATGTTTGTTCATGAGTTGATGACAGATTTAATAGAAGTGATAACAGAATTACCTTTGAAAACAATTCAAAAAAACTTTGAGTCATATTTATTAATATTGGAAAAAGTTTTATTAGAAAAATCTGAAATTTGTAAACCTCAAGTAAGATTCTTTTAAATATATATTGTATATTTATCAGTTTTAAAATTAGATCAGTCCTGCTACATTGAAATTATTTTGCACAAACCTGATGCAGCAAACAATAGAAAAGTTAGATTTAGAACTTTATTCTTCTGATCTTTATTCATTTATATAACTTTAGAAATCTTTGAATTTTGTCGTAATTCAGAATAGATAAAAGTGAATTTACAGGAAATCCTCATTAATTTTTTGAACTCAGATAGTTCAAATCCTGTTAGTTTGTAACTGTACTATTTGTCTCAGCTGGGGATATAGAGATTTACATGCTAAGGAATTTGGTTTGTTCAAAATATAGATACTTTGAAATTTGAAATGAAAATTTCATTCTAACTGTGATATGCATATAACTTGCATGTTTAAATTGAAGTTATGTGGCTCCTTACTATAAGAGGATAAAAGACCACAAACAGCTTTAATTTGGTCAACATGGTTTTACTTTTACATTTTTGGATATCACATTATCTTACCTTTTTCTCTTATCTCATAAAATACAGCTGGGTTTCAGGGCTGTAAGTGTCCTACAAGTTGGCAGATTGAAATATTTGTAGGATTATGCTACTACATTTGGGCATCTTACTACTTTTTGGGTCACTTTGAAAATTATTTGGGCTATATTTTGAGAATTCTGCTTTACTTTTTATAAAACTTATCTAGCAACCTATGAAGTTCTCACTGGACATGTGCTATTTACCTCAGATTATTTATAATATTATTAATAATTATTAATTAATGAAAGTAGCATTCTGTATATGTAGCTATATTCCATTTGCTTAATAATTACATCAGTTATGTGGCATTTGGCATATTGTACAGAAATTTATAAATCTCAGATAATTTGAAACTCATTGTGATTATTTTCTCCCTTGAATTTCGAACTAACGAGGATTTCCTGTGTTAGTTTCAATGATCCAGAATTTCTCATTAGAGGATTCAGAAAGCTGATAGAAAATCTTAATGGGGAATATATAAATATTAAATAAATGAGAGAATCTGGCTTAGATAGTAAATAAAAAAAATAATTCTTTTGTATCTCATTAATCAAAACCAACAGAACTTTTGCTACCCATGTTCATGTGATAGTTAACAAAAAAAAAAGTTTCTTTGAGAATTTGGATTTCTTTCTTTAAGTTAGAATAGATATAAATGTAAAAAACAATCATAGTCTTTAAAGACGTATAATAATAAACTAATTCTAATGATATTATTATATATACAAAAAATAAACAGAAGACAAACAAATAATGTTTTAAAAAAATAATAATAATTTTAAATTTGTTTATTGAATCAAACAATGCTGTTTTTATTTATTTTTAAATATTTTATTTTAATGCAATTATAATAATCTTTAAATTTCCCAAATGATATACTGTATTTATAAAAATCTAAAGTGATTATATAGTAAAACGTAATTTTTTTATATAAAATTTTAATATATATATCTTAAATTCTGTTTTAATATGATTTATATTTTAGATTATTTTGAAATTTATTAAGAAAATGCTTGAAAATACAAATGTGTGCCAAAGTGGAGACTGGCTTTTGGGAAACAGTATATTATCTGTTTGTTGTAGTTTTCTACAATATCAAAACATAAATTGTTTCTATACTGGTAAGAATATATCATCTAAGTTTTCTTTTAAATACAGATCTTAACATATACTCATTAATACAAAAAATTATGCACCAAGGATGAGGTATTGGAATTGAATGAAATGTTATTAGTGTGAAAATATCATTGTCATTAAGTGATTATAAACAAAGAGACAGTTTCCTGTGGAATGATACAATTTAAGTGAATATTTGGTATCTTGTAGAACCTCCTCTTTCCTGGATACATGCAATATGGTTGAGTGCAGAGGCATATAGGCACCATATGCCATCCTCTAACAGATTTACCCACAGATGTTGCAACTGCTGCTCCAGATTGCCAGATCCCTTGTGCTCATAGATAGTCAAAGCTGACAACTCACCTGATCCACAAATACTCCATAAGTGACGAATCTGCAGATCTGGCAGGCCAAGAAAGTGTGATGTGACAGAGTCATTATTGGGAAATGTTAGTTGTGCATAGCTGAGCATTATCTTGCTAGAAAATGGCTGTTTGTACCATGCAATGAAAAGCAACACATGAGGACATGATTTCTTGAATATACCACTTTGCTCTCAATGTTCTTTATACCACCAATACATACAATAGTCATAAAAGTGATTATTATACCTCTTTTCAACTCTTTAATAAGTTTTATTTCTTTTTTCTTTTACCAGTCTTTTAATATTACAGTTTTAATTGCATTTTATTTAATTGCTTTTATAATTTACAGGTATTTTATTATACATTGAAATCCAGTTGTCACAATTATCTATAACATACATGTAATTTCTGTCATCAAGATTGCTGTAAAATTTAAAACAGGATCAATGAGGAGTATTTTGTCCAAAATGCATATCCTCAGAAACTAATAAAAGCCTGTGTTTCCATCTTAATTGTATTCCTGTATTATTTATTTTCTCAAGCATTTTTATGCTTACTCATAACAAAGCCAACAATGCTGGGGTGCTAATGGCAAAACACAAAGTGATCATCATGCATGCAAATTTGTCTCTGCTAATTGCTTGCCAATAGTATAGGAAGAAAAAGGGTAATCTAGCAAAACTTCTATCTCTGTATGTCGGATAAAGATGCCATTTCAGATGTTTGTGCTTGTCTCACAACCACTCCTGGTGGTCTGTTAGAACATCCAGAGTACCCTTTCATATCAACTGCCCCAACACCTTTTCACAGACAGAACAGCAGCACTTTGATGGCATCACTTGGCATACAATCAGATCACAACTGTAAAAATTTACTTACCTGTCTGAGACATAGCATTGCTAAATTTTGCAGTAATTAGACTGTAACTTTATCTAGGTGCATAACTTTTTTTTGTCAATGAGTTAAGCAGTATTTTATAAATGTAAAAATATTTTTGATAGAATTTGGAGAAATACTATATCAAATGATGCAGTTTGAAGATGTAGATATTAAAATTCAAGCTAAATTATATTATTCTGCTCTTACTTTGCTCTCTTCACAAAAGGTAAAACTTGGTTGTTTTTATTTGATTTGACAAATAAGTTATAACTAAAATAGGTTCTAATGAATAAGGTTAAATAAATTTTAGAAAAGTAATTTTTTGGTATAAAGCTTTGTTAGATTATTTGCATTTTAATGTTTTAAATTTTCCTTCAAATAGAACTTTATTAAATTATCTTATTGTGTCTATTATGATGATTTAAATAACGTTTTAAGTATAATTACTTCCAATTTTAGGTGCAGAAATTATTTGAAAATCAAAATCATTCTCTTCCTGCAAAACAATCTCTTTGTAATCTTGTCACAGGTAAAAATTAGTGTTGTTTACATGAATTATAAATATACAAATTACTAAAAAAAATGTTTATGTGTTTAGGGAATTCAGCATTTCATTTAACACATCCAATTCAACACCTTCAAAATCCCGTTCTCAAATTGGAGAGGTAGTATATAATAATTTATTGTAATTATTTAATTGCAGTAACAATAAATTTAATATATAACTGTTCATTTATAATTATTTTAAAAATATTTACTATGTTCAAAGATTGGTTTTAAAATTTTACATTTCTTTACAGAATTTCTCCTGCAGAATCTCAACTTGAAACTAAAATAATTCAAGATATTTCATTTGAAATTACCAAAGGTTTTTTCTACATGTTGTTTATTATATTTACATACAATTACTATTATAATTTATTTTTATTTATTTATTTATTTTTCTTTTTTTCTAAAGACATTTTGGACAAATATCACAAGTATATATACGAAGATTTTGTTCCTGTTGTTACTATTCCTCTTACACTTCAGTTTGTAAGTAAATATAATTTATATACATTATTAATATAGAATTAAAACCTCTTAATAATTGAATCAATAATCAGACAGAATGGACAAATACAAAGTTTGAGATACTTTACTGCATCGTCTTCAAATTTTTTTCTCTTCCTTATTGTGATGAAATTAATGGTAAGTGTTTTAACATAAGATATCTTAAAAGTAACTTTTTCCTCTACAGAATAATACATGATAGATTTTATTCTAAAAAATTTTTCAATTTTTTGCATAAATTAAAAAATAAAATGTCTATTCAGTTATTTTCATGTTCAATAGTATATCTTTATAACTAAAAAAATAGTTTTAAATTAAAATCTAATTATATAATCTGATAATTTTTTCTAAAATTCAGTAAAAATACAGGGAAAGAAAAACAATTGTCAATAAAACTTTGGTATATTTATACTGGCATCTTATACAGTAATTTGATAATATACTCTAGCAAACAGAAATCAAGTGTAATGTAAAACTATAAGTTTGATTTTCCAAAAGATTATAGATATAATAATGAATTCTATACAGGAATAATAGAATAAATCAAATAGGTAAGGAATATGTCAACATTATTATTCTAATAATCAATTTCAAAGTGAAAGATATGTATAAAAATTTTCAATATACAAAATATACCTATATTTACCACAAGAATTTTCAGAAAAAACACCTTTGTTTAGTATGAATTTATTGTTATCTTTTTTTGCTATGAAAACAGAGAAAATGTAGAGAAAATTACAAGAATTAATATATGAAGTAACTGATATTATATTTTAAAAAAGGAATTACTTACAAAATATTATAAATGTGAGGTTTGTGCCTTTCAGTACTTGTTGCCAAATGTAAGTGTTTACACTCAGAAACTTCTGACACCAAATAGGTTATGCCTACTAAAATTTTCAAGCATTTTTTTGGATAACAATGAAGTCTCATATGCGAGACTATGAGTAAAGTAAGATGGAGAAAAAAACAATGAGATTCAGTCGGAAGAAGTCACTCAACGCAGTAAAATACTATAAAACATTTATTAGCTGGCACGAAAGTTCATACAGTATGGTATACATTGAAGTATGATGTTTATGTTCATTATGATCATAGAGAGAGAGCATTTACAATTTATAATACCTTTGAATCCTGATAAATACTTCCCACACTGCAATACATCATCAGACAAACAAATCCTGATGATGATGTATGATAAAATAGTTCTAGATATTGAATTTGGATGATATTTCCCATGTTGGATAGCAGCCAAACAGAATACAGATGAAGCGCACAAACAAAAATCCAAATGAGTAGTTTCAAACACTGATCCTAATGGCTTGAAAAACAGGTGATGACTGTTCCTTGTTACATTCAAAAGTGCAGTTTTACAGATGTAACTAATAGTCGAGGGAAAGGTGTTGTAAGGTGTCACAATTACTCTGAAAAAAATGACATCTGACGCCCTCTCAGGACAGAAAGTTGACATATCCCATCTAATGAGATCATATAGTTGTGTTTTTTCTTTGTTTAGTTTAATTTTCACATAAAGATACTGCTGAAAATGAATCAAGAAAGAATAGGAATAATAAAGATAGAATAGTATAAACTACTTACAAAGCTATGCAGTCAGTTTAAAATAAAAATGATTTATTATCCAAATTATGAAGATCAATCACCATTATAACTACAATTTGCTTAGTTATTACCAAAATAATAATAATTTTAAATAAATAACATCATATACGATAATGAAATCACAAATTTTCATTTAAAAATTAATAATTTAATGTAAAATTTATTAATAGTGAAAATATTAAACCTTTCATGAGATAGAATTAATGATTTAAAAAAAAATTGTATTAAAAGATAAACTTTCTTCATCAACAAACAAAATTGGTAATATGATTTGCTATATCACATTATCTCTCTTGATAAATTTCATTGTGATTCATCAGTGAGTGATTTTAATTCTATACTTGTTTCAGCAAAAGATGAATGTGATGTCATTCTTCCAAATAAAGTGTTTACTGATTGCTTAGAACTAGCAAGTTGTAAATATCATTTCCATTGTCATAACTTTATTAGGATTTTATAGAATCCTATTTTCTTTGTTTAAAAAACAATTATTACAGTTTTTTTTGGATGTACTGTAAAAACAATTCAAGTTCATCTTTATAATATTGTCTCATGATGGCATTCAAGAATGGAGAAGAATTCAAACAGAATTAGAAGCTGATTTTGAGAAAATTCTTGCAAAGAATGTTTTTAGAGACTACTAAAAGTTACTTCTTTCACGCCTATAATAAATTTAACAATAAATAAGCTTAAACTGTGTTTATATTTATTATTATGTTTCAATAATGAATAGATTATAACCTTTGAATTTATAGTGAAAATTTAACTTAGAACATTTTTGATTCAGTTAAAAGCTACAGTTCATCAGAAAAATATAAACTACTCAATAGAAGACTAGATTGAGGGATCAGATGTGATGTGACTTCTCATTCTTACACTTAATTACCTATTATCATGTGCCTTTCAGTTCTAGCTAAACAAACTATAATATACTGTATATTATTTTAATATATTTCAAATTCAATTAGCATTGTTGTACTTTATAGGTATGCATTGTTTAACAACAGGGATACATTCCAAGAAATACATCATTAAGTGGCACATATCTATATTCAGTTTTATTGATTTTTTTTTCTTTAATTGTTTATTTTAATCCCTGTTGCAACTGTACTTTATCTTAACATCCATTAATCAAATCTGGATCATTTATTGTAATATAATATATTTTACTGTTTTCTATATGCAGATATTGAAGTTTTACTTGCTAAGAAGAATACAAAATCAAGTAAATGTTATAATTTTGTAAATTCTGTATTGTATAATAATGAAACTGTTTAAGAAAACTTATTACATTTTTTTCTAGATGAAGTTGTGAATTTAATACTTTGTCCAAATTCACCTAAACCTTTAAATGTTAAATGCAGGTAAGTAATTTTTGGAAATTCATTATAACATTGATACATTAATGGCAATTACGTGTATTTTTGAGATTATAAATATTTGAATACATAAAAAATGTAAATATGATTTATATGAAATTCAAAATTAAATTTTTCAAATTTTATAAGCAAATAATGTCATTTCATTAATATTTGTTAATGAAGATATAAACTTAAAAAATTTTAAATTTAACAATATTGTATAAACCAGTAGAACTGAATAACCAAATGGCCAAGATATTTAAGGTGATGGCTTATCATTCTGGGGATCTGGGATCAAATCTTGACAGTTGAAAATCCCCAGGAATTTTTTGAAGGTGTCTGTCAGGATTCATAGTCCTCATCCTTCACCACCTGGCCATCTCTTTTGTGAGTCTGGTCAAACCCACAATGAATACAGTTAAAAACAGGCCCTCTTAGTGCCCATGGAATAGAAATAATTGAAAAACCAATATAATCATAATAATTATATAATGCAATTAAACTTCTTTTAATCATATAAATATATCTTTACAAAATACGATAGAAATAAAATATAAATATAGTTACTGTAATTCTTTTTTGTTGTTTGAAATTTATCAAATGTAAACTTTAATGGGCTAAATTAATTTACATAATTTTAGACATTCTTATTTTGATTTAAATACAATTTATTAATGATTGAAGTATAAAGTAAGAAAAATACCAATATTTTAATGTCATCTTTCAGTAAAATCCAAATTAGCTTATCATATTTCGTAATTAATTAATAATTAATGAAAAACTAACATTTAAAAATGCATTTTAATACAATGAATTAAGAAAGATATAACAAGGTGTGGCTCTGGGAGTTGTTCAGAAGGAAGTGTCCATCATGAATGTATACTTGTTCATTATTATAGAACTAATTTGCCATATTAGAACATTGTTTTTAATATTTTCTAATAATACACGTTTATTAATATAAAAATAAATTTATTTAACAGATCATATTAAACATACCTAAACAAATATTTATAGTTGGTACTGTGCTCTTTTTCAAAAATAATTATTGTCAGTGTGCATAATTGGTGACTGACACGTGTAGATTCTTTTTTCCCAAGCAACCACTGGTACAGTGTACTAACTGTCGATAGTTTTTATGTTATCTGTCAGTATGGTGAGCCAGCACAGTGGCCGAAAAATAGTCTCAATCATTATTAATTAAACAGTCTTCGTTTATATCATTTAATTTTAATAAAAACATTATTATTATGTTGCAAATGTCATGCTCAGCTGATACTGGTACCAAATGCTATACCGGACTAAAGTCAAGGCATAGCTACCCAAGCAAGGGTAACATTAAGATGTGTTATTGATGTGTGTGTGTCAACATCTAGAAACTGACAATGTGACATGTGTTCAACATTGCGGCTTTCTATAGTGCCATGTATATGTTTTTATTAAGGTTTAATGTTTCTAGACTTTTGTGTATGTGATATGACACCAGTATAGGAGAGAACAGCAGATACAATAAATACTTTATCCATCCTCCACAGCTGCCTTATTTCTTGAGCAAGAGAAGTATACTTGTTGATTTTTTTCAGTGTGAGCAATTTTTATGTTATGAGTGTTTGGAACAGAGATGTCTATTATATAAGTAATCTTACTGTATTTGTGAATGAGAGTGATGTCAGGTCTATTGTGATGAATTGTTTTATCTGTGATTAAGGCACTGTTGTAGTATATTTTGTGTGTCATTTTCAAATACAGTAGAGCATTGATTATCCAACCCCCAATTAACCGTCACATCAGTTAACCGACCGTTCTAGTCGGCAAATTTCAAATGCCCGCTAGTGATGTGGCGCTACAATATTTGGCTATGTCTTGGCTACTTTAATATTATTTTTGTTAAATTTTTGCGTGTTTTAGCTGGCATCAACAGCTCGACCATAGAAGGGAGGCCAGTATTTAAACAAGACTTAATTTTCTAATTATGAGTGGTTGTTTGTTTTGTGAGCAATAAAATAATTTTAAAATAATTTTTAACTGTACAATAGCGACGATTATTTAAAAAAAAAAATTTGTTAGGCTTAACATTGATGAAAATTCAACGCAAAGTTGGTTAATAGCAATATACTAATATACTATACTAATAATGTTTTTTTTTTTTTCATTCTTTTCGGTTATCCGATTTTTTCAGTTATCTGACCAACCTGAGTCCCCAATTGAGTCAGATAATCGATGCTCTACTGTACTACCTCTGGAGTATATTTGTAGTATGGTACCTGGATGAGCAATGTTCCAGCCTGCATTGCTCTATGGTTTAGTAAAATTACTGGGCTCTCCCACCATGACCAGGTGGTGACCACGGGAGAGTTATTATTATTATTATTATTATTACTACTACTACTACTACTAATACTTATTTTAAATTGTAAAATATGTTTCAATATATATAAATATCTTTAAAAATAACTTATATCAATATATGTATTTTCAGAGCTGAATTTACATGTCAAGACGGCAGAAGTTATCAAAATGATATTCCGAGTATAAATGTTCTGTTTGAAGATTTATTTCTTCCTCTTCCAGTTCCTCCTTTTCTCTACGAAAAAGTTTCCGAAAACGTTTGGAGACGAAAACTATTTGATACTCTTTGGACGCATTTTGATCTTCAATCCGACAAAGGGTAAGATTACAATTTAAATATTTTTAATTTCTTTAATAAATTAAATTGGTTAAATTTAATATATTTTTTAACTTTTTTGTAGTATTTTTTCTTCAACATGTCAGCAGTCTGTTCACAAATTAAAAGTTTCAAAATCAAAATTAAATGAAATCACAAATCAATGGAAAAAATTTTATATTCAAAGTTTAAATAGCAATACAAAAGAAAGATTTGACTTTGGCATACTTCTTCCCAAATGTTGTCATTTACTAATGAAAATTGAACTGATCAAAGATATTCCTATACTTCACATCATGACAGATAACTGGAGCATATTTCCATTACTGAGTTCTTATCTTCAAAAATTGGAATCTGTCAAAGGGTAAATAAACATATTCATTTAAATTTGCCTGCATTCCAAATATGCTGCAGCAGTTTGCCAGTTTATTGTGATAACAAACAAAAATATTTAGTCAATATGTCACAATATCACAGATTATCTTTAATATCAGAAATGATTGTTAAAGTACTATTTTATTGTATAAATGTACAAAATTTTTATAAGAAATAAATATTGTATTTAATCAAACTATTAGGAAATAATTTTTTTATAAGGTATATAAATTCATTTGCTGAATCGTGTAAACTGATAAACGACAAAATGAATACTGTATAAATTATTTTTTGCATTGTGAAAAATATGATTAATTTATAACATCAGACTAAGCTTAAAAACAATTTTACTAGCTCATTTTTTATTCATAATTCAGATACTTAAATAGGAAAAGTTTGATAAAACAGTGTTATTTAAACTGATTTGTTTACGAACTTCAATTTATTTATAAATTATCATGTGCAAACTCATATACTACCTTTATCAGAAGGTAGCTCACTACACAATAGTTGACGGCATCTATAAAATTGGTTTTTGGAATTTGCCAATTTGGTCGACAACTTAATACTACGCGATAAAATATCAGCTGAAATTTTGGGGTCGGAATCGGCTCAAATCCGATTCTGGCCCCAAAACACCACATTTACTATAGATGAGATATTTCTATTTCTTGCTTGCCAGTCAATCTCATTGCAAGGCAGATTCACCTTTCATAACAAAATGTGACTGTATACAGTAGAGTTCCGCTAGCCCAAACATATTTCAGTCCGTGGAGAGAAAATTTAGCTTGCAAAATATACATTTTTTGTATTTTCTAGTTGAATTTAAATGGTATTAATGGTACAAAAAGATTTAGAATTCCACTACAAAAAAATTGTATTTTATTGTAGTACAGTACTGTATTAATACTGTACAAAATTAATAAATCAGTGTTTGACATAGCCTATTAAAACAGCAGATCTATACTGTACTTACATATGAACACAGAAACAAAAGTAATTGATAGTGTTGGATATATATAAACAGGACCTGTTTTACTGCTTGCTTCTGCATTATTTCAATTATTTGCCTAATCCGAACAGGGCTAGGTCCCAATTAGTTCGGACTAGCTGGACTCTACTGTATTCTTAACGAGTCACTGCCTTGTTCTAGAATTATGACACAGAAATACAATTTTTAGTTGGCATTAAATATCTTTATAAAACAAAAAAATAAAAATAGATAGATTATACTGTTGATGTTCACCTAGATGGCCCCAATGGCAACACTTCCGAAATCTGGACATCGTGTGGCTTTCAATGATTTTCAATAATTCCAACATCGTTTAGTTTTTAGATTATTTTTTAATTTTATTAATCAGATTAGTGTTATTTCATTTCCATGTTTCGTAAATTTATTTCTCGTAGATTTTATAAAAATTAATATCATCTGTTTCGTTGTAATGTTGTATTCACCTGAAGGTCAAGTTTTATGGCACAAGTGGACTCTCACGCAGATTGTCCTGAAATAGAAATTGATAAAAGCATGTCGTCGGATGTTAAGATTGCCATAAAATTCGGATTTCAACACGTAGATGCAGGTCGTATTAAACGCGATTGTCGGTGTAAATTATTTTACAGAAAGGATCGTGATTCGGTTTTATTTCAATGTCATAGATGCAAGATGAGCAGTTCGCCGTTCCACGGAACCTGTAAAGTTCAATTTGGGAAAAATTTCATTGGGGAATGTATTTTTTTTCCTTCGTATCGCATCTAATTTGCATAGAGTGTATTTTGAGCGCGACCAGTTCTGCTGTAGACTGTGCGAAATTCGTAAGATACGTTTTGATGATTTCCATGTATAATTTAACCAAAATGATCCGGAAAGTTTGTCGAAATCGATGAAACTGCCGTGAGTAAAAGGAAAAACAAAAAAGAAACCGAGCCTTCTTGCCCTGAACACAATAACCAAGAAATCTGAAATCGAAAGAGGAAGAAAGAAGAAACGTCTGTTAAAAGTACGGGAAAAGTGCCAAGTAAGATAAAACACAATGTAGTTGGTGAAGACGTATCAGAATCATGTTTTAATTCGAAGAAAAAGGAGAAATAAACAATTAGTAGCGTGTTAAATGTGATTACAAAATGTATTTTTTTTTCTTTCCTTACGGTTTTGTTAGTATTTACACTGTTTGCCATCTTATCTGTGGACATAGTGTCCGTAAACAAAATGGCGGCCGGAAGTGCCGCCATTGGGCTACCTAACCGATTATACTCTTTCAGAAAGGGAGCTGCACAAAAAAACAGCAATTAAGTCTGCAAAATATGATAGACTCTTTGGGGTTTGCATACTAAAACCAGTATTGGACCCCAAATGGTTTGTTTTTTTGGACGAGAAAGTGTTTGGGTACACCTTTCTAAACATTTGTCCTTGTCCAATTCACGGCCGTGTTTTCTAAATACCCAGTATATTAAAATTGTTTGTTAGGCGTTACAATGTATTATACAGGGCGAGTGAAAAGTCAACAACTAAAATATTTTTATTTTATTTTAATTTATTTAGATAAACCTAAACATCACTAAATTATTTTGTATTAGATCAATACACAGTGTAGGTGTACCTAAAATTCCGGCGCCATCTTGAAAGCCATTACAGTGGATGATCGGTTACCGAACATAATCCGTTCCAAGACTTTGTTCGTTATACGAATTGTTCGTTAACCGATTATCGATTTGCCATAAGTTTTTATGGGAATTTGATTAATTCGTTCCGGAGAATCCAAAAAAATAAAAAAAATAAAAGCTTTTTTTTACTACGTTTATTTATATGTAATAATAAATATACCAGTATATATATGCAGTCTTGCATTTTTATTAGTCAAGTTTTTTCCGTTTGTGGGGGTTAAAGAATCTGTCCAATGTCGATTGCTTTTCTCTTTTCTTCAGGATTTTTCGGAAGTAATTATGTAATAGTATTGTAATTGTAAAGATCCCCAATCCCATTAGCCTTATTCTGGTTTGGATGCCACTTGAATGATCGTTGTTCTTGACATCCCTGGACTTCTTATGTCGTTAGATCAGTTTCAAGTTACATTATGAGCTCTAAAATGCTCTTTATTTCTCAGATGTGATTTTCATTACTCCATTAACAGCTTGAGACTTCTTGATATATCTTCCATAGTTAAAATTATGCCTACTGTAGACTTGTTCAAGCCATACTGTCTAACAACATCAGACATCTTGTGCCCACTTTCTACCTTGGCTATTATCTCTTACTCGGTTTCTGCGGTGAGCACAGTTCTCGACACTCCTCTTTTTAGGCTCCATAATATCATCAGTTTCTTTTTTAAATAATAAGTTCAGAAAAGCACTTACAAAAATTCAGAGAACAGAAATCAACTAGTCCACAAAAAATTATTTAAATGCAAGGCCCGGATGAAATTCGAAATTTGGTATTAAAACGTTAACGAATATCCGATGGGGCGGTTAAACTTTCATCTTTCGTAAATAAACCCCGACGCAAAACTTAACAAGTGCCCGTCCGACAGTCTCGCGAATACTATAGAAATTATTTGTCAGAAAAGTAAACAAGGGAGAGTTTCAAAATTCGGAGATATACTATCCGATCGGTATCGGGTTGAGCGTCGATTTTGACGTCTCCCGCGCTCCGAAAGGTTTCGAATTATTACCCGAAGATAAGGGAAAAATCAATAGGTATTCGTTATTTATTTTTCATTTTTCGCTTCTTTTTATGTTTGTTCAGTAAAGTGTTCGTTGTCCGATCATAAAAATCTTTCGCGAAAGTATTCATTATCCGATTTGTTCGCTATCCGAACTGTTCGTTAACTGATCACCCACTATACTTACTACTAAAAATTTTCAAATGGAAAGAGGGTGAAACTACTCGAACGTAGGAAATATTGTCCGAAAAATATACGCTGGAGATCTATTTTAATCTATTTTTATTTCTTTTGAAATTATCACATGTTAAATATAAATTGTTTTAACACGCACGCCCTTCTCAATATTGTCTTTATCGATAGTGGAAGAACTGGGCAAAATTTTTTATGCTGGCAGGCAAAGTCACAGAAAATACACTGCTGATTTCAACTTTCAAGTGGCAGTTGTTCGTTCGGGAGGGAAGGACCTCCACTTTAAAAAATTCCTGGGGGGCTTCAACTCGTCCGGAGTCGATCCCGGCTCCCCAGAGCGGCAGCTACCACCTTTATCGCTCAACCACAAAATATTTTTTTTACATAAACTTGATTCCGTTTATATTTAAATTACGTATTGAATAAGTAATACAACGTTTAAACTGTACGTAATAACCATTAACAATCAACATTATTTTATTGTTACTTTTCGTATTTATGACATATTGATAAGCTTTGGAGGTTTTCTTTAGATATAATTCAAATATAGAATAATTTCAGACGTTGTAAAAAGATAGCAAAATGAGTACAGAAGATTATTTAGCAACCAAAGAATTAAATTGGGAAAATACTTTATCCGAACCTGCCATAATCCACATTCCACATACAATAATTGGCCAAGTGACTAAATGCATTGTTTCTGACTCTAACATTCCAGACGAAAAGTCAACTTTATTATCCATAGCAATTCAACAAGGCTACAAAAGTCCTCATCGAGATAAAATTCGACCGATTTTAAAGCAACCGCACAGAATAGAATTTCACGGCAGATTAAATATGGACGAGGATACGTTTAATTTTATCGCTAAACACATAAATGATGGTGATATAATGAACGAATACATTTTAACATATCAATCTCTTGGAATATCGATTTTTAGGATAATGAATTTCACTGAAGCAATATCACTAGAACCGTTTATATCACCGCCAATCATCATCATAGCCAAACCTCTCTCGGATTATGAAACTAAACAGTTAAGAAACCATTATGGTTCTTCGAATCTACCGACGATTTGTGGACTTTGTAATGGAATATTTTCGGATGTAAAAACAGAAACTAGTGAATTAGTGCAACATAAATTAGACAAAACAACTAAATGGTTTAGATATAAATTTAAATGCAATATCTGCAATGAAGTCAATAGATACGAAAATTTTTTAGAAGAACACGTTCTGCTGCATGTTATCAATAAAGAGATCTTTTGCCCGTCTTGCTCAATGCAAAAAATAGATGAATCGAGTAATGTAGATTTAAACATGTCCATCAAATTTAACTCGTTTTTTTATGGCACATTCATTAATAGATCATCATCTTATCCTGTGATTCGCTGTCAACATTGCAAGACGACTTTCGCTGCCGGAGAACAGTATTTTAATAAATTATTGCAAATTCAAACTATAAATCGCTGGAAACACGCATTTAAGTGTTGTATCTGTCAAAGAACTATAGGGGATCGGCGAAAATATGCGGAGGAACACATTTTAGATCATTTGCTATCGAAACACGTGTTCTGTTCAGAATGTCATTCGAAGGGATACGATCATCTAATGCAAAGAGGTGTTGCAAATTCTGCATCTTCGGACATAAGAGATGTTGGCACAAGCTTTCACGAAAAAGTATTATCGGCCCATTCCTTGATTCGTTGTAGAAATTGTGACAAAATTTACAGTAAACCTTTATTTATCTTAAAAAATTGGGTGGATTTGGTAGAAGTAAACGAACGGTTTAATAGAAATAATGAAAAGTTTTATAGTTACGAATGTAAATTGTGTAAATATCTTAAAATCGATCGAAAGAATATGCAAGAACACGTTCTAAATCATGTAAAACATAATGATATATCTTGTCACTATTGTCGAAATATCACTTTTTGATTAAATCGAATTTGTTATGACACATTCTTCTTTATCACAGTAAATTTATAACAAATAAAATGCCATTTTCCCTAAAATATTGTTAAAATTTTGCTGTATGCTATAACGGTTGAGGATACTTATGGCTCTACATATCGAAATGATCTGGAGTTGTCCTCGCTCACTAGAAAAGGAGAAAATGGTTCGAATCATTTCTCCATAATTTTCATATGTTAAAGTTAAGCAAAAAAGAAGTGCACTGTTACATTCCTCTTGAAATTCTAGTCTCATTTCATGTATCACATAACCAACCCTGTTCCATTTAAACATTTTGAGATGAATTTAAGATGGCATAACATGTTTCTATTATGTCAAAATTTCCCCTACCCAACCCAGTTTGATTTTATAAGGGAATTAAAATATAGAATGAGTCAAAAGTTGCTTAAGTAATATCAAGTATCAAAGATAAAGTACAGTATAAATAAGTTCACTGACATTAAATGGATGATGTCTTGAAAGTTTAGATGTAACAAGACATTGAAAAAATTCTCTTTACTTGGTGTGTTTGTGACCAACAAAGTAAATAGTTTCTTTCATTCGTAAAGAACTTAAATTTGGCATTTCATGCTCATACCTACAAGTTATGATACTCTAAAACTCCGTTCATACGAGGGTTTTAGAGCATCACTTTGAAATGGTAACCAGAAATTGAGTATCTAAGATACGACCACTTAAAAGTATCCAAACCATCTTGGGGAAGTCAAAGCTTCGGTAAAATGGCGAACAAGCAATGCAAGTGGACTGTGGAATGGTCCAAAAAAGAAACTATCACTCTTATTAAATTAGAGGAATAATATTCAGAATTTGAGAACAATGTAACAGAGGTATCTAATAAAAGTGTTAAAAAGTGATAATCTTATTTAATTATATTGAACTTGTTTATTTATTAAGTACGTCAGATAAATAATCTATTAAAAATACATTTAAAGAAAGAATTAACTGATTGCCCCTGGAAGTCGGCTTCTTATAGAAACACAGCTTCCCTATCAGCAAATGTCACAGCATGCCACTGCATCATACTCAAAAATGAAATATGTAAAGAACGTATATAGAAACCAGCTTACTGATTCACACCTGGATGCCGTTTTATGAGTAGCATGCAGCAGTTACAAGCATGATTTAAACGAAATTGTGAAAAAATGTTTGCAACATCAACGGTCACACTAATTTTCTAGGGTGAGTGAGAAATTATGTACATTTTTTATTATAATCGTTATGTTGTGGCCCACGTGTAATAGCTATCATGTGTATGCGGCCCGAGAAAAAAAAGGTTGAGTACAGTGGGTTTATCTGTTCCTACAGAAACCGATTAAAATATTATGTAAGATAAAGAAAAATGCTGTACTGTCTAATGAAATATGTAAAAAGGAAAAACAATCCTTAAATGAAATGATCAATATCAACAAATACATGATTTGCAATTTACATTATTTTTACGAATAAAAGGAAAAGTCGCGAAAGACAATCGATATCTGTTTACCCAAAAGAATAATAAATATACATATAAACAAAAACAAGAAATTACATAATATTAAAAATTACACAAGTTCTTATACTACAATAAATAGAATGATAAAACAGTCATGTTGTCTTCTAACAATAATTACTTGAAGATACCTATGGTATGTTTGAAATGTTTGATAGTCCTACTGTTGAGCATTGTCGGACAATGGAACCCACCATTCATATGTGCAGGAAAATATAGTAAATAGTCTTAAATTGAGAAAATCAGGACAATATTGTCATAAGGCCTCTGAAAGGAGAAATTCCAGAAATAATACAAGGTCAATATGACATTTTAGTAGAAGGCATCAACGGCAAATTTTCATGTTTGGTATCTGTTCTTGATCAACCAAAGATATGCATATCACTTCCCAAAGTTTGCAATCAACAATTTACTCTTGGAGTTTTAAGCACAAGGAATGTTTTTTGATGTCAAACAGAAATTCTCTCTCCACTGCAACTTTTAAGTCTTTTACTGAACTATACTGTTTGCCAACAGCATATATGGTCCTTGAGAGCATACCCAAGATAGTCTTGATCAGGTTAAGATCTGGAGATCCAATAGTTAGGCTTTTGTTTTTCTGAAACCTATCCTTTGTGGTACAAGTTGAATGGACATATTGTCTTTCATGAAATAAAACTTTCTGCCTGCTAATTTTCACCCATTTGGAAGTAAATTATTTTCAATCAGCTCATGATGCTTTTTTGAATGCAATATGCTTTTTTGAATGCAATAGGTGGCTTTCCCTTGCAAGAAATGGCTCCCTACACCATAATGTGGTACCACCATCCATCTACCATCAAGATAAAAAATCCTCTCTTTGTGCAAATCCCAAAAATCAGTTCAGACCATTCGAACCATCCAGGTTGAACTGTTTTCAGTCGTCCTGATGATTTTATTACTCTGAACAGTATGAGGATGAACTTTTAAATCTAACTGATTCACAGTTTTCAATGCTGATGTCATAATGCTTACAACCCTCAAAATTTGCCTCTAAACTTCCACAGTTGTTTCATCAAGCTGTTTACAATTATATTAAAAAAGGTTATTAATACAATTGTGTCTTCTTCCTATTTGGGCAGCAACAGCATGATAATTTTGTAATTGTAACATAAAACATCAATTTATCTTTGTTCCTTTAAGTTTTACACTTTTCCCCAAGTTTGACAATTTTTTTGTAAACAAATATATGTAAATCATTTTATACACCTACACATTCTTATTTATTTACATTTAGGTGAAAATTTGAAGTTATTTTTTTCAGGTATCTTTCAAGTTTTGTTAACTTAAATTAACTAATTTTCTACTTTTTGAAAGAAATATTCCAATACTTCTTTCATTATTCTGTAAATCTTATTATTTTACTTTTTTAAAGCATGACTGAACCAATAATTCTAATAAAATTAATTGTTTAGATGGTCTAATTAAAGACCATCTAAACAATTAATTTAAAAACTTTAAAGACTAGCAACTTAATTGTTGCTAGTCTTTAAAGTTTTGTCCAGCTCCGTACATGTGTAGGCATTCAACAAAATAGGCATTCACTCCAAATATTTGTTAAAATTTGTATAAAAATTATTGAAATAAGTTTGCATATCATATTCATATTTGTTAAATTAATAAAAACTTTTTGAAACTGGATTTAAAACAGCAAAGTTTTATTATACTTAAATATATATAAAAATGCATTTATACAAAATTTATGAAATAATTTATAAATGAAAAAATGAAAGAAACACATAAAAATATGAAAACATTCTTTTTATCATATTTTATTGTGAAGTTAATATAGGAAGGGTTGATTTTGAAAGTGGGGCAAGTTCATTTTGTGAAAAAAATAGTTTTTCTTTAGATACTAATTAATTAAAAAGTGTGTTTTTTTTACTTCACATTTTACAAATAGTAAACTTTGAGGTTGTTTCTCCTCACACAACACAACACTTGTTTCTCCTCTTTTTTTTAATTTTTTTAACAAAATGGACTTGCCCCACTTTCAAAATCAACAGCTCATATTTTAATATTAACTTAAGAAGTATTTTATTGCAATTTTGTGCAAATCATGTATACAAAATATACATCTGATTGTCATGTATTTTGTGTTTAAATTTATAAAATGTCAACGTTTTCTCTTTGAGAATTAAGACACAACGCACCATGCTCCCTTATCTGACGAAGTTGCTTCCAAGTTATCTTCGTAACTTGTTTCATCATCGGGAGTCACTAATTTATCCGATTTATAATCCACTAACCAAGATGGAGACTGCAAACATTTATCATCAATATCTTCTACTGAAATACTTTCTTCCTCTGCATTTCTTTTATAATCTAAAAGTTCAGTTGTATTGAGTTCACTGGAGTTATAGTTAAAGCTAGCTTTAGATGAATGAGGTAAATCAAAATTGAAACTTTCATTTTTATATGGTTTTTTTTCTGAACTAATTGTTTCTTTTGATATTTTTGTATCTGTGACATTTGATTCAATATTAAAGTTATTTAACAAATTAACAGAATTGCAAGAATCTTCACTCAAAAGCAAAACACCATTAGTTTCATTTTTATCCAATTCTTTCACTGTTGTATCTTGTTCAATGTCTGTTGTATTTTTACTTTCAATAATTGAGCTCAACATATAATTTTTTGGGTTTAATTTCTCACATACAACTGATAACTGCAGATCTTTAAGTTCAGTCTTTACATCTGATGCATATTTTTTTTTAAATGGTTTTTTACATTCAACTAATAAATCTTGATCTTTAGATTTGTTCTTTGAACTTAGGTAGTTGTTAGGATCTATTTTCTCACAAACAACAAATAAATTCTGATGTATAGGTTTAGTCTCACAATTTAATACATGATTTTTACACATATGTAAGTCTAATTTCTTACAAACAACTTGTACATCTTTGAGAATTGTTGAATTATTATTATTTTTAAAATTATCAATTTTAGGTAAATTTGTATATTGTGAAATAGCTTTTTTAGTTTTAGTATCAAGTTTTAATCTATTTAATTTTACTTTTAGAAACTTATCTTGATCAAAAGTATATTCATTACCAGAAATTTTATGACTTATCTCCTGTAAAGATGTTTGTGATGTTGATTGTTTTTGCTTTTTTGGAAGGACAGAATTTCTGAGGTTAATAGCAGATTTTTGCAAGTTTTCATTTTTATACGTCTGAGGTAAAAGTTTTAAACTTTTAGGATTTTTCAAATTAGCTTGTTTTTTACTGTTGCCATCATACAATGCTTTCTCGTCCTTAGATCTTTCTTGTAATTTCTCTTCAGATATTAACTGTTTACAATTTCTCACAAAAGCAGTATTTCTCCTTTTAATAGTTTCTCTACGCAATTTGCTTTTATAAATGGCACTTGTTTCTTGAGAAATAGTCTTTTTAATCAATTGTTTATGCTTTGTTTTGTGAAATTGTTTACTGATAATGGCATTTGATTCACTTTCTTTTGACTTTTGAGTAGTTTTTCCCATTTTACATCCTAGAAAGATATTTAAATTCCTAGTATAAATTCATCTGGGTAACAATTTTATTTTGTATATTTTTGATTATTAATAAAAATAATTTTTATATAAATATAAATAAAAATATGTATACATGCATATGTTTGATTTTATAAAAATTTTAATACAAGTTAAAACACAAATAAATACTGGTATGAACATTGAAATTCATCTAGATTTGTTCCTTAAATTTTGTTGCTTTTGCAATTACAGTCGATCCCCCTATAACACTGTTGATAATTCTGTTTTATATGAATTCCATGTTGTACGAGTCACTTAGATTTTGCAAATACGTATGCCGGGCTATGAACAGCTCACGTATTTGTAAAATCTAAGTAACTCGTATAACATGGAATTCATATAAAACGGAATTATCAACAGTGTTATAGGGGGGTGACTGTATAAAAGGTTCACTGCTGCTGAAATTTATAAGCTTTTGAAAATATTTAAGATTAATGTAAATTTGATATCTTTGAAAATAATTTGCGATAATCTTATTTGTATTTTAAACTGTAATAAATATTTCAGCATAAGAAAAAATATATTTAAAACTAACTTTTTTAACTAAATTTTTTTCTAACTTAGATTATAATTATGTAAATAGATTAAAAAAAGTAGTAGTTTTTTTTGTAACTTTTTCAATATTGTTCAATGTATAAATTATTAATTTAGCAATAACAATGCCATCAAAACTTTATTGATGCTAAGTAAGGGCAACTGCAGGGAAGGGACTTGGAGTGCATTTGTCCCTCCTGAGATTTGCTTTATCCTTTTTTTTAATGTTCTTTTTCAAATAATATTTTCATAAAGTAATAGTATTAACTGTTAAAATAAATTTATTCTTACTATTATACTAAAATAACTGTAGTTTAGCATGCAATGAGATGCCCCATTCAGTCATATGCAGGTGCTGTACTATTTTGAATACAATACCATGTTTTATAAGGTGTGTTTACTTCTGAGCTAATAGTGCTACTTCTGAACACCAGAGGTGATGTCATTAGCATGTATATTCGTGCTTACATGTCCAGTTTGAAAGTAAACATGAACGCTAACAAGAAATATGGCAGTTTCCTGCAAATAATATTGTCAAAGCTGCTATTTTAAATGTTACATTACAGATAGAACTACTTGATTCAGAATCAGAAGAGGATGATCTCATTTTGGATATAATTGTAGAAAATACAATAATAACTGATATTAAATACAAACATTTTTTTTCTTTTCTCTAAGGGTATTGGTGATCATTTTAATATGTCTAGACGGACTGCGTGGAATATTTTAAATAAGGTTGTTAATTCTCTGTTAGTGTTAAATAAAAACGAAAAAATAATCTCTTGGCCATCACAGAGCAGGATGATGTAGGAATAATGGAATTTTTTGTACCCAATCTGGTTTTCCTGGAATTAGAGGCTCTATTGATGAAAAGCATATGGCTATTAAGACATCAACTCAAGAAGAAGCAACTTATTTCAATAGAAATAAGTATTACTCTGTCATCATATAAGTTTAGTTTGTAATGGGAAAATGATATTCAAATGATACAATTTCTTGAGAAGTCATTTCCCATATGTAAGTAAAAATTCATTCAAATATACAAGGTCTGTTCAAAAAGTATCGGACCTTTGGTTGGCAAAAATAAATTTATTGACTTTGAGGTACAAAACCCTAATCCCCTTCAAAGTAGTCTCCTTGGTAATGTATACACTTCTCCCAGCGTTCCTGCCATTGCTGGAAACACTGCTGGAATGCATTTTTTGGAATGGTTATCAGCCGGTCCGTCGCATTTCGCATGATGTCTTCTCTCGACTAAATTTGGGTTTCTTTTAGCGGCATTTTCAGCTTGAGAAATAGCCAAAGGTTACACGGAGCCATGTAGGGAGAGTACGGAGCGTGACGAACCACAGGAGTATTGTGTTTGGCGACGAAAGCCCGAATCAGATGCGTAGAATGGGCGGATGCGTTATCACGATAGAGCTGCCAAGTTTTGATCGACCACAGATCCGGTTGTTTGCGTCGCACTGTATCGGAAAGACGACAAAGGACCTCCTGGTAGTACTCCTTTGCGATGGTTTGGCCTTTTGGTGCGTATTCACGACACACCACCTCACGAGAGTCGAAAAAACTGTCAACATGACCTTTTGACATTGCTACGGACCTGCCGCGCTTTTTTTGGCCTCGAGGATCGTCCCCGAAAGCCTGCTGAATCTTGCGAATGGTTTACGCTCAGGTATCGCCAAGGTTTTTGGCAAAATTTGATGTAATATCGCTGCTCACGTTGTTCAGTCATTTTCCAGCTTAGTGGAATCCGACGAGAGCTCACTACATGACCTCACTCATAGGCCGATTGCCAGCGACTGACGCTTCCTGCAGGCAGGAAAAAATTCAGGGCTGTGCACGACTGTCCCCTCCACAACTCCACCGAAGGAGGCCTCTTGCGCATCATTGGTTTACGCGGAAAAAAAAAAGGTCTGATACTTTTTGAACAGACCTTGTACGAACTTATGTAGTTTTGGATTATTATTAATGCTGTTCATTTCTTTATGATTTATTTAATGCTCTGAACATAACATTTCTGAAGATTCCAAACACAAATAAGGTAAATTTCACTTTTAATCATAAACAATGAGTCGAAATTAATTTTTTCACATCTGTTTATGAAAAAAGTAATCTGAAGCTATTGAACCTTACAATAAAAAAAGATCATTGTAAACACTTTATACAACCAATAAAAATACTTTCTGTCATTTATTTTTCCAAAAATAATTCCATTTTCATTACTTTGTACAGAAAGTAATTTTTTCATGGGAGCAGCCATATTGAATTAGTGCAAAGCTGAACAACGAACTAGCTAGCACTCCGAACTTATCAATTTCGTTAAACATAAGGTCACATAGCTCTAAAGCAGGGGTGGCCAACCTTTTGCATACCATGCGCGAATTTTTTGACAGATGAGTTCAGATGCGCCATATAACTCGAACACTTTTTATACAGTCTTACGTTCAATGTTAGGGGTTGATAAATAGAGATAAGAATAAATCTGCTTCGCTTAGGAATAATAAGAAAAAGGAAATACTATAAGGAAAAATAATAAGAAAAAGGAATAACTTAATTACGCAGTTGAATTATTTAATTTATAACAGTTTATTGAAGTACCAATTTACAATAGTTAACAATGATCTCCTGTACGAGAGGGTGATTGCTTCATGATGGTGCTATTGCTGCCAGAGTCTCATTTGGTGAAGATTACTCTGCACCACAATTATTTGCACTAAGAACGAGATCAGCTTGGAATAACTTTAATCACAGTAAATGTTTTCGGCCATTTACACGCCTGTAAACTGATCAGAAATAAAGATCGCAAGATTCAAAATACATGCATACACTGTAATTTACTATGTGGAGAACACTCATTTTATCTGCAAAAGAGACTGTAACGAATTGTGCAACAAATGAACTTGCCACTGTAAACACATCCATAGAGTAATTGGAGTTTGCCTACTTACTTATCTTCAAAACAGTAAATAATAAAAATTTAGTAAAAATAAAAGTAAACTTGCTTAAGGATCATGATTTTAATGAATCAATTTTGGTTAAATGATCTAAATCAGTGTTTTTCAACCTGTGGGTCATGACCCCCAGGGGGTCGCGGGTAAAAGAAAAAGACAAGTGTTTATAGGTCCTACACTACAATAAAAAAAAACTACAATCTCAGTGAGAAGGCTGTGCCTGTTTATTTTACAGTACAATTGGTTTTTCAATTGATATTTAGGTCTCAATAGAAACTTAAATACATAGTTTTTAAAATCACTGACATAGTTTTAATATGGCCCTGGGGGGTCGCCAAAATTTTTTAACTTGTGAAGGGGTCACTTATTCAAGAAGGTTGAAAAACATTGATCTAAATTGTATATGTTCTGTTCCTGAAACAAAATAATGCAGNTAGTTTTTAAAATCACTGACATAGTTTTAATATGGCCCTGGGGGGTCGCCAAAATTTTTTAACTTGTGAAGGGGTCACTTATTCAAGAAGGTTGAAAAACATTGATCTAAATTGTATATGTTCTGTTCCTGAAACAAAATAATGCAGTTCAATTAATACAATGTAATGAAGATGTTACTTAAAGATGATTATAACTTTCATAGCTTTCACTGAAATCCAACTATATGTCAATAGTTTAACTAACAGAACATAGACACTGCAGTTTCCATATCCTTATAAAATTTCTTTTTAAACTTTCTACATACTACTTACGCATATGTAATATTTTTGTAAGTTTTTTTATTATTATAATCCACATGTATATTACACAGATAGTAATAGTAATATACACACGAGTTGTAAGTGTAGCTTGTAACTTAACCTTGAACAGGCAACTGAAAGCTTAGGGTGCATTCAAACAGTTGAAAAAGATAAAGTATGTAATTAGTCAAAAAGTAAGACAACTTCACTGGTACTTTTATATATTTACTATAAACAGTGATAACTATACTGTTTTAACTACATATAATATAAATAGTTGATGCAGCTATCCAATAGGCATTCCAATAGAGCAGTGTTTCTCAACCTGTAATCCATGATAATGGGACCACAGGTTGAGAGGGACAGATGATCTGCAGGCAGACTTAAATTAAAGCATGAAGTTTTATTGTTTTGTAAATGAATGAAATTCTGATTTTGCATTACTCCTTGTTCACAAAACATAGTTATTAGCACTATCCTATCTTTCAGACATTTTTTTTCTAAATCAAATGAACTAAAATCTCTCCCTTCAAAAAGATTCTTGAACTGATCTTGATGTCTAAGACAAAATAAAGGCATTCAATAAAAAAACAGATGTTAAGGATTAGTTATGTAAAAGACAGATAATTTGATCTTTACCAACATTAGAATCCTTTTTAGTTGAAAATATTTTTTTGATTCTGAGTTTCTCAAATGGGTTTGTGACCATCTCAAAGCTGTGAAACAGAAATTTGGAACATGTTTTCTGAATAACTTCATGATAAATTTGTGGCTTTGTGATCCATTTCAGACTTACAATCATGAGAACAATCTTTCAATATAAAAAAAAATAGTTAATTGAGCTTTCACGTGACAGTCAGCTTAAAATGAAATTTCATGATCTTAATTTGTCCCGATTCTGAATCTCATCTTCAATGAGAAATGAATTTCCTGAATTATCTGAAGCAGCATTGAAAATTGCCATACAGTTTTCAACAACCTATCTTTGTGAGATAGGATTTTCATTACTTCTTCAAATAAAACCAAAATACAGAAATTGTCTTCTGTACCAATCTTTGAATAAATTCAACCAATATTCAGCCACCTATCCAAGAATTCTGCAAGGGCTAACAAGCTCAACCATTTCATTAAAAGTAAGTAGTAACAATTATATTACATTATTTGTTTAATAAAGATTAAAACTTTGATCAACAATAATTCACTTCCAATTTCATTAATGATGTTTCCATATGTATTCAAAAAATTCTTTTAGATTTATTGTTATAAATGGCACTTTATGTCCCAAATGTTGGTAATATGCACATAGGTTTAAATTAGGCTACATAACTTTGCAGTCTGTAGAATTTTTTTAGACATTTTACCAGTCCTTAGGCTCGAACAGGCTGAGAAATGTTGCAATAGAGGATGCAGAATGTATGGCTCCTTTTGTGACCATCAGACCTTGTTACAAAAGGTTTGACAAGGTTATAAGCATTACTTTGTGCACATAAATAAATAAGTCTTTAGTACAAAATTTCATTGTAATTGAATTGAATTTAGCTTTAAGAGCGTTCATAAAATAATCTAGGTTTTTGGTTTAAAATGTTGTTAGTTTGTGTTTCTTCTCTGTTTTTATTTAGTAATTTTACAGATAAAATTTTCAGAATATGAAATGTAGGCATAAGTAGCTAATATGATGGTTAAGTTCCAGACCAGTTATAAAGCAAAATGCTGATATATGCACTAGCAAGTGAGAAAACAACTTTAAAAACATACTTTACACAATTATTTATCAAGTGTGCAGTAGCAATAGCTTAAAAAATGATAAGAAGGTAAAAATAACAAAAAAGAAACCCAAAACATGAATATAATTGAAAAGCACCATATTAGCAAAGCACTAAAGCATAGTTGCCAACCATTAGCATTTGGTGTTGACCAGCAGTGTTTTGTATACTCCATCGGTGGACAGGCCACTTTTCCCTTTTGTCAGCATTTTTAATTTGATATTATCGCACAAACACGTTATTTAAAATGAGCCTAATACCAATATATATGCTAAAGACCCATTGTATGTATTTTATTACAAATGACTGAAGCAAACCACAAAGATGTTCTCAGATTAATTTAATTTAAAAAGAACCAAGATTGCTATTTTTATATACATATGTTGGTATGGGTATGAGAATCTTAGCTCAAATATGATAATTTTAAACGTCGGATGTGATAAATTGCATCTTCAAGTCTGGCGGTTAAATCAATTACGGCGTAGCCATCAGTGGAAGGAACGAGTTACTTTCACAGTTAGACCAAATTATTGAGCACTACAATTTCTCTGCCCAAAATGAAAAAACATCCAATTTATCACCTAAGAATATACAGGCCATACAGTACGAGCTTTCTTATGAAAAGAGACCAGGTGGTTCTTTGAGATTTATGAGATTTTACAGATTTGTAATCTTGTAAAATAGTAAAGCTGGTGGTTCTGCCACACAACATTGCAGGGCCTTCTGTGCATTGGTGTGTAGAAAAGAAAAAGATATTCACTATGATAAGAAAAAGTAAGACAGAAATAGGAAATAAATCACAATCAGAAAAATCATTGTCCTTAATGAAAGTCAATAAACTGATTGATAGTTGCTATCAATCAGTCATGAGTATACTGTAACAAAAGAAATTATTAACAAAGCAAAGGCATATAACTGGAGGCACTCATCATGCAAAAAAGAAAAATCAAATTTTCCTCTAATATCAGAAAAATTCAAAAACAATAAATCAGAAATTCATACAGCAATCAGCAATATTTTTTTATAAGCAAATTGTTCCGAATTGTAGTCATTTGTTTAGAATTGTAATTGGCAGTTGTAGTAGTTTATTATAATGTATCAGGTTTAATAAAGTTGTTTATATTTGTATACATATGCCTTGTTTAGAATATATTTTTGTCACAACATTATCGTCTTGAACAAATAAAAAATAACAATCAGAAACTCCATTGTATAGCTTCTCCTCTACTATATTGCATATAATTATAATTAAATTTTTAACAATAAAAAAAAACTAATTCAATTTAACAATTTACATTATTTTAAAATAATAAGAAATACAGTAATTTTGATTAACTAAGATAATATAGACCAAAAGTATCTTGGATAATCAAAAACTTGGATAATATGGATTGTTTGGTAAATTAAATAAACTGGATTTGAATGTATTAATGCATATAATGTACTTACTTTTTAAGTTAGACCTACTTATTGAACATAATGACTTAAAAGTATTTTATTGTTTAATTTAAGATTTTATTTAAAGCAAATGTAAATCTAAGATCACAGTTAAAATTTGTTGAGAGAAGTGATCAGAGTAAGTTCTTTTTAAAACTAATATAGCTCTCATGTATTTGCACAAGGCCAAGATACATGAAACAAACTGCACTATATCACATTGTTAACTAGCACTATTCTACAATTCATCTCATATAATACAAAACCACAATTACATGAGTTTCAGTTAATTGGGAGTATATTGTATCACATACATATAAGTAAATAACAGTCAATGAAAATTAGTTTTTATATAAAAGATAATTAAAAATATCTTTTATAAATCAATATTTTCAGTTCTATAAGTAAACAAAAGGCAATACAGTCGACCCCCCCTATAACACTGTTGATTTTTCCATTTTATATGAATTCCATGTTGTACGAGTCACTTAGATTTTACAAAGATGTGTGCCAGGCTGTGAATGGCTCACGTATTTGTAAAATCTAAGTGACTCGTACAACATGGAATTCATATAAAACGGAAAAATCACCAGTGTTATAGGGGGGGTCGACTGTATTTAAGTGTTTAATTACAGAGTTAACATACTAGAAAAGTTTAAATTTAAAAATTAAGAATGACTATTTATCTTCACTAGTGAAGTTAAACAGTAGAAACTATTTCAGTCAAATTGCAAAATTTAGAAGTTTCCATGAAAGCTATATGGTTACAACAAAAATAGTAAATATATCTTAATAAAGACATTAATTCTTTGATTTTAAATATCACTTATACATTGACTAATGATAACAGTTTATGTCACGAGAAACATTTATGCGAGATAATACGTGCATTAATAATCACAGACCATTATTTTGTACAAAATTTTAAATCAGAAATATCAGATCATGCTTTAGGCAAACATAATATATCAATAAATATAATACATTTCAACCTTTAAGCAATGGAATATATATTTTCATCATAAGTCAATTTTATGCTGATATATCATAATATTTAATTTGCTATTTCAATCTTCCTGCAGGCACTAATAAGTCTTTTTTTCCTACCCATTGCGGGTTCATTGGACAGAATCTCAATATATCCAAGTCGAAACCACACACGAAAATTTCTGAAGTTTGAGACAGACTGGATACTTTTATACATTGACCATTGAAAAGACAGAATATCTAAGATAAATTTTTCATGATAATTTTGTAATTTTGATATACAAATTTCATAATCAACTGTTTTTTAAATGAAATTCTTGAAAATTTCAAACTGTACATTTACATCACTTTATATTTGAAGTAATTAATATTCTTTTTTCAAAACACTGTCTCTTCTAGTGTGTTCTGTGGAGATGTATGTGAATGTAATATGGTTTCACATTAAAGAATTAACTGTTTTAATTTTTAGACATACTCTTTCCCTTTTGTATGTAATGTATCATGTAATGTATTATACCTCTATTGGTATAATGATACTACTGTACAGTACAGTACTGGTATAAGCCTATACAGTAGTGTCACATGACACTAATATAGGCTTATACCAGTTCTGTATAGTACTGGTGTAAGCCTATACAGTAGTGTCACATGACACTACTGTATAGGCTTATACCACAATAAGCATTAATGTTAATCATGAATTTAAAAATTTTGATTAACTTCCATATCTAAATGTATAATTACTTAAACCTACCTTGTACTGATATACATTAAAATATTAAGTAAATCTCTTGATATAAGCTTTTCCAACCATTCATAAACAAACTAACATACAACTTGTGACGTAATCGTGACAACTGTTACACATATTACTATATTAATACATAATTCGAAATATATCACAATACTTGTAAAATTATTAATAAAATTATAATTTTTCGTGTCAATAACTTATTTGTTTACTCACTAGTTTATATCTCCTTTAAGGAATATACGCGCTTTCTTTGACGTCATAACGGTTACAACCAATGGTGTCTTAGAGTTTGACGAATATTATGTAACGATTTTATTTTAGAACACGCAATTTTTCATTTTAATTAGTAAATTTTAAAAATATATTTATTTATCATTATTTTATTATTTTAATATTAAAATTTCGAAATTTTAAATTAATGTCTCTTATTTTAAAATTATACTCTAATTGAAAATGTTTGATTTAGTGACGTACTACAGTACTGTACATAGGATCGTGTTGTTCAGAATGCTAAGCATGGTGTAAGAATACAGGTGATACCACTCTCCATTCAAGGACGCGGTTGAGCTTATTCCAGTGTCGTGACGATGTACTGTACAAGTCCATATTGAACTTTAATTTGTGTTAATTTCAATAAAATTAGTGAAATTTGCATAAAATAATTTAAAAGTAACAGAATACGTGTGTAATTTTTTAAAATTCTTCATTAAACTGATATTTTTATACTCTAAAATGGTATAAAATTTAAATCAATAGCTAAAGTAATATGTAATTTATTTTCGTAAACAATCGAAAGCTTTTTAATTTTTTCTGCGGCAAATTTTAGTACAACATAATTTTTAAAAGATATCTGTATGCGTTATCCTTGATTCGTAGCCGTATTGTTTTCATTTCATTAGCGCCACCATAAAATGCGGTGTCAACCGTGGAAGACAACGTCTATAAACAGATCTTGGTGGGAAAAAATATCTATCGATCTCTGGTTAAATTTAATTCGCCAACTTTAATATAATTATGAGAATTCGGAATCAGAAGTATTATGAGAATACGAGTGAATATGAAGATGTTTTTAATTATTATTATTATTAGAATAATTAACTATAATACATATTTAAATTCCAAATAATCGCGCTTTAGAAATTTTTAAACTCTTTGTTTTATTATTCCAGATTAGGTGCAATAATGTTCTGCAAGAAAACCGTCCATTAGAGGGCGTTTTGTGAAAACATCGTAATCGTGTTTCGGAAGTATTACACGTGGTATGTTGCTAAATTTTACTTCTTTTCGCCGTAATTAATTTAAGTATTTTAAAACATATACATAAATAGCCGCGAAGTGCTAAACATTTTCTGTATTTCCTAAATTTACTGTCGGTAGTGAAGTTTTCATTATGTACTGTTATTTTTTATTTTCCCAAATAAATCTAATCAAGATATAATATTCTGAAGTGGAAATAAATTGTATAATAATTTTTATGTACGAAAGGTTAATACTAATTAATAAAAAATTTATATTTTCAAATTTACGTAAGCATTTTACATCGCGCGGGGCGGAGTCACGTGACCGAAATGATGTACTGTACGTATAGTCGCGTGTGCTACAGTGTTGCCATTTTTAGTACATTGTACTTTTCGTGTACATTGAAAGTACACTTAGATTTATAGTACATTTTGAGTAATTATATTTCTGTACCATTTATGGCACAAAATAACATTTCATGCCTTAACGAAAAAATTAGTTTAATAAAGTCTCACTAGTGTGACTAGTGTCACTGCTTGCTAATTTGATTTACCGAATCATGACATACACATGGTGTATGTCGGTTGACGTCAACAACATACACAGTGGTGATATTCAGCGGGTTCGCACAGGTTCGGCCGAACCCGTTGTTAACATTTTCAAAGTTTTCCGAACCCGTTGTTAAACACACGTAACATTTCTCAATGGTTTTGTTTCTTTTACAAAATATATTAAAATATACGTATTATACTCTGTAACACTACTAAACTAGAGCCTTATACCCTGTTCGCCTTGGTGCAACCTCCATCGACCTTATACCCTGTTCGCCTTGGTGCAATCTCGACTGAAACCAGATTTAGTCGCGATCGACTCAAGAGAGTTCTTGAAACTAAGTCCAGTCATACGAGAGATCCCACGCGCGCGAGAAAATACAAGATGGCTGCGGAACACGTGTCGTGCTATCGACAACGAAATAAAAAAAATATTGTGTTTCGAGAAACGATGACATCTGTCTATTATTATGATAATACCTAAGGATAAAATAAATGATTTAGAAAAGTTTTTCCTTGAGAAAAAGCACCAATTTTTATGTTTATAAAATATTTTGAATGAAAAATATTAAAACATGTACAAAATAAACCAGTTTGAAACTTTTTTATTATTATTTATCAAAAAATATAGTTCTGGCATAAACAATGTTTAATTTTAACTGACTTAATTTTGCCAACGCATTTTTTTTATTTATATGGGTATCTTAAGGTCAGTTTTTGCGCTAATATTGCTAATGCGAGCGAAAAAAAAATTCTCAAGGAAAAATTTTCTGTAGCGAACCCTTTGTTAAATATTTCGAATATCACCACTGAACATACAGATAGTTGCACGTGCAAATGTCTTGATTCGGTGGTCCTCTTTCACACGTGTCACACGTTTTAGTCGTCTGCACATTCTCATGAGGACCTTGACAAAATTTTTCCTGTCACGTGGTTCAAACAATTCAACTCTGTCAAACAAAAATAATGGACAGTTAAGGAAATCAAGGCTGTACTATACATTACCACCTATTGAATTTCGGGACTTTGAGTATATATCTGAACTGAGGGGACCGAGACGAGTTCAACGATACCCTACTTTTGAACCGGAGACAAAAAAATAAAGTCATTTTTCGTCTCAGTTCAGATATATACTCAAAGTCCCGAAATTCCATAAATTTCATTGTGGCAATGCTGGTGTGCTACATACTTTAAAGCGAGTCTTACATGAGCGACGCGAGTTACGATCTCGCGCGATCCGATTTGAGGTGCTATATCTTGTGAAGTGTCACCATATGGGTATGGGTTTATTAGACATCATTTGATCGCACTGGGGATCTACAATTTGGGAGTTCCCGCCTCTCAGGCAACGCTAGAATGGTGCCTGCTAAACTTAGTAAACTATTATTTTTTTAATATTTTTTTCTGTTTGTCACGCATCTGTTTTTGTGTAGATCCCTCTCCGTTTACTTCCTCGGTACCACCAGTTCTCTGCTGGCGGGATGTACGATGTGCTGATTGGTCCAAGGTGCGGTCACGTAGGACTGAGCGGCGGGCGGTATAAAAACAAGGGTAACCCACGTGAAGGAGCTTTTTCTTCGTACTTCAGTGGCCGGAGGACGCCGAAGGTTGCGAAGAATAAAAAACAGGTACCAGAGATCCAATTGTCCGGAGAGTTGAAGGAATCGTGGAAAGGAAAGGAAATCCATTATCAAGGACTGACTACAGTGTCGCAGGGTGATCAGCGAATTTTTGGACCAAAGGGAAATCTCGTATGTTTTATTGTATATTCTTTTCTCTTTTCCCCAACTGTTTATTGGCGTTATCGTCTTTCGTACGTCCTATCGGAAAAAAAGGAGGGTTTCGCATAAGGAAGGTCATGAAAGGGATAATCGGAGTAAGATTATTATTGCAACGCGATCGAATCTTGAATCGTGTATTTTTTCCTTAATCACGTGTTTTGTTTCCAACAACCCTTTGTTTATAAAACCATGCTGTGACGCCGACTACTCTTTTTAAATGTTCTTTGTCTAACCCAGTGGTTCCCAACCTTTTTTCATTAGCGTACCCCGTGACATGTCATATCTCTAGATTGTACCCCTCATTTAAGAAATTTAGTGAGTACCCGTATTGTTAATTTTACATATTGTAACTTTAAATTAAAGAAAAAAAAAAGTAAATGAAAAAATGTATAATAAAATTGTGATTACTGCAAGGAACATATTTTACCTAATAATTTTTTAATACTATTAGTTTGTGATACATAATATATTATTTTTTCTGCCATAATAACTAACTTTTTTCTGTACCCCTAAACAACCTATCGCGTACCCCTAGGGGTACGCGTACCACAGGTTGGGAATCGCTAGTCTAACCCATAAGACCACGTGCTACGGGAGTATCATCATCTTACTGTTTCATATGGAGATGGGAGTATCTACAATATGTTAAGTTTACCTAGGTAGTTCCAGTTGCGGCGGTTAGGTTAACTACAATTTTAGTAGCCGTTTCGTTTTTTTTTTCTTTGGTTCAACAACTACCGTGAATCAATAACTTGTGACGTTAAACAATCGGCAGTTACCCTCCTATAATTATCATTTGAACGTCATCTTAAAACAGAAAACGCCACCGCAATCTTACAATATTACCGCCAATATATCTATTTAAACAATTGTTTAGCACCACTTAAACAAATAAATTGATTGATTTGATTGTTTCATCAATGAAGGTAGAAACACCACGCAGAACAGTTAAATCAATCGCAAATACACAAGCACTATTGCAGGAGATTTACGGCAGCGCTTTCAAACATGGCGTCCAAATGATAGAGGACTTTTTGAAACAGGTAGCGCCATCTATTGTTATAAACTGCAACTACTTATCTGTACGAAAAGCATTCTCGGGACACTTCCAGAATGAACATTTTATAGCAACCTCCTCTACTTCCATTTGTAAATTAGCAGCGTGCGAGTCTGCACTTAACATAGGCTAAAATAATGTCTTGTGTTTAACATTAGGTTCCAAGTAGACATGCAAAAGTTCAGTTACCTTCCATTTGTTTTTGTAGATATGAAATGGAAAAGCAATTACGAGATGCTTTCATCAATTTATCGCAAAGAGAACAAGAGTGGAAAGCTACAAGAAAAGAAATATCCATAGAGTGCATTGCCACCTTGAGCCGGAAATATAAAATGGTAAATGACATGGAAGGAGACCCTTTGTCGGACGAGTTTCCGAGCCTCCAGGCAGACTTAAAAGTAACTTTGTTTTATCAAATCGAGGGAGAAAGAAGTGTGTTACTTGGAAGATTGTGAGTATTGTATTCTTATTGTTTTGCATATATTTAATACATTGATTCAAAAAGCGACTCACCGGTAGCCGAGCAAACAAAGCCACTTAATACTAACAGTCGATCAGTTTGCCAATGGGTTGGCCACATAGTTTTCAGGTTTCTTTGTGTCTAGAACCTAACTACGGGCCAGTTTCCCATACAATGTCCTCCTTGGCAGATCACATATGTGGTTGCAACAGTAATATTGTGCAATTGCTGTTTTACTGTTGAAATCAAACTGCACTTTCCCAATCAAACATTCAAATACACAAAGTGGGATTTGAATTTACAATCTAGAAAACAAGGATTAATGCCTTCTATGTAAGAAAATTGAGATAATCCAGTAAGAAATTGAAATGGGAATTAGATAATCTATTATTTTTGTACAGTGAACATTCTTTAGTGTCTGCATGTAGTAGGTTGGCAAATTTTGCATTAATATAAAGTTTTTTTGTATGTTCCAGAGAAAAGTTACACGACATTTGGGTGGAAATAAACAAACAAAAAGAGGAAATAGATGAAAGTATGAAAATGATGGCTAGAGATCTGGCAGCATCTCACAGAATGCAGATGAGACCCTCTTTCTTTGAAATGCAAGATTTGTACGAAGACTTCTCCAATTCTGCATGGAATGAGTATCCTTTTGTATTCTTGGATTTGTAGTTTTTAAAAATATTTCCTTACACACTCATCTGCAGCAAACAGTGGCATTAAAAATCTGCTAATTTGTAGCTAGATCCATTAGCAGATTGCTGCTAGTGTATCTAGCTACAAATTTCTGTTAACATGTCACAAGAGAAAATGGTTCTTTCATTGAATCTGCAGATCATCTTGTAAGCAAATGGCATCTTTGATAAATTAGTTTGTTGTCTTTAAAAAAAACCAACAAACTAACAATGTTGAAGTTTCTAGAATATGAATGTTACTTAATAGTTTCTTAGATATTGCTGTGCAAAATTCCTATTGCTGAGCGATTGGAAGAAGATGGCAGATGACTCCTTTATGGAAAACTGGAAGAAATATACATCTTCCAAAAGAGATGGTAAGTAGTGTCCTTGATTGCATACAAAATATGTACTTTATGTTCCCTGTAATCAATTTAGCTGTGAATATAATGCAAATTTCTTGCGACAATGAGCATATTAATTGCCTCAATTTTTTTCTCAGGAATTCTAGCAAAATTGCAAGAGTATCTCAAAGGTGAGATGGAAGAAGAAAATGTTGACATCACAATTTCTGTTTAATGTAAAAATGTAATTTAAATATATAAAATTACTTGTCCTGACTGACTGACTGATTTATCATAGCTCAGAGCAAACTGCTGAAAGAGGTGAAATTTGGTACACAGTTAGGGTATGTCATGAAAATGCACACAAAGAAGGGATTTTTGGAAATTCTACCTGCAGGGGGAAAGGGAGAGCATTAAGGCTTAACCTGAAGAACAGCTTCTATTGTACTATTTTAGATGCAATTTTTTTTGTTTTCAACTACATTTAGTCTTCATTGAGTACTTAGGTGTATTAAATTGATAACGCTTCAGACATTGTTATAAATAGTTTTATATATTTTGATTTTTTAACCAAATGTTCGAACCGTTTTAAATTTGAATTTGTTATCACATATTGGTTCGATTATAGAACAATTGTAAATGTTCCAGAAAATTGATCAAATTGAAAACAGTTCATTTGATTCTCAGCAATTCTCATTTTTAGTGGTAGGTGTTATACGTAGTATATCAATTACCATGGTTGAAATACTGAAAATAAATGGGATTTGCTTGCAAAATCTGTGCCGGCAAAGTCATGGGTAACAGCTAGTTTGTAAATAGTTTGGTTTCGGAACAATTTAACCCATTTAATGTGTAAATAAAATTATTACAGCTATTATTAAAATAAGTTTATCAAACATACTACATAACAAGAGATGCAGCACTGTTAAAAGTTTAGATGCACATTGGTGTCGAAACCTACCATTCTAACACTTTGGACTTACTATAAGAAGCGAACTTTGAACAAAGTAAGTGTCATATTTCTTTTAAAATGAGAAATTGTCAATGCCTGTGAAGATTTTATTCTAGCATCTTGGCTGTCAAGCATTGACACATTTGGATTCAATAAAATTGAAAACAATCCACTTGTTACTTACAAGTTAGTTTTATAACTGCAAGTAACAAGAAATGCACAGAAGTATATACTGTTCATAAAGGAAAGACATGATAACTTGTATCGCGATATACAGAGGCAGACTAGAAGTGTCTGATGAAGTTCGAGCAATGGCCACCACAGCAATAGTATCAAAAATGGGTACGATTGTAGGTGTTATTGTGATGCAGTGGGTGCAAATTTTGATGGAACAGTAGTCANTCCATATAAAATATGCTATATACAAAAAAAATTGTAGGAATGCTTAGTGTGCACAGTTCGAAGACTCCATTGCTTAAGCTTGTATTCGCCATGGAGTGTCATATTTCTTTTAAAATGAGAAATTGTCAATGCCTGTGAAGATTTTATTCTAGCATCTTGGCTGTCAAGCATTGACACATTTGGATTCAATAAAATTGAAAACAATCCACTTGTTACTTAGTTTTATAACTGCAAGTAACAAGAAATGCTCAGAAGTATATACTGTTCATAAAGGAAAGACATGACAACTTGTATTGTGATATACAGAGGCAGCCTAGAAGTGTCTGATGAAGTTCGAGCAATGGCCACCACAGCAACAGTATCAACAATGGGTACGATTGTGGGTGTTATTGTGATGCAGTGGGTGCAAATTTTGATGGAACAGTAGTCATTGTGAAGAAATTGGTAAATGCATAATTGTTACAACTGGAAGAAATTGTTACAACAATTTCTTCCATATTTTCATACTTGCACTAATGGAAGCAAAAACCTAATTCATTGTTTGCAAACAAGTCAAATGGCTTTTATTAAACTCTACGTAGAGGACTTTTATTTTGTCGCCTATCATTTGAAATACAGTTGGATGTTTTCAATCAATGTGATGACTCAATTCTAGTTTGAATCCCCATTATTACAATGATCTATAATGCAGAAAATGTGTTTACTTGTAAAAATATCAGTCTATGCTAAAGAATCTGGTTTAAGAATGAATAATTACACAAACTGTAAATGGGAGTTCAGATTAAACATTTTTATAAATTATAATAAGATGGAGAGAAAAGAAAAAACCATTCTCACAATCTTTACATATGTAAACCTTCAAAGTGCTTGTAAGGAATAATTTCCTTTATTTAGGAACTTTCTTATGCATATAAACGAAATTTATTTATTTTCATAGAGANTTAAATTTTAAAGTGTGTTTTCAGTCCACAAACAACAGTAATTACAGTACAGTATATTGCTTAATAATGTGCAATTTGTATAGTACTATGTTACATTACTCTCAATTATTATGAAATATAACTTAAATGACTGAAAGTTTTAATTTTAATTACTATATTTTATTTTAAATTTTAAAGTGTGTTTTCAGTCCACAAACAACAGATAACATTTATTCTTTTTAGTAAATTATATACAACCTGTCAGAAAATTAAAACTTCACCACAGTCTATAGAGTAGTACTGATCTGAGAAACTACTTATCATTAAAGTAAAACTACTTTAATGATGCATACTGCAAACATTTTATAAGTGTTAAAGCAGTTTATATACTGGATTTTTGATTTCATCTAACAACAAAATATTTAAATCTCTATAAGTAACCTGATACTATATTTTCAACGGCTGAGTGGTCAAAGTGGCAGCTACTGCTCTGGGAATCCGGGGGCGAATCCGGACGGGTTGAAAAATTCCTAGAAATTTTCCTGGGGTGATCCGTCGGGATATATCGGGCCCCATCCCTCACCATACTATCCGGCCGCCATATTGTGGAACTGCTCATCAAAAAGAAGCAAACACAACAATATTCATAAAAAATTTTGTCACCGCGAGGAATTAACTTACTGCATTTTTTTTTTTCGAAGCTCTTCGTCTTTTGGAGCCAAAATTAATGTACGCTTCTCCTTTTACATTATTTCCAGTTTTGCAACAAAACAATGCGTATTATTTTTATAAACTTCAGATTTTTTTTTTCAAAATGGGACGAAAATCGTTCTACACAAAGTCAAAAACTAATGAAAAACAACTCAAAATGCTTTGTCTAAACTAGGCCTGGCCACTTTGATTACGCGTAACATTACGGTAATCCACAATTTAGACAAACACGCTTTTAAAAAACTAAGACAAATACAAAATGAATAAGATTTTATTGTTATACCAAGAGTTCGTACTCGCACTTGCATAATATAGCAATAACACATGCAAATTTTCATTTATTTAATTGTTTTGCTATACACATAACGGAAAACAAAAGTTTTAATAGATATATAATATCGCTTAGCGGGCCACACAATTTAACGTGACGGGCCGCGGGTTGTCCAGGGACCGTATTCTGGTCACAAGCCGATCGCTGATTGGCTAATCCGAATGATTAGCCAATCAGCGACCGGCTTGTGAGAGACCAGAATATGGCCCCAGGCCTGGTCTAAACTGATCTATGTAACATCACAACTGATGCGAGTGCCCTCTGGTGAGGCGTAAAAACAAGAACCTAACGTATTATAGGGATATAATAGCGAACGACATACTATATATTCTAGCCATTGTGACATACAGGGTATCAGTGTACAGTACGTAGTGCCTACATATTTTCGGAAGATGACTAAAATATATCAAAAATTGGTAAATTCCTTTTCTGCTACTGTCCCAATTAAGCGATTAAATTATGTATTCACTTATTAGTTTGGTTTTCGTTCTTTGAGATTTGGCCGTTTTATTCCGCTTAATTGGGGCGCCGCGGCTTCCCAATTAAGCGGAATCCACTTTATATAATATGTTTTGATCTATAAAATAATTCGTAACAAATATAAATTTATTAAATATCTTACTGTTTTCATTTTAATATTCAGAAAAGTGATTTAATACCGGTGTATAATTTCCATATCTCGATATGTCATTCACAGTGTGGCTCTGGTTAGGTTCAATCATACAAGTTAAATTAAATCTAAATAGAATTTTAATTGTCACCAGAGGGCGGTAGGTTTATAACCACAAGACCACGTGGAGATTATTGTATACAGTATTTTGAAATGGAAATATTGATTTTAACATTTGTAATTTTTTTTATCGAACTTGTATAATTTGATTAAACTGTAATTTATACCGTCATAGGTTAACTGAAGGTAAATTTTTATTTTTTATTTCTTGTGTATGATTTCATCTTTACATTTTTATCTGTTTTAAGTANAGTGTCTAGATCCGCGGATACGGATCTTAACTTTTGTACTCAGTTGGCGCCGGTGCATGTGACCTTGAACCGATAGTTGACGATTTGCATTAATAACGCGACGTGTTTTGACTTGCACTGCACGTATTTTTGTTTATGGTGTAAAAGTGTGCTAAATTATAATTCACCACAAAGGCATACAAGTTAAATTAAATCTAAATAGAATTTTAATTGTCACCAGAGGGCGGTAGGTTTATAACCACAAGACCACGTGGAGATTATTGTATACAGTATTTTGAAATGGAAATATTGATTTTAACATTTGTAATTTTTTTATCGAACTTGTATAATTTGATTAAACTGTAATTTATACCGTCATAGGTTAACTGAAGGTAAATTTTTATTTTTTATTTCTTGTGTATGATTTCATCTTTACATTTTTATCTGTTATAAGTAATAGATATGTATATTTGTATATATTGTATATTTATGTATGTTACATTTTTACTCGAGATGATGGTTCAGTTTGTTTAAGGTACTGTACAGTACATTAGCAATTCTTAAAGTGGGGTTGCGAAAAATATATGGGAGGTCGCGGAAAAATTGATGCCAGATCAAGTTTTTTCAAATACTGTATTTTATAAATTTACTATGGATTCATGTTTAGAAATAGTAGAAATAAAAAATACAGTAATACCTCGACTTACGCTACCCCGACTTACGCGATTTTCAAATCTCGTCATTTGTCTTTTGTTTGAGCGCCAAACAACTCTCGATTACTCAATCCCCCCCTACACTATTGTTCGGCTTACATGTTCAGACGTGTCGCGCGGAATCGACACATAGCCACAATTTATTTTGTGTTATTTATTTCTGTTTGTTATATCTAAGGAGACTTGAGAGACTCTATGTGGTGATTTCTTCTAACCGTGAACGAATCAAAAGACGAGATAAGATTAACGAGAACATTTATTAGCTTACATACATCCGACTTGGGTTTTACACAAATTGAGAAATTATACCCCGACTTACGCGGTTATCGCTCGGTCCCGCGTATCGCATAAGTTCGGGGTATCACTGTATATAAAATAATTTTCACTTAAATAACTTGCACATATAAAAAAAACAATATAAAAATTTAAATACGAGCCTAAATATAACATTAAAAAATTTGTGCGCTATTGGGGAATCCCCCGAGCTTCCACTCTCCGCCTAAACTATGAAAGAACAACGTTGTCATTCGGAACGGTGTTCGCTAGCAGCGCTGCGTCTGTAGGCAAGTCGAGTTAGAAATACAGTAGAGCAGTGTTTCCCAACCTTTTTTGTGCTATGTCCCACCTAAGCCTTTCTAAAATTCTTATGCCTCCCCTACCATATACAGCAGCTATACGGTTAACTTAAACTTTGGACGAGTCCACGTTTGAATTGCCCCTCTTAACAATCGACACTCTACTGTGGGACGTGGGTCCCACTTTGGGAAACACTGCAGTAGAGTGTCGATTATCCGAAAGCGTTTCAGTCGTCAAATTCGAATTTCCGCTAGTGTTGTGGCGCTGCACTATTTGGCTATGTCTTGGGCTACTCCGATATTATTTTTGTCGGTATGCGTGTTTTAGCTGGCAGCACTGGCGCGACCATGAAAGGGTACTTAAGAACGCGCCGGTATTTGAACGAGGCTTTTTTCCCATTGTGAGTGGTAGGTAAGTTTGCTTGTTTTTCTGCGGATTGTGTGTCGTGCTGAATCTGAACGTTTTTCAGACCAGATTAACTTCCGAAATATAATATGTTTTGTTTTTATATTTTTCAATATATTTATTTTGTTTAATTTTACCTATGGTGCCAAAATGGCGGCGTTTCCGATAATCTTGATTCGCGGCATTCGGTGAAGACGTTGACACAGGGAGTTCTCTAATAACACGTGTGACAAAATATGCAAATTTGTTGAACGCACCGTGAAATGTGGTCGTGAGTAAATATGCAAATTATTAAATATGACGTAGTATATTACTGTTTCTTTGTTGTTGCATGCTTTGTGTACTCTACGATAGTTTTCTCTACGATTTTTATACAACAAAGTTATTTAGGTGAAATTTATTCTTGTTAAACATTACGATAATTGTTAATTTTTAATATTTAGTTGAATTAATGAGTTTTGTAGACATCAATTCCGACGAATTTTGGTCCGATTGTACAACCCGCAAATTTTACCAGTTAATGGAATCGGAATATTCGGAATTAGGTTTGGTACCAAGTATTGATAATGCGTTTAAATTTGCTGTGAAGTTAGGATTACGACAAATCGATGGTGTGTGCAGTTTATGTTCAAAAACGTGTAAAATATACTATCGAAGAGACAAATTTGTGTTTGTTATTAAGATGTAGCAATTGCGGAAGAAAGTATTCAGCTTATGATGGAACCTTTAAGGGCAAATGTGGCAATATTCCTTGGGGTGGAATTTTGTCGTTCATATGGCATTACCTTTGTTTGGAATTAGTGACGTGCCGGATCGTTAAAAATGTATATCCGCGGATACGGATCATTAGTGTCTAGATCCGCGGATACGGATCTTAACTTTTGTACTCAGTTGGCGCCGGTGCATGTGACCTTGAACCGATAGTTGACGATTTGCATTAATAACGCGACGTGTTTTGACTTGCACTGCACGTATTTTTGTTTATGGTGTAAAAGTGTGCTAAATTATAATTCACCACAAAGGCAGACAGGATAAAGTAACAAAAGTTGATATAATTTTCCAATTAAGCTATTTCGCGTCTTTATACAGATTCTATTTCGGGGGATTCCAACTTCACGGTACAAACGGTAGCATGCGAAATTACAGCGATAATAATAGTTTGCTGTATCCAAAGCATGTGTACAATACAGATCCTGATCGCGACAATATAACCTGGAACCTTAAAACTAACCTTAAACACTAACTTAACACTAATAACAGAAAAAGGGATAGAATTAAGAAAACAGAAAAAATGGTAGATAAGATAGAAATAGGGATATCTGGGGTTTTGTTTCTTTTTTCAGCTTGTTTCTTTATGCATGCTGTTGGGTGTGATAACACACGTCCTTCTCCTATAACTGGCCAGTTCTCTTTTTCAATAATTAGGATTTTTCCTTCCACGGTCGTCAATACGACCTTAAAATAGGATCTTTTTTCTGAACTTATTTCTGAACTATCCGGTCATTGAAAATACGACTCCCAGTATTCTCACCTCGTCCGTACACTCTGCCGTCCAGTTTACGAATGACCTGCTATGTCACTTCTCTTTTTTCTCTGGCTCCTGTTTACACCTTTGCTCCTCAAATTTCTAGGAACTGCTCATCCCACCCAAGGGACAGGGAATAGATAATAAAGTTCTAGAAGAAAATAGAACAATAGAACAAAGAGTAAAAAGAAGAAACGAAACTAAACTAAAATTAATATTTACAAAAATATAGCATACTGCCACAATAGTTTAGTGCAGTGTTTTCCAACCTTTTTTGTGCTATGCCCCACCTAAGCCTTTCTAAAATTCTTGTCTCCCTAACATATACAGCAGCTATATGGTTAACTTAAACTCTGGTCAAGTCCATTTTTGAATTGCCCTCCTTAGCAATCCAATTGCCCCCTGTGGGGCGTGGGCCCCACGTTGGGAAACACTGGTTTGTGGCTAGTGTGACATGGGATAGCGTAGATTACGTTTGTGTTTTGGAGAGTGTTGAGTTAAATTAAAATAAAAACAATGTCGACAAAAAAATTTAGTAGTGTAATATGGAAATATTTTACGATAGTAAATGACGAATGTTCTATTGCTGTCTTTAAAATTTCATATAAGTAATGAAATTCATTAAGATAAAAGATCCGTTAAAGATCTGCTAAAAAGTAATGGATACGGATCTTTTTTTTTCCCCTCGGATATCCGTGGATACGGATATCTGGCACATCACTATTTGGAATGTATGTTAACAAATTCGGCTGTTGTTGCAGATATTTCTAGAAAGGCTGGCATTGATTGGTCAAATCACATAAGTTTAGTGATGCTTATAGCTATGAATAACATGACCTCATTTAAAATCGGAGGTCCTAATAAAACTGTCGAAGACAGTAATATGCAAACCCAAATATGAAAAAGTGCGTATACTGAAACCTACAAAACGGGTCGTAGGATGAATATGCAGGGAAGACAATAGTTGCTTCATTTGTTAAGTGAATGACAGATCCGAAAACACGCTAAATTGGGTTGTGTCTAAATTTGTAAATTCTGGTAGTCTACTTATAACTGATGAATGAAAGGGATATAATCACATAGACGACATTGAAGGAATAGATATCGAACATAGAACAGTTAATCATTCAAAAAAACTTTGTAAACCCCAAAACGGGCGATCCTACTCAAAACATTGAAAGGTTATGGGGGTTATTTTAAAAGTAAAAATAATTTGCCAAAGCATTACACGGATGATCTGTCGGATTCATACATGTATTCCTTTATGTATAAGAAGTTCATGAAATGGCCAGCTAAAAGCCCAGAGTAAAGTTTCAAATATTTGTAAAACACTTGAGTATTATCCAGGTACCGGAATAACACCAAAATGGATGGAACCGGCGAGTGTTCCCGCAGCACCAGTTTCTAATATAAAAAAGAAGGAAAAACAGGAAAAAACCCACAACAACAAAGAAAATGACTAATATGACAAAGAAAAGATAGTCAACATGTGCTAAGCAGTTGACTTCGTCAGGGAATAAACGTAGGAAAAAAGGATCACTAACGAGAGTAATAATTACATTAATGTACTAAATAGGTTAGTTTAGGACACGCGTCCGCTCCGTTTGAACCATCGGCTACCGCGCAGTCTAGAGAGGAGTTCAAAATGGCGACTGGAAACTCTGCCATTTTGGCATCGTAGGTAACATTAATGAATAATTTTTAACGATACATAGCCACGATTATTATTTTTAAAAAATTCACGGCACTTGTGTAGTTTAGGGGATACGGCTGTTTGAAAGATTTTCTTTCATAAAATTTCTAGACTAATTTGACTCAAGCATTTCCAAAACACAAATAATTTTTAGGAATAATCCATATAAAATATGCTATATACAAAAAAAATTGTAGGAATGCTTAGTGTGCACAGTTCGAAGACTCCATTGCTTAAGCTTGTATTCGCCATGGAACGGCATGTTAGAAAGAGGACGTGTATGAAGCGTGTCGCGTGACATTTGTCAGTGATATTCGGTCACATAATTACTTGTTTCCTGATAACTTACTCTTTTTGCAAAGAATTTGCTGAACTTTGGAGGCATCAAATGATAGATTGTGAGGGTCCGGATGATGAGATTAGATTCGAAAAAATGTTTAAGTTTAGGATTAGTTCAAAAACAGGAAATAATTCGATCATAAAAACTTCGTTCCCACGAAAACACTTCCTTGTAGAAGATGAGTTAACTTGTCATGATTGTGTCATTTAATCCATCATTGGTCCAGAGAGATCACTTCTGACGTATGTGGTGTGGGGAAATCTCGAGAAGGGAGCCCTCCAAATAAAAGGCAAGCGTGATGACGACTGGAGGGAGAAAAATTTATAACTTTTCCCAGTGTGTGTGCCTGTGGATTATCTGCCTTTTGTCGCTACCGTCTTCGATAGACTTTCTATCTGAACTGTTTGTTCTATGATTTTTGGACTTATATCAATATAGAATCAACGAGCTTCTTTAACGATCCCTGGAAGAGTCCGAATTACAAGTATTGTCGTGAACGAACATTTACAGTTATTCTACTAGCAATGATATGTAAGCTCTTTCTCAAGTTCTTAGGTGAATGTGGTCAAGGTTGCAACTAATATATTACAGGTAGCTACTTTTCCTAACGAAGTAACTGGTTGTCTGGGATGAATTAACTATACAGGATGTTAATCCAGAGGGATATGTATTCTCAAACCTTTGATTACCTATATCTGTGTAAATACGTTCTACAATAAACAGGTATATTGTTAATGAAATTTGATTGCCATGCATTTCTTCCAATGTTATCATCTCCTCCATTTGAATCTGAAGGTCTTTACAAAATCATTAGTGAGCATTGGTTACAGGGTTACTCATCGATTCCATTCAAAACACATATCTATCTGCCAATAATTCTGTAGATTGGTGTCAGATCCTGATGGGAGATAAGATCTAACGATCCTCATTTTCCATAATCCTTTTCACTCAACTTGAAGCCATCCTTTAGACAAGCGAGAACAGACCTCAAGGTCTTGTGTCGATTAAGAGGTAGAGGAGTAAAGTACTCTTAAATATCCTGCCCCTGACTAATCTCACAATTATAATATACTATAGTATTTTTATTGTAACTAGAAACGACTTATAGTCAATAATTATAATATGAAACAACAAAGGTAAAACTGCTTGCTAACAACAATAATTCTATCATGATATATATTATGATGATAAATATTAATCAGATGCAACATAAGATGTCTAATGTCTTGATGTAAATAAATATTGTAAAATTTTGTTTACAACATGAGAGATTAGGCCATTTAAAAGTAGAGAATTATTAGTTATTTATTACATTATTGTACGATATTATATGTTGATTTTAATTCATATTTAGAAAGGATTGTTTTAATATTTCTATTGACGATGCCTCCAAAGTTCAGCGAATTCTTTGCAAAAAGAGTAAGTTATCGGTAAATGAGTAATCATATGACTCAATAGCAGCAACAAATGTCACGTGACACGCTTCATACACGTCCTCCGTCTAACGTGCTGTTTTGCGATGAAAACAAGCTTAAGCAATGGCGTCTTTGAATGGTGCACACTCAGTAAGTAATCCTACAATTTTTTGTTTATAGCATATTTTATATGGATTATTCCTAAAAAATTATACGTGTTTTGGAAATGTTAGTCAAATTAGTCTAGAATCGATTAATTTTATGGAAGAAAACCTTTCAAACAGCCATACCCCTAAACTGCCCTGAACATCATTCTGGAAGCATGGCCACATTTTGGCACCTAAGTAAAATTTAACCGGTTAACATTGAGGCACGATTCTACATTCGGGGGAGTGGGGAAAACCCCTTCCGGGATGTTTTTCTACACCCATTATTCGGGGTCTTTTGAAATTTTTAAGTGCAAAAGGAGGGTCGCAGACCAAAAAGTTTGAGAAACACTGCTGTACATTATGTAGCAAATTAGCTTATATATCTGTTTAAAATTATTGACATCAACAAAATAGTATATGAAGAACAAGATGTTTTCATTGGTTAATATCAGAAAAAACTCTGTGTCTTTTCACATGTATAGAGCTAGCGGAACTGAGTTGAGCGCCATCTGTACTCAGGCAAAGAAAACTGCTTTGGGAAAACATGTGCGTCTTTGGGTTGGATACATACTGAGACTCAGTGCTTGTTTTCTTCCTGTGATGAACCACAGCTTTCTGCCACACACAACTTCAAAAAATAACTGTTGTGTGGTCTGTTGTAGTGTTACCTATATTACTGTGCTGCCAGTTACAAAGTTTTATTTGTTTCCGAATGAACAATGCCCTGGGAGGAAAGAGAAATGGCTTGCTGCAATTTAATTCCCAAGGTTAATTACATAATGATGCGTTTCATTGTAATGAATCTCCAATCACGTGTTATAAAACCTTAGTGGCTCTATTTTAAATTTAGTTCTCTAAAGTTTAATAATTTTCTTTTTTTTATATTATTTTGTTAATCTGACAGATATTAATTGGCATATGATGTGATATTTGAATTTGAGATCTGTGGAAGAAAGGAGTAAGCAAAATTAATATTTTGAGGAAATGAAGGTAAAAGTTCTCCCTGTTAATACAATACTATTAGCTACTGCTATGGTCTTTATTGAAGCTTTTATATATATATATATATATGATTGGTTACAAATTTCATTATTTACCATGCAATGGATATATAGTTTACTTCTTCCACACCACCCTGTAAACTGTACAAAATTAAGAGTATAATAAATATCAGAATATTAATACTGCTCAGTCCTAATGATCTACAGTCACTTATCGAGTTATGACCACCTCAACTTAAGACAAAAAAAATTTCATTTAAAAAATTTAAAATGTGTCATTTGTTTTTAGTTTTTGTCGAATATATATCTTGCACGCTTCTGGCAATTGATTGCGTCATCTATAGTTTTGTTATGCAGTTAGTTACCCTTTGTGTGTGCTTGTGTAAGAAGGCTAACTGTTTTCTTGTAAGTACAGTCACTTCTCGACTTAAGACCATTTTGACTGACTTGCGGAACAAACCCCATCATAAGTTGAGAAGTGACTGTATTGACTAATGCCAGCATTACTTTGACCTTAAACTGCTGAATGTATGTATATATTATATATTTAACCCTCATTGCCACCATTGTTAGTGTGGCTGTCTGCCATTTTGTATATACATAGTTATAGTATTTAGATTTAAGATTCTTTGTTCTTTTCCTTCCTTCTTCTTTCTACTAATGACCATTTCCGGTCACCCGATCAGGAGCGGGAATTTCGTGGGTCCTGATTGGTGGCTTACCGACGTGAACAGGGCGCGGCCCTGCCCGTGGGGTACAGAAGGTGAACAAAGGGGTAAGAAGGACACTTTTTGCCTGGACGACGAGGAGAAAGGGTTAAGAAAATATCGTCGGGACATTAAGTCAGACTTAAGACAAAGAACCAGCCCAATGTGCGAAGTTTAGCGTAGTCCAAATAGAAGAGAAAAGGACTAGTGACTTGATTGATGAGAGATAGTAGTCTACGAAACTAAGTGCCAAAATTCATACTAGGAATGTTTAATATACCAACGTCGGCCGAGAAAACCCCCGAAACTATTGGAAACCACCATCAGGACCTCCTGCGATAACTACCGGTAGACCTTTTCTTTCCTTCCTTCCTTTTCCTCTTATTAGTATAGTGTTAGATTAAGTTAGATATAAGTTAATTATAAGTTAGTGATTAGAACCTATATCGTGATAATTAAAAATTGTAAGATTCCGGACGAGAGTAGAGACCTGTTGCATATCTGTGTATTTGTCTCTGACGGGCATCTCTGTAATACCTGTCAATCCCTGTTGTAATAAATTATTGTTTAATTGACATTCGTTGGAACAATTTGTCTCGTACATCTTTAACTCTCACATTAGAATAGAAACCATGTGTTTACTTTGATGTCACAGAAAAGACTTCTTTTAACCACTCAGCAGTAAAGGACAGATGTATTCGTCCAGGGCAATCATGTGGCAGTGATGGATGGCTATATCCGTTAAATTTTTTTCAGGGTATTGCCAAAAAGTAGCCAAAAACTACCGCAAAAAAAATTCACCTAAAAAATGTATTATGTAACAATAAAAAAAGACGTTTCTTTATTAGACAACTGTTTACAAAATGTTTTTCTGAAACTGTAATGAGAAAAAACGCGTGGAAAAATACTTTAAAAATTTTCTACGTTTATTCTCCACTACTGGGGGGGTAGAACCATACCTGACTAGTCCACTGTTGAAAGGATAATTGGAGGAATTTTGGCATAAAAAGTAAACGTTCTCTACTTTTGTCAGTTCTGTTTCAGCCAAAATTTCAGAAAGTTTTACATTTTCTGTTTTATGCTAGATTTCACGCACGTATGCTCCTGGCCTTATCCTATACAAGAGCAACATATTGTCAAAGCTAAGGTGAATACTTTGATAATTCAGAATAAATTGTTAGTTTTAGAAAAACATGAATTGAAGATGATATTTAAATAAAATTTTTCTAGTTTAAAGTAGTAAACTTGTGTCCTAAATACTTTAATTTAGATATGATCATAACATATTAAATTTTATTTTTTCTTAATTTTTTAAAATATTTTCTCATTTATTTATGTATAAGTTAAAGTTAATTACTCTATAGAAACTGTTGAAGCAGTACTTCTATTAATATAAGTATTGATTTCACAAATTCATAGTTTTAAGAAAGTTCGAAAATGATTAAATTAAATTTCATGACAATTCATTTAAATATAAATTTTTTTCAAAATTACCATATAGATTAGTATCATGTCACTAAAATTTTCAAAAGCAAAACAAGAAATGAATTTATTTTTGAGATTGAGATGATGAAAGTATTTTGTTTTATTTTCAGGATTTGTTTCAATTTTACGGAGATAAATAATGCCAAAGAAAGCTGAATCAAAGTGGAGAAGGTGTGAAAATTGCAAATCAGTACTCTACATGAAAGATGTACCGCTTCATAAAGAGCAGTGTAATGAGTTAAAAAATGAAAGCAATAAGTGCCTCATTTTGAATCATTGTTTGATTGATAATGAAAATCTGTATGCTACTGTAATTAAAGATGTTATACAGAAAGGTAAAATATAGAATTATTTGTTAACAGTTTTATGATTATGAATTAAAATTTCAAAATATAGGTAACCCCATATAACACGGGAGTTATGTTAAAAAAAATTGCCGTGTTATGCGAATCTGTGTTATACGAAACAAAGAACTAGTGTGAAAAGGGGGGTTAAATTCCAAAAATTAAAAAACATGCTGTTAAATCCTTATTTAAATCGGATTTATTATTAATTTTTTTCATAGGTAAAATATTTATTATTTAAGTAAATATTTTACGAGAGGATTATTCATTTTATATGATGATCTCAGCATGAGCATTATGAACTGGTAAAAGTTTGTGGGTGCATTCGTTAATAGCGGTCGCTCTGCAATGAGTGTGCTGCTGTTTATAGGCATTTAGGAATGACGGTGAAAGAAAGATGGCGGCACCTGCACTATTGATAGTATCGTGTGAAGGAATCTAATTCTAAAATGAGCTTTTAGAGGCTAAAGAAGGCTCCCAATTGTAAAATTTAACCATTAAATGTATTATTTGTTGAAAGAGCATTCAAAATAGCCATGAAAATAATTAAATGCTCACACGTGGTTACGCAGAGGTATAAAAGAATGTACCCTTTATTACACTTTATGTTGTACGAGGGTTTTACCCAATTCCAGAACTGTGTTAGAGTGAACCCGTGCTATAAAAGCACCATGTTATACAGGGGTTATCTGTAATGTACTTTTAAAGTAGCAGTAGAATTTCTGTAATTAATTCTGACATTTTACTTCTAAGTTTTGAGATATTATATATAGTTTTTTAGAGTTTTTGCATTTAGGCACCAGATTAAAAAATGCTCCCAGTGACCATTACACTGCACAAAAAAATGATTTTGAATGTTTCCTTTATTTCATGAGTGAAATCTTACTAATTTGGATGAGAGAATTGAATATGACAAAGAAAAATTTAGCTCCAGTTTTCGTGATACACAATAGGTGGCAGAATGTGATTTTAATGGCTTATGAGAAAATGATACATTTTAATTACATATGCTAACAACATTGAAAGTGCTTTTGAATTTTTGAAAATATTTGAATTCAAATTCAAAGATTTCATTAAACCATTAACGTCACAGCAAACAATCAGATCGTTTTTGTTCTCAAAAAAAGGAAGCAGATTCCTCTGACGTTCTCTGTACTGTGAGACCCTGACATCATGTTGAAGAAGATTGCTGTAGTCTTGACCCTAGAAGTTCCGCCTTATTCTTTGACAAGTCTAGGTCTTGAATGAGATCACTCAATTCCCCTTAACTCAGTTTGTGGTGTGTCAACTTTTACCTCAAAATTGGAGCATGGAATGTGGAAGGCTTGTTGGGTTCTTCTCCTACACTTTCTTCATTTTATACTTCAAGCTCATAATGTTGGGGTGAAATAGGAACTGGTAACTATCTGAATATGGAATAGGTCGAATAGCAGATGGAAGATTTAGGTATTAAGCTAGTTTTTTAATTCATTGACAATCCTGCTTTTGTAAGTGGAGTCGAGCAGAAATAGCAGTCATCTCTGTATGGCTTGTAGGCTCCCGCCAAACCTTAGGCACAGCAAAAGCCGTAGATTGTTTTTTATTTTTCAGCCATTCTGGTAGTATAACTGAACAAGAGTTGCAGCTTATATGTGGAGCCCATGAGTTATCCTCCCCCTACCTTCATACCAAAATAATGGTGATAGGCAGTCTTCAGAAGAGGTGTCAGAGTGTGTTTCTGTGACAAATGTTATTTCACTACAAATAACAAAAATTGTTCACTGAATTTACACATTTTTGTGGCATTTTGGTATAACCTGTATTACGCTTCAAAAGCACTTCAAAACCAGAAATATTAACCAAGAAAAAAGAAAAATAGAAGCAATATTAAGCTCAGTCATATTTACATTTATGTTTATAACCTACAAACATATGGAGAACATTTTTTGCTGTGTCAGTTGAGAGGTGTGACAATTCCCAAAAAATAAATTACCCCAAAATAAAAATGTAAAATGGCATGTTACAGTTTCTCCAAAAAGCAAGAGCTAATCTGTCATTTTTATGGTGATTTTTGAATTCAGCAGATAGAAGATACAGCAGACGTAAGAATACACTAATTTTGAGCCCGAAAGATTTTCATTGTTGTTCTATGTTATTGATTCAACCTTACCCACAATGAAGTGGCTAGGTGTCAGGGAAGGCTCTGACCTATCCAAGTCAAATTAACCATGAAAATATCGGAGAATTTAATATCTGGAATAGAATTGGGTTAATCAGAGCAACAGACTGACGACTTTACCGAGACTTTATCTATTTAGTCTTATACTTATCATTTATGATTGGAAAAATAATCTTTCAAACTTTTTTCCCACTGAACATGAAAATATTACTTTGAACACTATAAAGAAAGCGACTATTCAGATATTTTTTTAAACTTGATTACATCTTTAGTCAATAAATTAATCAAATAGTCAAACTTTTAATGCTTGATTTTACAAAAATTAACACTTAGGAATTAAGAGAGAAATTTTAAATAATTTTACAATATACAGTGGGTGATCAGTTAATGAACATAATCCGTTCCAAGATTTTGTTTGCTATCTGAATTGTTCGTTAACCGATTATCAATTTACCATAGGTTTAAAAAATAGTGGAATTTCTACACCGGAGTATTGTAAAATGCACGTACGTACCTATAAGCCTTTTACGGTGTGCATTCTAAGTTTGTTCTAAGACACACACTGGTAAAAGGCTTATCAGTACATATGTGCATTTTACCATAGGTTTTTATGAGAATTTGATTAATTCATTCTGGAGATCCCAAAAAATAAAAAATATATTTTTTCTTACTATGTTTATTTATATGTAATAATAAAAATACATATATACAGAGTCTTGCATTTTTAAGTTATGTTTTTTCCATTTGAGGGGGTTAAAGAATCTGTCTAATGTCGATTGCTTTTCTCTCTTCAGGATTTTTCAGAAGTAATTAATAGCATTGTAATTGTAGAGATCACTAAGCCTATTAACCTGAACCTGGTTTGGATGCCATCTATGACTCTTGTTCTGACATCCTCCCACTTCAAAAGATGTTTAATAGCAGATATCGGCATTAATCCTCTTTTTTAGAAGACATATCTCGCTGAGTTTCTTGGTGGTGTTCATTCAAGAGTTCTTGGCGTTCTTCTGTCGTCAGATTGGTTTCAGGTTTCATTATGAGCTCTTCAATGTTGTTTCTCAGATGTGATTTTGTTACTCCTTTAGCTGCTAGAGTCGTCTTGATTATTCTATACTGTTGTATTGCCCAGCAACATCAAACATTTTTCTGCCCAGTCTCTAAATTTGCTATTATACTCTCACCTTTTGAAAATAAAAATTGACACAAAATGAGTGCCTGCCCGACAGTCTTGCAAATACTATAAAAAATTCTTTGTCAGAAAAACAAAAGGATGGAATTACAAGGGAGAGTTTCAAAGTTCAGAGGAATAGTATCCGATTAGTATATACCGGGTTGGATGTCGATGTCTCCCGCACTATGAAAAGTTTCAAACTGTTGCCTGAAGACAATGCAAGACCAATTGGTATTCATTATTTTACGTCGCTTCTCCTTGTTTGTTCTGTGAGGTGTTCGTTATCCAATTTATTCATTAACCGATCATCCACTGTATTATTTTCTTTGAAATACAGTTGAACCTGTCTATCTCAAATCTCATGGCAATGAGAAAAAAAAATTTGAGATAGGTTTCGAGATATAGACGTTCCTACACAGTAGACAGTAATAGATTTGACAGGAGATACGGTATTTTATTAATACAATAGCAAGTACAGTGCACACCTGTGTTAGGTATAAATGAAATATTTTTGACATACAGGTAATCCCCGCATAACATTGCACTTTTATAGCACAGATTCACTCTAACTCGATTCGAGCGTGCCGATCAGCTAGCAAAAGCGGGAGCTAGCGGTCCTTTTATAACAAGGACGGTTGAACCCTCGGCAGTTTATATCAAAGGTACCTTGCGGAAACGATTGATGACCATCTGGCAAGAGCGCTGGAATCAAACTACGGTAGGTAGGTCAACCTACGCCTTCGTGCCTGTAGTTGGCCTCGCTCCGGTGTACTGCAATAGGCTCACGACTCAATTACTGACCAGCCACGGGAGGTTTCCCCATTTCAAGTCCTGTTTCGGGCAAGGAGATGGTAGCTGCTCCTGTGGGAGTTCTCGCGGGGACACGAGACATTACGTACTTGACTGTCCTCTTACGGAGGATTTCCGCCGAGGGGCCGACCAAGTCGACTGGTCTCGGCCACCTGAACGAGTACTTCAAACGCTAGCAGCTAGTAAAGAAAACTTAATGAAACTAAAGGAATTGATGGAAATGATCATAAACTTATGATCTAAGTGCCTAGTGGACGCACTGGGTTGGGTTCCCTCTTACTTGTAGGGAAGGGGACCCCGCTGTCCGAAATATATGTAAAGAATAAACGATCTATTAATTAGTCAGTGGAATAAAGTGCAGTATCAGCTGCACACCCTAAAAAAAGCTATGTCACGTTAGCGAGCTAGGGCCTAGTTCCGCGGACAGGAAACCGGACGTTCAACAGGGCCCAAAGCTTTGTCGTTTAAAGGTTTTAGTGGCAGAATCGCCGTAAGTCAATGACGAAGGAAAGACATAGTCTCTCAACCCTGTGGTGCCAATCTGGCGGGGCAGGGAAAGAGATCCCTATCCGGGAAACAATCCTTAAGAGACTTAACACGATTCGAGAATTGGGTAAAATCCTCGTACAACATGAAATGTAATAAATCTTCACATACTTAAGTACTAATAGTTCACGAAAATTACTAATTTTTGCGAACTGTTAGTACTTAAGTACAGTGGTACCTTGGTATACATCTGCTTTAAAATACGTCCAATTCGGAATATGTCCTGTTTGGACGAAACAAATTTTGCTCGGTATACGACTTAATTCAATTATATGTGGCATCTATGTACAAGTAGCACTATTGGTGTACTAGACCAGACTAGATGTTCGCAGTGCCACGGTTTATAGCAAGGTTGAGATCGAAGTTTTAAACGCGAAAACGTGTACGTCAGATGTTCAACGCCGCTTTCCTGTAAGCCTCCTAGATGTTTGACAATGGTGTTTTTGGAATGTAGAGCATGATTTCACTGACTATCCAAACACTGTTATCAAACTTCTAGGCTTACAGGAAAGCAGCGCTGAACGTCAGATGTACACGTTTTCGCATTTAAAACTTCGGCCTCAACCTCGCTTATAACTTTGTTAAATTTCTTCTGATTTTTTAATTTTGTAAGTAAAATTTTATTATTTTTATTAATCATAAATTGCAAAAAGGCAAATGAAAAGCAACAGAAAATTAAAAAAAATGAATCAAAATGGAACTGAAAAAAGAGATTGTTGAGAAATATGAAGGTGGCATGCATGTTCAAGATTTAACTGTTGCATACTGTATTCCATGAACGACAATATCGGCAATCGTGAAAAATAAAGACATTATCAAATCTACTAACGTTCAAAAGGGGTTAAATCAGTTTCTAAACATTAGATCATGTTGAGAAATTGCTTTTGCTTTGGATAACTGGAAAACAGTGTGCTGCCGACAGCTTATCAGAAGCAATTATTTGTGAGAAAGCTAAAAAGATACATGCTGATCTCATGAAAAATCAAGCAGAAACTAGCCATTTTTTTTACATGAGAACGGATTAATCATTTTTATATTACTTCTTATGGGAAAGGTTGGTTTGGTATACGTCCTATTCGGTATAAGTCCAAACATCAGGAACTTGATTAAGGTCATATACCAAGGTTTCACTGTATGTAAATTTTCTTTTCCCGCCTTCTGTCGATCCACGTGGTTCTTCTCGGAACTTGTTTCAGTGTTGCCAGATCTCAACTTTTCTGATTTTGGTGTTGACAAATGTTTTTCCCTTATTCCATACTTGCTTTATTCTTCATAAGTGCTTAGCACCATATAAGGAAATTTATAAAGATCTTTTAACTAAAAGCAAGCAATCTAAAATAACATACTTTTTGCAAAAGGTAGAGCATGGATCTGAAGATGATGCAGAGAAATGCTCTCAGAGGATAAGGATATTTTGCCAAAAAGAAAATTCCCTCGATTAATTAATAGTTCTTAGTGATGACGAAGAAAACATTTATATTAATATGTATCACTTAGCAATATGTTTGCTAAAATTTTTTTATTAAGATAATGTTTTAATTTTTGGAACCTAATCCCCCTTTTTGTACTATTTCTTTGTTTCGTATAACACTGCAATTTTTTGGAACATAACTCCCTAGTTATACGGGGTTACCTGTACCTTAAGAGAAATAGTTTGTCAGTAGTTTCTATTGCATGACTTTGACTAATAAGATGCAAGCCAAACTCAGTGATTGGCAAAAGGCAGCATTAATTATCAGTATGTACTGTATTGCAAGAGACATTTCTTCACTACAGAGTATGCTATGAAAATGTAGTTGCTAAGCTTTGAATTTGTAATTGTTGTTAATTGGCAAATTTAGTTTTAAAACAAATATTTTCATATGTAATTCTATATTTTAGAACTGTTGGAGCTTTTTGAAAATTATTATTGTTCTGATTACATTTACTTGTAATTAAAAAATTTTCAATGGTTATTCTATTGAAAATGTTGAAATATTAAGAAAAATGATCGAGTATCACAAGGTGTTCTGAAATGTGTTTTCAGTTCAATTTATTATGAAATGTCCTATTTATGCAAGTTGAATTTGAATTGAAAGTATGAAAAGTTGCAGATGATCTTTTGAGTTTAATATATAAAAAAAACTAGTATGTAAAAAGTATTTTTATTTACAGATGATAAAGACCTGAAATGTGTTTCGAGTACAATTTAATTTATTATGAAATGTCCTATTTATGCAAGTTGAATTTGAATTGAAAGTATGAAAAGTTGCAGATGATCTTTTGAATTTAATATATAAAAAAAACTAGTATGTAAAAAGTATTTTTATTTACAGATGATAAAGACCTAAAATTTCTACCTAAAAACAGTGCCTTTCTTCATCCTTCAACTATGAGGATGTGCAAAATATGTTCTGGAGACAGGATCACTTTGACTTCATCATCAGGTTATCAGATTCTTTGTACTGTTCTGCCAAAATCATCTCTTTCGTTGACGACAATTTCAGTACTGAGAAATGACTTTTCAAAGGATTATTACGAAAAAATAGTTCATGTGAGAAACTATTTCAAGCATCCATTGAAAGCAGAGTCTATAACAATATTGTGTGAAAATTCAGACAGAGAAGATATATTTTCTAGTGGTTTTCAAACTCATTTTATTCGAAAGTACTGTAAGTATTATCATCATAAGTATCTATAGTTATATTGTATAGTTTATATATTTTTTATTTTTATTAAAGGAGGAGTGATTTTTTTTAGTCTTTTATAAGTACTAGTAATCATGCACATCAAGTAATCTTGTTAGAAATTATAAAGATGTATATATTCAACTGAATTCCTATAGAACCCAATTCTCATAGAATCGATCGGCTTTCTGTATATTGAATAATAATCTTATAAGGAGGTTATTATTTAATATGATATTCTTGTTAAAAATTTAGCTATTCTTGGGCATAGTGACTACATATGGGTGGTCCATTTGTATATAGTACTTACAAAACAGGCCCACCTTTGGGTTTATGTAATTTTTACAGGATACAGTCTAATATATATATATAGCATTGTAAAGTGATAAGTGATTTATTCATTTTAAAAATAGAAAACTACATTAGTATAATGCAAGCTTGTTTACTTTATGATGTGCTGACGGTCTAAATTTTTTTTTTCACTTAATTGCATCAAATATATATATACTGCCTTTTGACAGGTTCCATTTCCTCTATCACTTCTGAAGTTTTCAGAAAAAATAATGCTGAATTAGTTATTCTTTCTTCAGTCATTGACACACAAAAATAGTATTTTTATAATTTCAGTTTACAGAATGAATGTTTGGCAGAAGTCATAATGGCAGGTGTTGTAAGAAATTATAGAAAGGCCATGCAGACATCAGGCAAGCTGCTTGAAACATGGTATTCAACCAGAAATAGCTTGCCAATTCTTTTACTGTGGTTCTTTTTACATTGTTTTTAAATAAGCAAGATTCAAATGTTGGCAGTTGCATTGGGAATGATCGTGATAAATCACTTTTGTAACAGACAAGAAGTTTTTCTGCAGCTGCATACAGTTTTTCACCATTATTTGAGATCAGGGTTGAGGGAAGAATAGTATGAAATGTGTCCACCACTATTTAGCTCTCAAATCTCTTCGTGAGCTGTGATGATATTTCTAAAGTAGCGTAGAAAATGCCTACTTTAAACCTGAACCAGTTAGTGGATTTTGTATAGCGTAAACTCCAAATTCCTGTACCTAGGTCCCTTCTTTACATATATGCCAAGCCTTTAGAAAATTTTATTATATACTGCCACTGGATCTCCAGCCCACATTACATAGGATAATTTGCAATGATACAGATGGGGTTACAGTTTTGGAAAAGTCTGGAGTTTAAACCTACAATTTATCAAAAAATTGGCATTGTTTTCATGTTTTTCCTGGAGTGTTCTAGAGATTTCTCAAATTTCAGCTATTTCGAATAGTATGAGGGGCGAGGGCCCTCGTGCTATTTGCTTTGGGCTCCTGTGCAATTGCACAGGTTGCACAAATGTTAATCATGCCACTGCTTGGATATTAAATGATCCAATACATGATAATAAATATCAAGATTTGATCTACACAAATGCATTAACATATCTTTTATAAATACTTAATATTGTCTTTATTTGGTGAAAATATAATTGTTATTGAATGGTACCAGTATCCAAAGTATAAACATGTATAACGACACTTTTAGCTTAATTACTGGATGTGTTCATCTGTAATTTAATTGTACAGCTATCATTTGTTCATTAATGTCAGTAATGTTTTCAGCTCTTTTTGTTCATTAAACAAAAAAAACGCTGTAAACATTATAATAACTGGAAAACTTAGGTTAAAAAAATTTGAAACATAATATCAGTATTTAAAACCAAGGATCAAGAGTTAGAAGTTAACCAATAAGCATTCACAAACCAAAAATGTATGGTAATTGGTTTAATTTTAACTCATCTCTTGAATATTGGGTGTGAATATGGCTATAAAAAAGCTTTAAAAATTTTTTTTAAAATATATATACAGTAGAGCATTGATTATCTGAATACCGATCAACCGAAACATCGGTTAACAAAAGCATTCCAGTCGGCAAATTCAAATTTCCCCTAGTGCTGTGGAGTTGCAGCACACTTCCCCACCCTGCTAACTGAAACTACAGGCCTACTTTAATGTACTACTATATGTAAGATATGTATTGTAAGGTGTGAGATACACAATATATATATACAGTATTGTTTTGTTCTTAATATATTTTTCGTAAATGATCAGTTAACTGAACAACCCCAGTCCCGAATTTTTTCAAATAATCAATGCTCTACTGTAATATATTGAATTGTATCTAAACAATAATTTTTATATTTTAATTGAAATCTATTATAAGTTATGAAAATTATATTTTCATGAATAATAAATTTATTACAGATGATACTTATGTGACATTTGGAACAAAATTATCTTTTCCATATTTTGGAAATATTTTCCAGTTAAAGATTGTAGATATTATTGGTGAAAAATATGATGATAAGACTCAGATAAATGTTCCTGATTTTCTTTCTGTCAAAATGGATGCACTAAAATTAGAAACATCAGGTCCATCAACTGATTTAGAAATTTCTGATTTATTACTTGAAAGTGAAGAATGTCATGACAGGACAGAAACAGATTTTAATTCAGAAAAGTCTGGAAGCAAACCATCATTATGTTCTACACCTTTGAACACAAATAAAAGTTTATCAAATTTATTTACTATTAAAGATTTACCTGTATTAAGAGATGATTATTTAAAGAAAGCCAAAGATGAAATTCAGTTCTATATGATAACAATGTGGACAAATATCACAAATGTGAATGAGACACAAAAACATGATACTTCGGATATAAAAATAACATTTGACAAAATTGGTGGTTTAGATCGTCAGATTAGTCTGCTGAAAGAACTGATAAATCCGATAATATCTCCAAGATATTTCAGATCAAAAGGTTTGTAAACATTTTTATTATAATTAAGTAAGGAATATTGAAGTTTTTTATTTTTATACTAAATAGGATAAGATGTTGAAGGATTTATAAATTTTAGTGTTAATGATTCTTTAAAAAAAAAAACTTTATACATACTTTAGCATGCATAGACTTTTGATTTTTTAACTATGACAGTTCTTCATACAGTATTTTCTTTAACTTGAAGAAAATGAAGCTCTTGGTAGATCTTAATCAGAGCATAGGAATTTAATATCTTCAACATGCGGAAAATTTGAGTTACGGAAATTCAAGTTGAAGGTTTTCAGTTCCCTGACAGATTTGTGTTAATTTTGACTTCTCTCTGTTTTTAATATTTATTTTGTATAAAGTGATCCTAGTTATTGGATTTCCATGAAATTTTCAGACAATTAGTTGTATCTACTGTCTGATGCCCATTTGCAGACAACATTCCGGTCAAAAGCAAGAGGACCTCTCACTTTATCTCAACAAGATTTACTTGCAAAATTGTTTGATTTCATTAGTTATGTTGAACATTTTGCTGGAAGGCATTACACAGTCTGTTTAAAACAAAAGTCTATCAAAGATTCTTTATATAATGCAAGAGAGGTAAAAATACAAATGTATTCAGAATCTGCATTTTTCACCCTATTGTTTTAGTTAGACAATTTCAGTTAGAGAAGTTTTTCTGCACATTGCAGATTCAAGTTAGAGAAGTTTCACTTTATACATTTTATATCTATTACCTTTTTATCTTGACAGTTAAGGAGTCAGTTGAATTGTTTTAGTTTATGAATTTCTGCTCTTTTAAAGTTGAAGTATTGACTGTGTCTAAAAGTAAAGACTGAGGCAAATCATGTGACTGGACCTTCTTCAACTTCCGGGAGAATGTGGAAGTTGTGTTAATAGTTGATATGAAAAACAGTGTGTATCGGTCACGTTTCTTTAAATAACTGTATTGTCTCATAAAATTGTTAGGATATATTATTGTTTATACATAAAACTAAATTTAATTTCACTTTTGTCTCCATTTCTTTGACTCTAACTTTCTTCTCTAAAAAAAAGTCAAAGAAATGGAAAGAAGAAAGTGAAATTAAATTTAGTTTTATGTATAAACAATAATATATCCTAACAATTTTATGAGACAATATAGTTATTTAAAGAAATGTGACCGATACAATGTTTTTTCTATCGACTATTTTCGGGAGGTTGTTTGAACTCTGACTTGTTCTAAGTCCAAATCAATTTTCTCCATTTAAAAAATGTAAAGTGAATCAATCCATTCACAAATCCTAAACAAATAACATTACAATAAACCTAAACAATAAATACACATAATTTAAAATAACAATTAAATACAGTAAATAATAAATTAAAACATGCAGTCAATAAATAATATGTAAATACATAAATAATAAAATAAATTGTATTTACTTGTACATTGTCAACTTTGCTACCAAATCTGCCACAATGTATTATTTTCATGCTTCACAATAAGTTTCTTTTTCACCTAAATTGCTGACAGTACTACTTTCTTAAGCTTTATTTCTTCCACACACTTCTCAGATGCCATTGTTAATAGGTAGGAGTTTATATATAAACTCAAACACACCAAAAATAAAGGGAGAAAAGCACTGAAAATACAGAAGCATAATGCAAGAGATGCTTTCATGATAACTGTGAGAGATGATTGGGTGCACAAAAGATCAAATTTATATAAGTTCATTTTTCACTGAAGCATAGTTGAAATGTAGAAGTATTGTTTGAACTGTAGATTTCTTGAATTTAGAATTCAAACTCTGGAATGTTTGAAATTTGAATCATTTGAACTATAAGCTACCCCTGTAATTTTTTAGTATATTTATTTATTAATATCACTACTAATTTATCATCATTATGAAAATATCTTGAAATAATCAGTTTTTCCTTCCTATAACATTATTCGGTTATGATCTTGCTAGAAGTTTTCTTCCATTTGTATACAGATGTGTTTTCTATTCTTTTGATTCAACATTTTGAATTTGGGTCATCTTTTTGTTGGAAAATAGACCAATAGGTCTTGTTCAATAGTTTGTAGAATAAAGTTTATTTTATCTTTTGTGATTTATCAATCTGCATCAATGAAGATTCTTCCTGTTTTGATTTTCTGTACAATAATGCTTTTTTCACCTGCTGATTCATTAGTTAGAATAGTCACTTCTTATTTTCTGATTCATCAGTTTATATAATTTACAAGTAATTTTATACTAATTAATATAAAGTTGTATACATGTAGTTAAAATATATAAATATGCATTTTATTTAAATAAAAGAAACTGAATCTTTAATGTACAGCATATAATTTGTATACATATTTTGCTTTTGTGCATATTACTGTACATACTGGACATTAGAGGTTTAGTTTCTTAATTTAAATGTATTTATTTGCATTTCATTTTTTTAATTTTATATTTGTAGGTGTGTCAAAAGGAATTATTCTTCATGGTCCATCTGGTACAGGCAAAACAATGATAGGAAATGCAATTCCTAATGAATATCAAGTTAATTTTATATTAATTAATGGTGATGAGATATATAGGTGAGTTATATTCAGATGAAAAAAAGAAAGCTTTTTCTAACCATCAAATTAATGGAAAACAAATGTTTTTGATCACTTTTAGTGATGATCTGATTTTAATTGTCATATAATCAGAAATGAGGAACATTTTTTTTATCAGAAGGCCAAATTTTATTTTAAAGGGAATTTGTAAGGCTGTATGATATACTTTAGATGGAAAGTGTTCAAATTTAATATACATATATATTGGTATATGTTACTGTGAAAGACCGAAATTAGAGAATGTTGAGATTCTCCAGTGAATGTTGACACATAAGAGAAACTATTGGTGAAAGACCGACTATTTGGTGATATTATTAATGTTAGGTAAGGTAAAAATGCTTCTGAGAGAAGCAGCTGCAACTAATTTGAGAAGTGGAAGGCAAGGCTATGCATGCTGTAATTGCAAAAAAATTGTTTCACAACTAAATGCTAGGAACAGTATTTTTATTCAATATTCACATCAGTGCATGCTGAATGTCTGTAAGTGAGAAATAATATTTATCAAATATTTTGTACATGCACGAAATGGCTGTGTGAATGTCAACATTCACACAGCCAGATGTCATTCACAGTATGTATGTATGTATGTATGTACTTAGATACATGTCTTTATTGAAAAAGAGAACATAAAGCAAATTTCTGTAATAAAAAGGTTTAATTTTACTGTTGTAGTTGTAGCTATGTATGAATGAATTTTGACTTTTATCATGACAGCAAAATTAAACTTTTCAGGTTACTCTAAAAGCCACAAAAGGCAGAAGGTTTGCCATTTCTGATTTAATAACAGAATATTTAGTTTATTCTTATATTTACTCATATATAAATAATTAATTTTAATAGCCAATTGTATCAAAAAACCAGATTAATTTTTACTAGACTTGAGCTAATTAGTAAAACACCTGTTACACTTTGCAATTTTCAGCTATTTAGACATCTGCAACTAAAACAGCTAAGTGTCTGTGCAAATTACTAGTGACAAATTGATGAATAAAATTCTACTAATGGTCAACAGTATAAGTTACAATTGATATTGTGTAATTAGAAAAATAAACCAAACAATCATCCTTTATATTTTTCAACATAAACAGAAAAGCTTTAATTTAATGAAGAAATTTCACAAGAATTTGTACTTACTGATCTATTGTCATTCAAAACTTGCTTCAGTTTACAGTTATTTTAAATAGTCAGGATGATGTAAACATCAAGATATTTCAGAATAACAAAACATTCTTTCACTGTTATGAATCTGCTATTATGAAAATGTTTGTTTATGTAATTGATGTGAGAACAACATTTTTAGTAATAGTTGCACTCACACAGTATTTGGAAGTTAATGGGAATAGCTGTCACAATTGTGGTTGCCTGTGTTGTTGAAAATTGTAAAGTGTGAGTGTTACTCATGTAATTATGAATTTACTAATGTAATTGTGTAATTACTAATAAGTTTACCTGTTTATTAGTAAATATATTATGAAATTTGACCTTAGTCCAAATTTTATAATTAGCTTAACACCTTCAACTGCCATAAACCATTAGGCCGTAGTAACTGATGGTTATACTATGTTTGCACACAATCCACGACCCACTTCGATCTCAATTTACCTACAATCTGGATTGTGACTGTCACCAGTCGAACATCGTGCTGTTCGCACAGGCAGTCCGCTCGAGAAGAACCCGGCTATTACACGCGATGATAAACTGACATAACTACGCAATAAGTCACGAACACCAACAAATAAAATGGAAGTTTTAGTTAGAAATAAATACAGTACTTTTTCTTGCCATATATCTAATAATAGACATGTCATCATCTCTCCAAATACAGTATCTCTTATTTCTCTGTCGATAGCACAACAAGTGTTCCGCGGCCATCTTGTATTTTCTCACGCACGTTGTATTGTGGGATCTCTCAAGACTGGATCTAGTTTCAAGAACTCTCTTGAGTCTCATTTCAGTCGAGATTGAAACTGTTGAGAGAGGTCGCACCAAGGCATAGTCACTGATCTTAGTCACAATCTAGATTGAAATGCTCAGTGTGAATGGGGTATTATATTATGTTAAATGTATTGGAAAAGGAGATAGGACCAGAGGTTTGGGTAACATTAATGGAAATGTATGTGCATGGTAAGTTTTGCCACTTACCATGCACATGTGGGTTTGAGTCTCGCTCTGGGCTGATTTTTTCTTCTAATTTAATCTAAAATTGTTTAATTAAATTATAATTATCAAATTTAATGAGATGGCACCTAATGCCTTTCTCTAGGGCAAAATTTATTAGTAATTTATAACTATTATTGCCAAATTATAGCCTAATGGTTTATGGCAGTTGAAGGTGTTATTGCAGTGTATTGGACTTGGTAAAGTTGTTTATAATTAGCTTAATTCTTACTGGAAATAATCCTTTTTTAGTTAGGTTTTATTATCTTCAGCTTTTACAATTTGTTTCATGTGTTTTATATTGTAATAAATCTTACACATTTATTAGATAAATGAATATTCATTATGTATTATATAATTTGTTTTTACATGTTAAATTAGAAAATATATAATAAGTTTAAATTTAACAATAACTTGCAAATTGGATTTTCCCTTTTCTTTCAAGTTGTTACAGCTGTACAAAATATTTACATATAACCATTTAAAACTAGTATATTATAAAATTTAAAGTATTTGCTTTCATTATATTATTATAATATAAAATTATTTAAATTTTGTTTACATTACTTACATAATTTGTCATTGAGTGCTGCTCATTCATATAAATTATATTTTTTTATAAAGTGGATGTACCTGTACATAAGAAAATAATTACTTATCCCTCGATTTATACAATACTCAATTTGCATGGTTTTGCTTTTACACAGTTTATAAATGAAAACAAAAAGTTTGAGGCAGCTGTTAGCCATTTGCATGTTCTCATACAAATCTCAGGGGAAGACAGGTTTCTAGACAGATGTGCATCAGTTACTGTAAATAATCAAATACATAGTATATTGGATTGAAAAAACGTGATGTCTATAGATAGGGACCAAAAAAATTGTCCAAAACATAAACTTCTATTGGGTGTAAAATTATGAAACATGAGGTCATAAACAACAACCAATAGAATGTAAATGAGCATTGTTTGAATTATTTCAAGCAATGAAATGTTTCATAAGATTATTTAAATTAGCCTGATTTATCTTGTGTCCAGACAGTTCCTGTTAAAAAGAATAGGAAAGAAAATGCCGAAGTGAATTCTAATATGAATTCTTTTATTGTTTTTATTCATATGCAACATTGTGAATTTGTTGTTTTACTTATTTTTTTATACCGTATTTGGTGTTAGTGTTTTGTTTTTGATTTTCAAATATAAATTGAAAAAGTACATATAAGCATTAAATTGCCTTTAAAAATTAATGAACTCATCCTTTTTTTCCTTTAATCCTTCTCATTTTATGCAGTTATAAAGAACATATCTTTGACTTTCCCTTGCCTTTTTTAGATTGATTTGCACGATTTAGTTTAATTGAACATATCCTTCTATTTCATATTAATTCAGTATCTCTTTTTATATGGTTTCGGTTTACATGCTTTTTCTAGGAACATAGCTACCATGTAAATCGAGGGATGAGTGTATATGTATATCAGAGCTAAAATTATTTAAGGAGAGAAAAAAAAAGACAAATGTTGTTGAAAACTTACTTTTAGGACTGTTTTAACTACTAGTATGTTCTTTCTGACATCTGAACACTCACCAGTGGAAACCAACATTCACCAGTGTGACCTACTATTCATGTATTCTCAAGAAAATGGCATTAAAATTTAAGCCAATTTTGAAGAGCATTTTCAAGTTGGTTGCCTTGATTATCCAAAATTGATGAAATAATATCAAGCACAACATTATTCTTTATTACAGTAAAATTTATTCAGATACAATATTACTTCCCCCATACACACACAAACAAAATCCCAAAAAGCAATGTATAAGAAATAAAAATATTAACTTGTACTGGAATTAGAAATAAGCAAAATTATCACCTTTTTAAGTATTCCAGCAAATAATTTAATATCGTAAAAACGTTTTCTATCGTCTAACGATCTTCATCAATTAAATAATAAAGTAAAAAGAACATTAAAGAAATAGAATTAAAATTACGAAAAAATAATAACTGCGCATGTGTTTGTAATGATGTGTATTTAAGGGAATGAATACAGAAAGATAGGGATATAAGAATATAAAAAATAAAGCTCGACAGAATCGCGTTAAAAATTAATGCCTCGTAAAAATTGCAGTTTATCTTCATAAAACGATTTCCATGCTGTAGATAGAGAGTGGGCGTCCCTATGATTGATACAAGAACTTTTCCCTTGGGCTTTATAAATATCAAGCTTTTCAAGAGAGTGGAAGTGCTTGTTAGACGTGGGTCTAATGATAGAAGCTTTGTCCATATAACCTCAACTCCTTGCTGGTTGGTGTAAGATGCTTTGAGAAGATTAGAACAAAGAATCAAAAACAAATACTCTATTAGAAAGAACAACGATAGCACCGTTTTAGCATCTTATCGTTAGATAAGATGCTAGATGATATCAATCATTTATTATAAACTTATAAACATTATACCTACAATAAGTACACATGAAAATAAATTAATGTGATGGTTACATTTGTTTTTCATTTAAAATTTTCTCCATACTTAGATCTATGTTACACACACAAGCAAATTGTTTTAGAGTATTGACTAGTTGTATTAAGAAAATACCAACGGTATAAAAAATATAACGTATAAAATTAGTGCAATGTGATTATATATGTAAAAAAATTTAATTTATAATTAGTCAAAATTCAATTAGTAATAGTAAGGCTTACTGTTGCAACCCCCCATGCAAAGGAATAACAAAATATTAATTTCATTTATATTTACTATTTGGGGGTTGTGGAGCTAAGAAGGTTGAGAATTGCTGCTGTAGAGAATTTGAAGAGGAAGCATATTAGTTAAATTCCTTACCTGTTATTCTAAGCTACATTATCTTATACAGTGCAGTACTTAAAGATGTTTCCAATGTTTTTCAACCAGGAGTTTATTTGAGATCAGGGTTTAATTGAGGAAATACAGTATACATATATATATTTATACATGTTTTTAGTTTATCTTATTTTTAGTAAATTTTATATATATTATTTGATACTTTTGTTAATTGCTGACCCAAATTCTGCTTTATTGGATCACAAATATAAATTAACTATCATTTCTGTAGAATTCTTCAAGAGAACTTATTACATTGTGCTGTCATGCATATGCTTCTGTTTGCTGTCATCTGACTTTAATATTGATGATTACACAATGTTGGTAGAGAAACAGTAACTTAATTTAAATTTGTAGGCTCCAAGAAAGCAGAGTTTGAGTTTTGTTAGAAAACTTAGTTTATTTATTATATCTGTTGATATTTATGTTGCTATTATTTATTTGTCTGAATATGTTTAGTGAAGACGAACTGAGAGAGAACTTTTCTGAAGCTAGAAGAAGGTAAGATTGTGCAAGATTAGTACATAAGATTTATTAAAATTAATACTAAAAATATCACTTAGAACCCATATAATATTACAGTCTATTTTATATTATAATTTGCAATAAAGCCTTTTTATTTTTTCATGAAAACTTAATGGTAAAATTGAAATAGTGTGTTCATTACATAAAGCCATTTGTAGATTAGAATATGCTGACAATTTTATAAGTATTTACATAATTAGTGATAATATATTAATATTTAAATGTATCTATATTTTATTCCTTGATTAAAATTAAATTAGATGTAGGATTTCCATAAAATATAAATTATTATACCACATATATTTGATTGATTCAACAAAGAAATATAAAATGTCAAGGCACTCATAGATTTACTTATTTAAAATTCTGTGTGCTATATATAAATTGCATACATGCTGCTTTTTTAGTGTATATGAAGTCTTGTTATAAAATCAAAACAAATATAATAAAACTTGAATGTTTTTGATCTATATGAAACATTAAATGCCATAATATTGTAAATGCAATATTTTCTGCCTGAAACAAAATGTGGCAATAGTGGTACTGTAAGTGGTTCTATTTTGAAGTTGAATTTATGTGCAATCCGTAGCATTTTAAGTGTCAGACTGCAAGTAATGTGACTTTTGGCACTTAAAATGTTATGGCTTATGTTTACATTATTTTGTTACTGTAGAGCAGGGGTGGCCAAACCGTGGCGCATTGGACGATTACAAGTGGCGCTTTAGTCAGTTCTGAGCAACATTGCCAGATTTGGCTTCTTTGCAATTAAGAATATTACATAGAAAATTAATTTTTTATAGTCTGTCTTGGCAAGTTCATTTGTTGCACAATTCGTTGCAATCAACTTTACAGATAAAATGAGTGTTCTCCACATAGTAAATTACAGTGTATGCATGTATGTTTATTTTCGATCAGTGCATAGGCGTCTAAATGACAGTGCTACCGTCCGGACAGTCCACGAGTCGGTTGGACTGCTACACCTGTTGACCTTTTTTTTTTTTTTTTTTTTTCTTCTTCTTCTACGATTCACGATACATTCGCAATCGTGTATGCCACTAATGTCAAATGGGACTATTTTGTACGGGTAACTACACCACCACCGCATTTTTTATTAATTTTTTTTTCACACAACTGAATTTTGATCTTTTAAATTGAAATACCTGATTAAAGGGTGGCCGAAATTTTTCTCCGCCCCGGGCGGCTAACACCCACGGTACGCCACTGCGCATCTGAACTCGTCTATCAAAAAATTGGCGCATGGTATGCAAAAGGTTGGCCACCCCTGCTGTAGAGAATTTGTAACTGAGGTGAGTTTTTTACCGTTTCATTATAAAATTGAAATGAATTCTTTCAAGTCTTGAAGGGAACTCATTCACCAGAAAAAGTATTTTTTTATTTTTCTTGAAAAGTTCTGGTTTTCTGTAATTGACACTATGGCATTACACTCTTCATATGCAGTTTAACATCTAAAAATGAGTGGTGCTAAACTCTTTGTAGCTAGCTGAACTGAAGCTGAAAACAATGTGTTCATCTAAGGATGCATATATACCAGCAAGCAATGATTTGTGATATTGTCACAATTCTGGGGGGCAATTTTTCATCATAATGTCCTCAATTTGAATAGTGTCTTGCTCCTGTACATCATACCTCTTGGAGTCACATCAGTCATCTAATTCCATTCAGGAGAAAATGAATTAAAATAACATGACTTCTGGTCTAAACCAGAAGTTCATATATAGGGTATGTTCGTAAAGTCGAACAAGTTAAACGAGAATGACATCATCGTTATTCTTATTTCATTAGACTTTTTTCGAACGATTTGTTTTTAACTAAATAGATGTTTCTAAAATCGAAGATACAAATGTTGCTAGTGCAGCCTTATCCGAAATATTTTTCTTAGATTGCTTTGGATGGACAGTTATTTCAATCATTTCATCCTTTAATTCACAATTTAAACACTCGAGAGATTCAGAAACATTGATATCGTCAGGTAACATTTTCTTAACGAAGTAAACTAACTCTTTCCTTTGAGTTTTGTTCGAAACGTTGTCACCACAGAGCATGCGCACTGAGTGAGACTACTACTTTTCGAACAATTCGTTACTAACTCGTTTAACTTTACAAACGTAACCATAGTTAAGTTCGCTTTCCATACCTGGTCTTGACTTTCATCTATAATTCGGTTCTGGAGATTAAGAAGGACAGACAGGCAAATGCCAGTAGGAATTTATAGATTTAAAATTTTTGAAAGTTGCAGCCCAATCACAAACTCCATAATGATTAAATGTTAACAAAAATATAATATTTAAGTTAGTTAACATTTCTAAAATTGAACTTCTTTTTTGGGTTTGTTTTTCAAACCTCTTTTATTTATTAGGTTCTAGAAGTTTTTACGACTTAATGTTAATTAAATTACACTTATTTTTCGAAAAATATATATTTTTCGAATTGTTTTAATTACCAAATCATTTTTATATTTCTTTTAAATTCTGGTTTGATCCTTTAAAAATAATGTATAAAATAAAGAAGTCTTGGAATAAAAACCAATGCAGCATTTTTACATTTACATTCCAAGACGTTGGAATGTAAATGCTTTATATTATTTAAACAAATTTTATCTTTATAAATGCTATTTCACAAATATATATATCAAGTGTATTACTTAAACTAGTTATTTATTAAAATAATAAGAATCAAAACTAAATAATTGGCATAAACCATTTATTTTAAGTTCTGTAAACTATAATATGTTACAATTACTATTGCATTTAATTTTCAGAGCACCGAGTATTATATTTATTGATGAATTGGATGTTCTTTGCCCAAAATATCAAGATTCTTCTCAAGTCGAAAGGAGAGTACTTAAAACATTGTCGACATTAATGGATAGTTTATATGTGAGTACAGTCTTTTAAAAAGATAAAAAATATAATCATATACTTTATAACTTTTAATGAAAAATAAATATATTTTTGATAGTTGGTTATTAGTTATGAACTTATGACAAACATTTGATTTCTATAGTCTGTTTATCGTAATGTGTCGCCTACTGTAAACAAAGATTTTGTCGTATTAATCTACCGTAGATTTTTGTTGGTCAATTCACAATGAGAAGTGGCTACACATGTCGACCAGTTAAGCCCTTTTCTCTGCACGTGTTAAAGTAGGTCAGAGAGACCCAACAATTTAAAAATTACCGAGATAATACTTAGAAAGTTGTTATAGCCTACTTTAACATTTTTACATAGCCATTTATATTATTTCCATTGTTTAAATATAGTTTGGCAAAAATTATTATTAAATATATATTAAGATTTACACAAAACATATTTATAATTGTGTAGTTGAACGTACAGTAGAGCCTCGATTATCCGATTCAATTGGGGACTGGGGTTGGTCGGATAATTGAAAAGTTGGATAACTGAAAAGTATGAAAAAATCCATTATTAGTGTAGTATATTATTATATCCCATGTAATTAGTATATTGCTATTAACCTACTTCGCGTTGAATTTTCATCGATGTTAAGCCTAACAAAAATTTTTTTAAATAATAATCATTGCTATTGTATCATTAAAAATTAGAAAATTAAGCCTCATTTAAATACTGGCTCCTTTTCATGGTCGCTAAAACACGTAAAAATAATATTAAAGTAGCCAAGACATAGCCAAATATTGTAGTGCCACATCACTAGCAGACATTTGAAATTTGCCGACTAGGACGGTCGGTTAATCGGGGGTCGGATAATCGAGGCTCTACTGTACTTCAGAATTTTTATCTACACAACTATTTTATTAAATAGATATAAAACAAAACAAAAAAAGTCTCCAGCAATCCTTAAAAATAATACGCAAACCTCCAAAGGAAAATGTTACTGTAATGTATGAATTAATCTTTGTGATATTTATATAATTAGATATTTTTTAAAATAATTATAGTGTAAACTTACCTTATTAATCATCTGTATCATAAGATAGTTGCTCAAAGTAATCATTTATATTGCTTTCATCACTACTTGTGTTCGACTGAATAATCATTTTTTCTACAACAGTTTCCGAAATCTCAAGTTCTGACATTCATTGTTCTTTTTCTATATGTTTGATACATTTTGAAATAATGATGGTTTCGTTTTCCATTTATTACAATAACTAAGACATCATAGTGTGCATGACTGGAAAAAGTTTATTTTTAGTGATTCAGAGTGTGCATGACTGGAAAAAGTTTATTTTTAGTGATTCAGAGTGTGCAAATATTCATTAAAATAACAATTTAACAAGTATGAAATACAGTCGACCCCCCTATAACGTACGTTCCTATAACGACAATTCCTAGAACGTAGCGAAAAAATTGTAGCAACTTTCGTATAACGTACCTCCTATAACGTCGTTTCGCGACAAGATTGATAGAGTCTGGACCAATAGTGGATGAGCAGCCGAACTACTTTCCTCCGACCCTGCGCCACGCTACGGAGCGGCTAAATTGAGTTTGCTATCGTCTGTTTAGTATTATATATAAATTATATATAAATTAGGTACTGTACATATAATTATATATTAATTATATATAAATTAGGTACTGTATATATAATTATATATTNTAATTAAGGTATTTCTTTCAATTTTTATTTACTCATCAATTAAATCCTGCTGCAAGATGATCAACCCTGGCCTTGAAAAATCCTCATAGGATATGTATAAGGCATGATCAAAAAGTTTCCCGTTCGAAGGATGTACAGTCCACATTTGGTATGCCAGTCATGCAAAAGCGCCATGACCATTTAGGCAAGCATCCCACTGCTTCACCAGATTGAATATACCCTGTTGGTAAAACTCCTGTTTCTGTTGCTTGAAGAAGTCTGAAACTGCCTGCTACACTTCTATGTCTGACTGGAACCATCGACCTTTTAAGGACTTCTTTAAGGGACTGAAGGTGTGAAAATTGCACGGGGAGAGATCAGGAATGTAAGGCGGGTGCTCGAATGTCTCCTACTTTAGAGCACATAACTTCTACGTTACGACATATGGGGATGTGCGTTATCATGAAGCAGAATTACCCCATTTTGCAGTTTTCCTGGACATTTCACCTTAATTGCACGTCAAAATCTCTCCAGCATTTCGCAGTACCCCAGTGATGGAGACACCTGGTTCCTTGAAATCAATAAGCAATGGGTCCTGGTGATCGAAGAACAGGGTAAGCATCACTTTTCCAGCAGATGAATGGCTCTTGAACTTCTTGGGATGAAGGATGACACCACTGCATGGTCGCTGCTTTTGACTCAGGTTTCCAGTGGTGGCACCAGCTTTCGTCACCAGCAACAATGTGCTCAAAGAACGTGTTGCCTTCAACATTGAAACGCATCAGGTGCTTCAGGGAAACAGCCATCCGGTTTGATTGTTGTTTGGAATTTAATGCCCGGGGTATCCACTGGCTGCAGACTTTATGGTAGCCTAACTTTGGCTGGATTATGTGTTGCACACTACTGAAGCTTATGTCAAGATCCTTTGAAAGCTCACGTTTGGATATGCGATGATTCGCCCTAATCGCATCATCAGCTGCCCACTTGTTGTTGTCTGTATTGGATATGGCTGGCCTTCCAGATTGACCTGCATCTTGGGTCGAATTGCAACCAGCTCTGAACTTTGTGCATCATTCCACTATGGTGGTTTTCGATAGGCATTCTTCTCCATACACATTCTTTATTCTCTGTTGAATGTCTACTGGTGTGTTTCCTTCAGCAGCCAAAAAAAGAATCACAGCACATTGGTCCTGTTTGGATGCATGTGGTATTAACATTGCCATTGTTCATGTTTCAGCATTTTTCACACAATAATCCCACGCCTCGCTGTCAGTGCTTATATAACCCACATTGGCAATGCGCTAATTTGCATATATGCTGCAGCCATGTCCTTAAACGGAAAGTTTTTGATCGTCCCTTATACATTTTAAAAATAAGGTTTAATTGATGGTTTATTACATTAAATCCCCCAAGTGTTTAATTGAGGAAATACAGTAAATATTATATCAGAAATGGTCTACAAAACTTACCAGATGTTTTCGTTAAAATATGTTTTTAAAAATGATTTTTTAATAAATCTCTGTAGACAGCATCATACATCATTTAAAGAAAAAGTATTTCTTTTTGAAAAATAAAGGAATTTATCATAATTCAACAAAATTATTCTTTTTAAGCTTTTGTGTTATTTAAATTTTATGTTGTAATATAATTGAAAATTAACTTTCTTCTCATTCGTCTTAACTTCCTGTTAGTGTGGCAGGAAAGTCATGCAAAAGCTCTTGCCAACATTTTTCTGCAAGAAAATGATGTGCTCTGTCACTTAGAGCAATTATTTCATAAATAGTAGTTATAATATAACTTGAATTAGTTGTATAGCAAAAAATAGTTCACTAATATCACGAGAAATACTTAAATCTTGAATATGTACAATGAAAGATAATATACAAAGCTAAATGAATAAATTGATAGCACATGACAAATAAATTAGGTACCATCAACTCCCAGCATTGCAAATTCTATGCCTCACAAATAAATGTTTACCTGATAATCATGTATTAATGTAGCCTACAATATAGTATAATGCACCATATTATAATTCAAAATATAATATATATTATACAAGAATTTCTGTTTAGTTTTTTAATTTTAAGAGATTTTGCCGTGCAGCATCTGGTCTTTTAAATGTAAGTTTATCAGATAGATAAACATTTAGAGATGAAATCAAAATTTGAAGGATCACTTTCTCATTTAAAAGATAAATTATACTTTTTAATAAGGCAGTAATATACTATTTATGATTTGATATTTTTATTACTTTTTACTAACATTCAGTATGTATGATGATGATCTGTAATATTCTTATTTGAACTTTTGAAGAATACAAGAATGTTGTTTCCTATTTGCCACTAATCACAAACACTTGCACATTTACTGTATCTATTATTCACATTACATGTTTTGGCCATCTGTTTGATCATCTTTGCATGTATATTACATAGAATTTTTATAATATAATTTTAAAGAAACATGCAGATGTCACAAAACATTTAATATGAATAATAGATGAAATAAATGCCAAAGTCTTTGTGATTGGTAGAAAACAAGAAATGTTATTGGAAGTTTGAATAAGAATATTACTTTTATATTTTATTTCATTTGGTTAAATATTCTAAACGTTTATTTTTGTAAATGTAGTAGTTATACTTGGTGCCGTAATTAGGACAGTGCCAAGACACTGGCTGCAGAAATGACCTGGCCAAAGTTTTGGTCATAGTTTAGGGGTGTAGTTACAGAATCTCGCACCCGGGTGCATAAAAGGCTAGTTATGGCACTGGTTATACTTTATTTAAATAGGGAATTGTACATTTGGAAAAAGGATTTAAAGTGAAACAAAATTATAAATGAATAATTGTCTTTGTTCAAAACATCTTTTAAATTTCACAAAGTGTGTATTTTATGTAAAGTTGGGGAATGTTTAAACAAAAAAATTAAATATTATTATAAAAATATAATTTCCAAATAATATGAAATGAAATAAAGTGATTATTTTCAGTATGATGACACGGCAGATGTTGTTGTCATTGGTGCAACGGACAAACCCAATTTAGTAGAGGAGTCGTTAAGAAGACCAGGAAGATTTGATAGCGAAATAGAGATTGGTTATCCTAATAATAAAGAAAAATTTGAGGTATGGTCTTTAATAAAATTAAAACTAATAAAAGTATTGTTAAATTCTTTTTTTATATTATAAATTTTAAAATATATGTTATAATTGCAGATTACTATATTCAGAGGGAGATAATGTATTATTAATGTTTTATGCTATTTCATTTTAAATTACTCAGCTGCAATTTTTTTGTTACAATGTTCTCAATTTTAGTAATTTCCCCTGTGCATCATACTTTCCTGTTAACAATGGAGTCATGCCAGGCATATAACTAACTCTGTTCAGGAGGAAATTTTTTGTATTGAAATAACTGTGGCTACATTCCATATTTTATCATATATTTCGTATATAATTGTGTCATTTTATCTTGTATACTTCCCGCTTCACATCTGTCTGTCCTATTTGTTTACCCTTCCTGGAATGTTCTCGTTTTTCTTTTCCCTGGCGTGGGTATGCGGGTGGGCTAACCGGAGAAGCAACGAAAGAAATGTAGCTCGGAGGGGAGGGAGCGATCGGGAGACTCAGAGGGGTAGAAAGGAAGAGAAGGAAGAGGAGCTAAAAAAAAAGGTCTCCCCGGCAAGTATAGCATGTGAGGGTGAGAAAGAGAACTTTGGAACGTGAAGAGCGAAAGTACGTCTCCCCGGAAGGTTTTGCATCGTAGTGTGAAAAGGAGATCTGTGGAACGTAGAAGAAAAAGGAACTCAACCGAAGGGAGCCAGAAGGATCATCCCTTTGGATTAACTTCTCTACGTGAAACAAGGAACAGAGCTAACCAGCCCCCCGATCAACGAGGAACCGCATCCGTCAAGTTTTGGGTACCCTCTTTCCTTATTCTTTACTTTCATCTTCTAAATCTTCGAGTAAGCCGGCTATATAAAATAAGTTTAAGTAGTAGTAGAAATATAGTATTAATTAAGATAGTTTTAAGTGATCGGTAAGGAACGACGCGCGTGCAATCTTTGTCGGGTTAATGAATTATGTGGAGTATCCGTGGGGTTAGCATAGTGGTATCCTGAGAACCTGTATCCTAAAAAGCGAGTAAATAAAAATTAATTGTGTTTCATTTAACTAATCTGGATTGTGCGTTTTTATCCTGCTCGCAGTTTTAACANGAGGATAACGATAACTTGCCAAAAATAAAACGCTCTCGGTTAATAGTGCTTTTAGTGATGACAAAGAAAACATTGTTTATATTAATATGTATCACTTAAGAAAATTTTAATAAAGATATTTATCTTAATTATGAAAATATAGTAGCATGTTTTTTAATTTTTGGAACCTAACCCTCCTTTTCGTACTAGTTCTTTGTTTCGCATAACACGGCAATTTTTTGGAACGTAACTACCGTGTTATACGGGGGTTACCTGTATTACTTTCCTGGCTGTTATAGAATAAAACATAGAAAAAGTATGGCGATCAATCAAAATTTTTCTCACATTTGCATTTCTCAACATTTTGACATTCCAGGAGCCCAAAAATATAAAATAATCTAAAAGCCTCTTATAAAATGTGTTGAAATATATTTTACATTATGTCTTAGGACTGGATGAACCATAAATATTGGAACTTTGCAGGATTATTTCTGTACATAAGACATCGATTTTGGAAATTATAAGTCGAGATGGAGTGGGTCATATGACATTATCTCGTAAGGTCCGACTTAATGAAAAGTTTACTTATTATTGATATTTAAAATTTTTTTAAAATTCACATCTATCCCAAAATAATGCATTTGTCTTGTTATAATAATTAATAATATAAAAATGATTTTTTAATAAATCTCTGTAGACAGCATCATACATCATTTAAAGAAAAAGTATTTCTTTTTGAAAAATAAAGGAATTTATCATAATTCAACAAAATTATTCTTTTTAAGCTTTTGTGTTATTTAAATTTTATGTTGTAATATAATTGAAAATTAACTTTCTTCTCATTCGTCTTAACTTCCTGTTAGTGTGGCAGGAAAGTCATGCAAAAGCTCTTGCCAACATTTTTCTGCAAGAAAATGATGTGCTCTGTCACTTAGAGCAATTATTTCATAAATAGTAGTTATAATATAACTTGAATTAGTTGTATAGCAAAAAATAGTTCACTAATATCACGAGAAATACTTAAATCTTGAATATGTACAATGAAAGATAATATACAAAGCTAAATGAATAAATTGATAGCACATGACAAATAAATTAGGTACCATCAACTCCCAGCATTGCAAATTCTATGCCTCACAAATAAATGTTTACCTGATAATCATGTATTAATGTAGCCTACAATATAGTATAATGCACCATATTATAATTCAAAATATAATATATATTATACAAGAATTTCTGTTTAGTTTTTTAATTTTAAGAGATTTTGCCGTGCAGCATCTGGTCTTTTAAATGTAAGTTTATCAGATAGATAAACATTTAGAGATGAAATCAAAATTTGAAGGATCACTTTCTCATTTAAAAGATAAATTATACTTTTTAATAAGGCAGTAATATACTATTTATGATTTGATATTTTTATTACTTTTTACTAACATTCAGTATGTATGATGATGATCTGTAATATTCTTATTTGAACTTTTGAAGAATACAAGAATGTTGTTTCCTATTTGCCACTAATCACAAACACTTGCACATTTACTGTATCTATTATTCACATTACATGTTTTGGCCATCTGTTTGATCATCTTTGCATGTATATTACATAGAATTTTTATAATATAATTTTAAAGAAACATGCAGATGTCACAAAACATTTAATATGAATAATAGATGAAATAAATGCCAAAGTCTTTGTGATTGGTAGAAAACAAGAAATGTTATTGGAAGTTTGAATAAGAATATTACTTTTATATTTTATTTCATTTGGTTAAATATTCTAAACGTTTATTTTTGTAAATGTAGTAGTTATACTTGGTGCCGTAATTAGGACAGTGCCAAGACACTGGCTGCAGAAATGACCTGGCCAAAGTTTTGGTCATAGTTTAGGGGTGTAGTTACAGAATCTCGCACCCGGGTGCATAAAAGGCTAGTTATGGCACTGGTTATACTTTATTTAAATAGGGAATTGTACATTTGGAAAAAGGATTTAAAGTGAAACAAAATTATAAATGAATAATTGTCTTTGTTCAAAACATCTTTTAAATTTCACAAAGTGTGTATTTTATGTAAAGTTGGGGAATGTTTAAACAAAAAAATTAAATATTATTATAAAAATATAATTTCCAAATAATATGAAATGAAATAAAGTGATTATTTTCAGTATGATGACACGGCAGATGTTGTTGTCATTGGTGCAACGGACAAACCCAATTTAGTAGAGGAGTCGTTAAGAAGACCAGGAAGATTTGATAGCGAAATAGAGATTGGTTATCCTAATAATAAAGAAAAATTTGAGGTATGGTCTTTAATAAAATTAAAACTAATAAAAGTATTGTTAAATTCTTTTTTTATATTATAAATTTTAAAATATATGTTATAATTGCAGATTACTATATTCNAAAACTGTGATTTACATTAAGATATTTATCTTACTCACATTACATGTTTTGGCCATCTGTTTGATCATCTTTGCATGTATATTACATAGAATTTTTATAATATAATTTTAAAGAAACATGCAGATGTCACAAAACATTTAATATGAATAATAGATGAAATAAATGCCAAAGTCTTTGTGATTGGTAGAAAACAAGAAATGTTATTGGAAGTTTGAATAAGAATATTACTTTTATATTTTATTTCATTTGGTTAAATATTCTAAACGTTTATTTTTGTAAATGTAGTAGTTATACTTGGTGCCGTAATTAGGACAGTGCCAAGACACTGGCTGCAGAAATGACCTGGCCAAAGTTTTGGTCATAGTTTAGGGGTGTAGTTACAGAATCTCGCACCCGGGTGCATAAAAGGCTAGTTATGGCACTGGTTATACTTTATTTAAATAGGGAGTTGCACATTTGGAAAAAGGATTTAAAGTGAAACAAAATTATAAATGAATAATTGTCTTTGTTCAAAACATCTTTTAAATTTCACAAAGTGTGTATTTTATGTAAAGTTGGGGAATGTTTAAACAAAAAAATTAAATATTATTATAAAAATATAATTTCCAAATAATATGAAATGAAATAAAGTGATTATTTTCAGTATGATGACACGGCAGATGTTGTTGTCATTGGTGCAACGGACAAACCCAATTTAGTAGAGGAGTCGTTAAGAAGACCAGGAAGATTTGATAGCGAAATAGAGATTGGTTATCCTAATAATAAAGAAAAATTTGAGGTATGGTCTTTAATAAAATTAAAACTAATAAAAGTATTGTTAAATTCTTTTTTTATATTATAAATTTTAAAATATATGTTATAATTGCAGATTACTATATTCAGAGGGAGATAATGTATTATTAATGTTTTATGCTATTTCATTTTAAATTACTCAGCTGCAATTTTTTTGTTACAATGTTCTCAATTTTAGTAATTTCCCCTGTGCATCATACTTTCCTGTTAACAATGGAGTCATGCCAGGCATATAACTAACTCTGTTCAGGAGGAAATTTTTTGTATTGAAATAACTGTGGCTACATTCCATATTTTATCATATATTTCGTATATAATTGTGTCATTTTATCTTGTATACTTCCCGCTTCACATCTGTCTGTCCTATTTGTTTACCCTTCCTGGAATGTTCTCGTTTTTCTTTTCCCTGGCGTGGGTATGCGGGTGGGCTAACCGGAGAAGCAACGAAAGAAATGTAGCTCGGAGGGGAGGGAGCGATCGGGAGACTGAGAGGGGTAGAAAGGAAGAGAAGGAAGAGGAGCTAAAAGAAAAGTCTCCCCGGCAAGTATAGCGTGTGAGGGTGAGAAAGAGAACTTTGGAACGTGAAGAGCGAAAGTACGTCTCCCCGGAAGGTTTTGCATCGTAGTGTGAAAAGGAGATCTGTGGAACGTAGAAGAAAAAGGAACTCAACCGAAGGGAGCCAGAAGGATCATCCCTTTGGATTAACTTCTCTACGTGAAACAAGGAACAGAGCTAACCAGCCCCCCGATCAACGAGGAACCGCATCCGTCAAGTTTTGGGTACCCTCTTTCCTTATTCTTTACTTTCATCTTCTAAATCTTCGAGTAAGCCGGCTATATAAAATAAGTTTAAGTAGTAGTAGAAATATAGTATTAATTAAGATAGTTTTAAGTGATCGGTAAGGAACGACGCGCGTGCAATCTTTGTCGGGTTAATGAATTATGTGGAGTATCCGTGGGGTTAGCATAGTGGTATCCTGAGAACCTGTATCCTAAAAAGCGAGTAAATAAAAATTAATTGTGTTTCATTTAACTAATCTGGATTGTGCGTTTTTATCCTGCTCGCAGTTTTAACATAACATTGAATTCCAGTCCAAATTGGAAGTTCATATATAGTTAATTAGGGCCTCCTGCCCCTAAGCTTTCCATATCTGGTCTCAAATTTTGTCTATTTAACACTGTTTTTGAGATTAAGGAAGGACAATAAGACAGACAATGGTTGCCACTGAGATTTATAGGTCTACAATTTTTGAAAACAAATGAAGCAGCCAAATGAAACTTTAATCAAATAAGTTTTCAGTTTTTTTAAACATTATTCATCTTTGAGCTATTTTACTTGTAAAGAACATTGAACATTTGAATGTATGTGCAAAACTCAATCAATTATGGTTTTCTATAAAAACATCATATTTGGAATAATAGAAGAATGCCCAAAACAACATAAAGAAATGTTTAATGTAAATTGTACAGAAACTGAATAAGGTGTAACAAATTGAAAACCATTGAACTCAACTAAACTTAGTTATTAATCATTTTTTGCTTCCTTTATTCTGGCTTCTTGAAGATGGTTTGAATACATTTGAAATAAAGTTACTGGATTTCACTGATTTCTGTGTTAATTTGAGATGGTGAAATGTAGAAGAGCATTGTTATTAATAACTTAAAAAATTTTCAGAGAATACAATTTTTGATTTGAATCACTTAATTATAATTAAAAAGATAAATGATCTAAACTACTTTAACTATTTGGAGTTAGGTCAAGCAGACAGAATGGAGAGGAGAGTATATAAATGTGAGAGATATTAACACACTATCTGACAATAGTAGTTGTTACTAAGCTGTAATAAAATTACTTTTAATTTCAATTTTTACTATTAGAAATATTGTAGCATTTTTTCACTTATTTTTATTTTTACTTTGGTTTGAGACTTAATGCTGTTGTGTGCTTAATAAACAATAGTGTAAATGTTTCTAGTAGGCTTTTATACAGTAGGAACTGGAAAGTGAAAAGAAAACTGTGATTTACATTAAGATATTTATCTTACAGCAGTAATCTGGATATAACTTTCAAATTTGTTTTTACTCTCTGCTATGTGGGCACTAAGAGTTCTTTTCTAGAGCTCATTATGGGTTCAGGCATGCCCACAATGGCACATTTAGGTTGTAAACTATATGGCTTTACATATCCAGAACAGCCCACACTCCAAAAAATTTGTCTTTCAACTGCCCAGATTCAATCCTGGGTCCTTCAGAGTAGTAAGCTGATGCCTTAACTTCTTTGGCTATCTGGCTAGCAACTGCCATAGTGAGATATGCTTGTATAAGGCCTGGATTTAGGGGTTAAAGATAACCTGGCTTAATAGACTGGTGTCCCATTGTCTCAGATTCCATGTTAAAATTCACAATACAAATCAAATTACTGTGGGTTTCTTTATTATATCTTGAATTACTTCTCCAGTGTATTTGAAATGTTTAGTTATTCAATTAGTAATTTGTTATAAATGTATATTCTATTAAGGGATAAATAAGGCATAAGTTTAAAAATTTTATACTCTGGGCTAGGGTCCAGCAGGCCCATTTATAAATTGGCATTACCTGTATTCATTATATTTCTTGAGAAATAGTGTAACCTGAACATCATCTTTTAAAAGTATCAAAGAATAATTGGTTAAAATTTTATTGGATTATTATGGAAAATTTTATTTGTTCATTATTTCAGAGCTTATCGATATTATAAGCTTATGGTAGGTTGTATGACAGGCTTGTCTACATAAATGTTTTAATGAAAGAATGTATGAAATAGGATCCAAAAATGAAAAACACCTTTAACAATCCAGCAAATAAAATTTACTGGATTGTTAAAGGTGTGATCTTTATTTTTATCATACTTATCCAGTATGTGCGATTTAGGAGTATAGGATCCAAGATTTGGATATGCTATTTGGTTTCTTGCCTTGAATAATTTAAAATGCCAATGCACAACCACCTTCAAAATTTCCCTTGGGTGACAGTACACTTTTGCCAGTGCTTGTACAGCTTCTGGAAGCATTGCTGTATGCCATTTTTTACAGCCACCCATAATGCCTCCTCCAATGCTTTCACTCCATTCAGAATTTATTCCTGAGGACAGATCAGTGAACAAGAAGCATTTTCTGGACATTTTATGTCACTTTTATCATAATAAATGGCATGATATGTCGCAAAGTGGACAGTGGTATCTTCTCCATCACCATATGCCTACTCATCAGTCCATAATGGTCATAGTTCCTCATAGAAAATGGTACTAATATGATTCCACATCCCACATATTCACCAACTTAACTCTTTGTAAATTTTGTCTTTCCACTGATGAACAACATCTGTAGGGACATCATTTTCAGTCATGAAATGTTGTAAAATAGCATCATTGGAAGTATTTCAGGTGGTTGCAAAACATGGCATACAGCAATGCAAACAAGTGCTGGCAAAAGTGTATTATCACTGAAGGGGTTATTTGGAACGTCGTGATGTCTGTTTTAAACTATTCAAGGCAAAGAAACACCAAGTCCCTGAATTTTTGGATCTTGTCTTGTATAAAATAACTTTTCAAATGTTTTCTACTCTCAATAACTCATAAATAATAAGACAAAATGATTTGAAAATATTTTAATTATATTGGAAATTTTGAACAGGAAAAATTCACATATTAGTTTAATACTAAATTTCTTTAAACCTACCTATCTTTTTACCTATTAATCTACCTACTTATCTTTCCTAGAATTAAATTTAGATAAAATTAAGAAAATAAACTGAAAAATTTTGATTATTAAACATTATACATTATTTTCATGAATTAAAACTGTTTAAACATTGATAGATACTTAAAAAATTATTAAAAGATAAGAGACATTCCTTAACAGAAGAAAATATGAAAGAAATTGCTGAAAAACTTCATGGATACACTGGAGCAGATTTAAATTGCTTGTGTAGAAATGGTAAGTCTGATAAATGACAATAATAATATAATATCTAGTTCATGGTTGCCTCTAAGCAACATTATGATGCAATTATGCAGTAATTTTTAAGAATTGGGTGCTGAAGACTTATGTTGTAATCAAAATTATAAGTTATTTTTCTTCTAAATAAGATCTGATAATAGCTGAAAAAGTTATGCATGTTGCTGGATTTTTTTGTTATGGAGTTGATGCTTAATTAACCGAAGGAATCAAACTTCTAACTTATGGAAGTCTTTTTCATAAAATTTGATAAATGTTTGAAATAGTGTTCACATCTTTAGTTTTAAACTGAATTGACAACTTCATAAAAACATTTTCCAAATTTTACATAAAAGACTTCTATAAAGTAAGGAGTTTAATTTATAACTTTAGTTTATTATATTAAAAGAATCAAATAAGATATCACATGAAGATACTGTTGCCTTTTAAGGCATTACATTGTACAAAAAAGTTTTGAATTTTGTACAAATTTATTATTATATCTGCTTCTTTGTCCTTTACGTCAGTTTTAGTTGTTTAGCTTGTCCATGAAAGCTTACGGTGCTTATATTAAGGTACATTATGAATGTGAGATTCGATCCGTGTGCAAACCAATTTTCCACTTTCCTCCTAACTTTTTGACATATTTTAAACAAATTTATCACCTTACTGTGAAAAATCCATCGTCAGAAAAACGGAATCGAGTATCTTATCAACATCGATAGAAACTTATAACTCTCCTCTTTAATGTAAACATTTACACATCTAAAAACAATGGCATTCTCATAATGCAAGACAAACTTTACAATTAAAGTCCGAATTTGTCATTTTGTTTTGGTCCCGGGAACAACTTTTAACCTCCATACCTGCTCCAATGACATCTATCTCCCACAACAGTTAATCACATGACAAATTTTTCCTAAAGAAGCGAAGCTAAAAGCGACTCCCCCCCGTGAAGTTTTTCATCTTCGGCTGGTCAAAAGTGATTCAGGTCTCAAAGGATTTTTGGACTGTTATAACTGTGTGTGTCAATCTACAAAAAGAAAAGGAATAATATTTTCTTCTCCGTGGAATGATTCTAGAGGTATGAAACAATTAATGTGAACACTTTCTCCGTGTATTAGGGGCTAGCAAACCAAGTTAAAGGTTCTCGATGTTAGTTTGTAATCATTAATTTTTGTTTAATCTAATAAACTGTTGTTTCCATTGTTAAATGGTGTCGCTTACTCGCATATTGCCTACACCTTATCGATGACCCCTCTCACCTTCACTCGACCTAATAAAAGGGATCCCAACCCCTTGGGATCGAAACTCGTAAACAAGCCATCCCCTGACAAGTGGGTAGTTTTCACCAAAATGTTGATGACAAAATGAGGTACGATCTCGTCATACCTCAGCATTTTGGACAAAGTTTCTCATTGGCAGAAGTTTACAGAACCTTCCAAAAAAATATATTTAAAACTGGTTTGACTATTACAAAAGTGTTTTTTTGAAAATTTATGACAATTACAGCTATTATTTCTGCTTACCTAAGTAGTATATCCTTTTACCTTATACAGCATAAAATCATTTTATTCAAACTTGGTCACTTGTAATGTACTAGCTTGATCTTTCTTTCCTCTTTACACCTTTAAGTGTTAAGTACTGATGCGTGTAATCTTTTCTAAACTAAGATAATAAACATTCAGGAATATTTGGTGTTATAGTGGAATGTAATTTTTACTAAAATAAATAAAACATGATAAAATATTTTAAGTCATAAATTGAAACACTGATAACATAAAAATAAAATAATAAAAATGATTTTATTTTTACAGTTTGTTTTATGTTGTTGAAAGAGCAATCAGATGATCTGGTTATGACGTTAAGTCATTTTAATTCGGCAATAAGAGAGATGAAACCAAGTGCTTTGAAGGAAATGGATATTCAGATTTCAAAGGTAAAATAAATTTCTTAGTTTATTTTATAAATAAAAATCATAAAAACAAGTTATTATAAAAATTTAATTTTGTCAAGTAAATATCAGTTTCCACTGTAAGTATTGTAATTATTTTTAACTTTTTGGAACATTGTTTACATATACATACATACATACATATATATATATAACTAGCTTACCCGTCGCGCATTGCTGCGATCTCAGAAGAAGCGAAATTCAGGCAAACTCGTTAAGATAAAATTAAATTTACATTTTATCATTTTTATTGAAACTTATTATTATTATATTATTATTCATTTTCATCGGGAAAAAACATTTCAAAGTGTCATTTCAATTCTGTTTATTTATTTGAGTGCTTGTGGATACACGATATTTTTTGTTTTTCTGTCTGGTGCGTACACGAATAAATCGGAAGGTTTTTTGACGCGTGAGTTGGCCACATACAGTTGTCCATGCGAGAAGCACGGATTCTCGAAATTTAGTCCACACACTCGCAGCGATTGTCAGAAGCGCGATATTCCCCATTTTTATATATATATTTTTTAATCCTTTATAATTTTAATTATTTAATTGCTCCTTCCTCTCTTCTTTGGCATGTTGTGATATTTCTGATAGTTGGATAATAAACCGTTTTATTGTAATTTGTCTTTTTAAATTATTTCGAGTCGATATTAAAATTTGGAAAAAGGGGATACTTAGATTGGTAAAAATACGCGAATTTCCTCTTACAACTTCGGTTGTTGTTCAGGGTACAGTTGAGGTTTTAACGAAGTTTGAGCAAATACATAATTAGCAAAAAAGAAAGTTTAAATAAAGTGATTAAACAAAAATTATTACAAATATCATAAATAACAGTTCACAAATGCATATATAGAGATTTTTTGAAGGTGAGAAATGGTCTTCACAATTTGAGATTGATCGAACACACTGTGCTCGAATGCTCGTGTAAACGTGCGTCATCTATCGTAGGATAAATGTACTATGCCAAAAACCTTCGCGGGAGTGTATTAAAAAACTTTCCGAAGTTTCGCGGCAATCAGATAAATGGTGTGGTAATGCATGAAGGACACACACATACACACACACATTTTTTTATATATATAGATTACTGAAGACAGGTTATCTAAAACGTCAGCTTTTTAGGCTATAAAATCTTGCAATTTAGATTTATGATTGAGTTTTTAAATCTATACTAATATTATAAAGAGGTAATGTTTGTATGTATGTTAGTTTGTATGCAGCAGGTAATCTCCGAAACTACTCATCCTATTTCAAAAATTCTTTCACCAATATTTAGAATGGAACTTCAGGGTGGACATAGGCTGTATATTATTCCGTTAAACATGGGAGATGAACAGTTCTTTACGGTAATCCTTCCCCGTAAGGCTTACTGTAAAGAACCCTGCTTCTATTATACTATTTTAGATGCGGTTTTTTGCGTTTTTTGATAGCGTTTTAATAGAGTATGTCAAGAGAATGTACACTAAGAAGGGATTTTTCGATATTCCCCCCGCAGGGGAGAGTGACAGGATTAAGGCTTACTGTGAAGAACTTGGCTTCTATTATACTATTTTAGATGAGGGTTTTTGCGTTTTTGATTGCGTTTTAACAGGGTACGTCAAGAGAATGTACACTAAGAAGGGATTTTTCGAAAAATTTTCTCCCACGGGGGAAGTGTTATACATTTATAATAGATACATTTTGAGCCACAACAAGGTGTGGCGGGGTCTGCTAGTATTTAATAAAACACAATCTAGAAATTTTAAAGTATGAAAATGAAAATTGTATTTTATTTATTTATTTTTTTGCATTATAAGAATAACTGAAACAACTGAAATGCAGTCAAAATTCAATTTAGTGTTATCATTTGTTTTGTTCTGAGAATGGCATTAAATTGAGAGTTGTGCTAAACTGAATAATTCAAACAATTGTCGATCTGTCCATGTGTTTGAAATTCACTTGATTTGGTGATAGTCATTTGCAATGAAAAAGCACAGTTATTAATTTACAAACACTGAAGGATTCTCTACTGAATATTAATGAGAAAGATCTGTTCAGTAGTATGCATTAGTTATGAGGATTTATTATAATTTTGTTGTGTCAAACTTTAGTTGACAACTTAAGCAATTCTGTACTGCTTTACTGCAAAACAAACAAATACATTTCCAAAGATGTTTGGGTCAATGTTTTGTTAATAAAAAATACAAGAAAATTATAGGTAAATTGATAAATTAATAAACATAAATCGTTTTTCTGATGACACAGTAAGTTCAGTCATTCATTTATAATTATGGGAACATAATTAAAAGTTATAGGAAATTATTCAGTATGATGGAAAAATACAATTAATATAAAAAATGTTACATTACAAATAAAGAACATGTAGAAATTAAAATAATGTAATCAGAATAGTTTAAAAAGTAAACAAAACTTTAAATTCAAAATATAAAATTATATTGCATTGTGTTAGTAATTAAATCATGACTGTAGTAAACATAATTACAGCTTTAACAATTGAAAATTATATTAAATTGTTTCTAGATTTTAACAAGTTTTAGACTATTTTGTGACAAGTATCTTATATGAATGCAGCTATAAAGTTCAGTAGAGATTTTTCTGAACTTTCTCTTCAGTCACTTTTCNTACAATGTTCTCAATTTTAGTAATTTCCCCTGTGCATCATACTTTCCTGTTAACAATGGAGTCATGCCAGGCATATAACTAACTCTGTTCAGGAGGAAATTTTTTGTATTGAAATAACTGTGGCTACATTCCATATTTTATCATATATTTCGTATATAATTGTGTCATTTTATCTTGTATACTTCCCGCTTCACATCTGTCTGTCCTATTTGTTTACCCTTCCTGGAATGTTCTCGTTTTTCTTTTCCCTGGCGTGGGTATGCGGGTGGGCTAACCGGAGAAGCAACGAAAGAAATGTAGCTCGGAGGGGAGGGAGCGATCGGGAGACTCAGAGGGGTAGAAAGGAAGAGAAGGAAGAGGAGCTAAAAAAAAAGGTCTCCCCGGCAAGTATAGCATGTGAGGGTGAGAAAGAGAACTTTGGAACGTGAAGAGCGAAAGTACGTCTCCCCGGAAGGTTTTGCATCGTAGTGTGAAAAGGAGATCTGTGGAACGTAGAAGAAAAAGGAACTCAACCGAAGGGAGTCAGAAGGATCATCCCTTTGGATTAACTTCTCTACGTGAAACAAGGAACAGAGCTAACCAGCCCCCCGATCAACGAGGAACCGCATCCGTCAAGTTTTGGGTACCCTCTTTCCTTATTCTTTACTTTCATCTTCTAAATCTTCGAGTAAGCCGGCTATATAAAATAAGTTTAAGTAGTAGTAGAAATATAGTATTAATTAAGATAGTTTTAAGTGATCGGTAAGGAACGACGCGCGTGCAATCTTTGTCGGGTTAATGAATTATGTGGAGTATCCGTGGGGTTAGCATAGTGGTATCCTGAGAACCTGTATCCTAAAAAGCGAGTAAATAAAAATTAATTGTGTTTCATTTAACTAATCTGGATTGTGCGTTTTTATCCTGCTCGCAGTTTTAACATAACATTGAATTCCAGTCCAAATTGGAAGTTCATATATAGTTAATTAGGGCCTCCTGCCCCTAAGCTTTCCATATCTGGTCTCAAATTTTGTCTATTTAACACTGTTTTTGAGATTAAGGAAGGACAATAAGACAGACAATGGTTGCCACTGAGATTTATAGGTCTACAATTTTTGAAAACAAATGAAGCAGCCAAATGAAACTTTAATCAAATAAGTTTTCAGTTTTTTTAAACATTATTCATCTTTGAGCTATTTTACTTGTAAAGAACATTGAACATTTGAATGTATGTGCAAAACTCAATCAATTATGGTTTTCTATAAAAACATCATATTTGGAATAATAGAAGAATGCCCAAAACAACATAAAGAAATGTTTAATGTAAATTGTACAGAAACTGAATAAGGTGTAACAAATTGAAAACCATTGAACTCAACTAAACTTAGTTATTAATCATTTTTTGCTTCCTTTATTCTGGCTTCTTGAAGATGGTTTGAATACATTTGAAATAAAGTTACTGGATTTCACTGATTTCTGTGTTAATTTGAGATGGTGAAATGTAGAAGAGCATTGTTATTAATAACTTAAAAAATTTTCAGAGAATACAATTTTTGATTTGAATCACTTAATTATAATTAAAAAGATAAATGATCTAAACTACTTTAACTATTTGGAGTTAGGTCAAGCAGACAGAATGGAGAGGAGAGTATATAAATGTGAGAGATATTAACACACTATCTGACAATAGTAGTTGTTACTAAGCTGTAATAAAATTACTTTTAATTTCAATTTTTACTATTAGAAATATTGTAGCATTTTTTCACTTATTTTTATTTTTACTTTGGTTTGAGACTTAATGCTGTTGTGTGCTTAATAAACAATAGTGTAAATGTTTCTAGTAGGCTTTTATACAGTAGGAACTGGAAAGTGAAAAGAAAACTGTGATTTACATTAAGATATTTATCTTACAGCAGTAATCTGGATATAACTTTCAAATTTGTTTTTACTCTCTGCTATGTGGGCACTAAGAGTTCTTTTCTAGAGCTCATTATGGGTTCAGGCATGCCCACAATGGCACATTTAGGTTGTAAACTATATGGCTTTACATATCCAGAACAGCCCACACTCCAAAAAATTTGTCTTTCAACTGCCCAGATTCAATCCTGGGTCCTTCAGAGTAGTAAGCTGATGCCTTAACTTCTTTGGCTATCTGGCTAGCAACTGCCATAGTGAGATATGCTTGTATAAGGCCTGGATTTAGGGGTTAAAGATAACCTGGCTTAATAGACTGGTGTCCCATTGTCTCAGATTCCATGTTAAAATTCACAATACAAATCAAATTACTGTGGGTTTCTTTATTATATCTTGAATTACTTCTCCAGTGTATTTGAAATGTTTAGTTATTCAATTAGTAATTTGTTATAAATGTATATTCTATTAAGGGATAAATAAGGCATAAGTTTAAAAATTTTATACTCTGGGCTAGGGTCCAGCAGGCCCATTTATAAATTGGCATTACCTGTATTCATTATATTTCTTGAGAAATAGTGTAACCTGAACATCATCTTTTAAAAGTATCAAAGAATAATTGGTTAAAATTTTATTGGATTATTATGGAAAATTTTATTTGTTCATTATTTCAGAGCTTATCGATATTATAAGCTTATGGTAGGTTGTATGACAGGCTTGTCTACATAAATGTTTTAATGAAAGAATGTATGAAATAGGATCCAAAAATGAAAAACACCTTTAACAATCCAGCAAATAAAATTTACTGGATTGTTAAAGGTGTGATCTTTATTTTTATCATACTTATCCAGTATGTGCGATTTAGGAGTATAGGATCCAAGATTTGGATATGCTATTTGGTTTCTTGCCTTGAATAATTTAAAATGCCAATGCACAACCACCTTCAAAATTTCCCTTGGGTGACAGTACACTTTTGCCAGTGCTTGTACAGCTTCTGGAAGCATTGCTGTATGCCATTTTTTACAGCCACCCATAATGCCTCCTCCAATGCTTTCACTCCATTCAGAATTTATTCCTGAGGACAGATCAGTGAACAAGAAGCATTTTCTGGACATTTTATGTCACTTTTATCATAATAAATGGCATGATATGTCGCAAAGTGGACAGTGGTATCTTCTCCATCACCATATGCCTACTCATCAGTCCATAATGGTCATAGTTCCTCATAGAAAATGGTACTAATATGATTCCACATCCCACATATTCACCAACTTAACTCTTTGTAAATTTTGTCTTTCCACTGATGAACAACATCTGTAGGGACATCATTTTCAGTCATGAAATGTTGTAAAATAGCATCATTGGAAGTATTTCAGGTGGTTGCAAAACATGGCATACAGCAATGCAAACAAGTGCTGGCAAAAGTGTATTATCACTGAAGGGGTTATTTGGAACGTCGTGATGTCTGTTTTAAACTATTCAAGGCAAAGAAACACCAAGTCCCTGAATTTTTGGATCTTGTCTTGTATAAAATAACTTTTCAAATGTTTTCTACTCTCAATAACTCATAAATAATAAGACAAAATGATTTGAAAATATTTTAATTATATTGGAAATTTTGAACAGGAAAAATTCACATATTAGTTTAATACTAAATTTCTTTAAACCTACCTATCTTTTTACCTATTAATCTACCTACTTATCTTTCCTAGAATTAAATTTAGATAAAATTAAGAAAATAAACTGAAAAATTTTGATTATTAAACATTATACATTATTTTCATGAATTAAAACTGTTTAAACATTGATAGATACTTAAAAAATTATTAAAAGATAAGAGACATTCCTTAACAGAAGAAAATATGAAAGAAATTGCTGAAAAACTTCATGGATACACTGGAGCAGATTTAAATTGCTTGTGTAGAAATGGTAAGTCTGATAAATGACAATAATAATATAATATCTAGTTCATGGTTGCCTCTAAGCAACATTATGATGCAATTATGCAGTAATTTTTAAGAATTGGGTGCTGAAGACTTATGTTGTAATCAAAATTATAAGTTATTTTTCTTCTAAATAAGATCTGATAATAGCTGAAAAAGTTATGCATGTTGCTGGATTTTTTTGTTATGGAGTTGATGCTTAATTAACCGAAGGAATCAAACTTCTAACTTATGGAAGTCTTTTTCATAAAATTTGATAAATGTTTGAAATAGTGTTCACATCTTTAGTTTTAAACTGAATTGACAACTTCATAAAAACATTTTCCAAATTTTACATAAAAGACTTCTATAAAGTAAGGAGTTTAATTTATAACTTTAGTTTATTATATTAAAAGAATCAAATAAGATATCACATGAAGATACTGTTGCCTTTTAAGGCATTACATTGTACAAAAAAGTTTTGAATTTTGTACAAATTTATTATTATATCTGCTTCTTTGTCCTTTACGTCAGTTTTAGTTGTTTAGCTTGTCCATGAAAGCTTACGGTGCTTATATTAAGGTACATTATGAATGTGAGATTCGATCCGTGTGCAAACCAATTTTCCACTTTCCTCCTAACTTTTTGACATATTTTAAACAAATTTATCACCTTACTGTGAAAAATCCATCGTCAGAAAAACGGAATCGAGTATCTTATCAACATCGATAGAAACTTATAACTCTCCTCTTTAATGTAAACATTTACACATCTAAAAACAATGGCATTCTCATAATGCAAGACAAACTTTACAATTAAAGTCCGAATTTGTCATTTTGTTTTGGTCCCGGGAACAACTTTTAACCTCCATACCTGCTCCAATGACATCTATCTCCCACAACAGTTAATCACATGACAAATTTTTCCTAAAGAAGCGAAGCTAAAAGCGACTCCCCCCCGTGAAGTTTTTCATCTTCGGCTGGTCAAAAGTGATTCAGGTCTCAAAGGATTTTTGGACTGTTATAACTGTGTGTGTCAATCTACAAAAAGAAAAGGAATAATATTTTCTTCTCCGTGGAATGATTCTAGAGGTATGAAACAATTAATGTGAACACTTTCTCCGTGTATTAGGGGCTAGCAAACCAAGTTAAAGGTTCTCGATGTTAGTTTGTAATCATTAATTTTTGTTTAATCTAATAAACTGTTGTTTCCATTGTTAAATGGTGTCGCTTACTCGCATATTGCCTACACCTTATCGATGACCCCTCTCACCTTCACTCGACCTAATAAAAGGGATCCCAACCCCTTGGGATCGAAACTCGTAAACAAGCCATCCCCTGACAAGTGGGTAGTTTTCACCAAAATGTTGATGACAAAATGAGGTACGATCTCGTCATACCTCAGCATTTTGGACAAAGTTTCTCATTGGCAGAAGTTTACAGAACCTTCCAAAAAAATATATTTAAAACTGGTTTGACTATTACAAAAGTGTTTTTTTGAAAATTTATGACAATTACAGCTATTATTTCTGCTTACCTAAGTAGTATATCCTTTTACCTTATACAGCATAAAATCATTTTATTCAAACTTGGTCACTTGTAATGTACTAGCTTGATCTTTCTTTCCTCTTTACACCTTTAAGTGTTAAGTACTGATGCGTGTAATCTTTTCTAAACTAAGATAATAAACATTCAGGAATATTTGGTGTTATAGTGGAATGTAATTTTTACTAAAATAAATAAAACATGATAAAATATTTTAAGTCATAAATTGAAACACTGATAACATAAAAATAAAATAATAAAAATGATTTTATTTTTACAGTTTGTTTTATGTTGTTGAAAGAGCAATCAGATGATCTGGTTATGACGTTAAGTCATTTTAATTCGGCAATAAGAGAGATGAAACCAAGTGCTTTGAAGGAAATGGATATTCAGATTTCAAAGGTAAAATAAATTTCTTAGTTTATTTTATAAATAAAAATCATAAAAACAAGTTATTATAAAAATTTAATTTTGTCAAGTAAATATCAGTTTCCACTGTAAGTATTGTAATTATTTTTAACTTTTTGGAACATTGTTTACATATACATACATACATACATATATATATATAACTAGCTTACCCGTCGCGCATTGCTGCGATCTCAGAAGAAGCGAAATTCAGGCAAACTCGTTAAGATAAAATTAAATTTACATTTTATCATTTTTATTGAAACTTATTATTATTATATTATTATTCATTTTCATCGGGAAAAAACATTTCAAAGTGTCATTTCAATTCTGTTTATTTATTTGAGTGCTTGTGGATACACGATATTTTTTGTTTTTCTGTCTGGTGCGTACACGAATAAATCGGAAGGTTTTTTGACGCGTGAGTTGGCCACATACAGTTGTCCATGCGAGAAGCACGGATTCTCGAAATTTAGCCCACACACTCGCAGCGATTGTCAGAAGCGCGATATTCCCCATTTTTATATATATATTTTTTAATCCTTTATAATTTTAATTATTTAATTGCTCCTTCCTCTCTTCTTTGGCATGTTGTGATATTTCTGATAGTTGGATAATAAACCGTTTTATTGTAATTTGTCTTTTTAAATTATTTTGAGTCGATATTAAAATTT